GCAGACACTCTTTATGCTGGGTATACATAGGGAGTGAATCCATGCGCCAAATGCATAGAGAAAGTCCAGCAAGAACAAGATGGCTCCAAGTGCACCCGCTTCTTTTCTTACACCTGGAGACCGAGAACATTCAATGTCATATAACAAAGACGAAGAGAATTGAAAAGAAATCAACACCAAATAACCTTCTAATGAAAAAATATATCTAAATATATTTTAAAATTATTAAAAATTAAAATAAAGAAAAAATATTATTGTTTTTTAAAAAAAAACGGCCATTACATTTCTGAAAAACTAATGACAAGCATTTATGCCACAACAAATTTTACTCATTTAGGATGCAAAATTCTCCTTCATGCTAAGATCAACACAAAAAAATATCCAAAACCAAATGAGGCGGAAAACAAAAACTTGCAAGGCAACCAATTAATTGTTTTTCACATGTAAAATTGCCTCCTACTGGACCTTCAGACGAAAAATAAAACTCTAAACATTGTCATATGAAAAGTATTAAATGCATACAACTCCACTCAAATAAGTAATGCTAGATTTTTCTTAAGTTGCAATGGTAAATTGAAAGGGAACTTTTCTTATGAAGCCAATGTTTTCTTCAATACAGGTTATTTTAAACAAAAATAACTAGTGAATAATATTAAGGTCATCGCATGACAGTATTTTTATAATAATCATTTCTACTTCTTCGAATCATATAATCATATCCACGTAAGAATAGGCGCAATTAACATACGAATTTTTATCAGGAATGGCTTGACACTCTGTCAGCCCATCCTTTTATTCTGGTTAATTAATGCAGCGCTATCCTCTCTCCTTCATATTTAAAAATTAAACTTATTCACATTCTTTTTACATGGATAATTAGGGTACTCATATGTTTTGCCAGTAATATGAAAACCCAATTATGTTTTGTTCACAGGATATCAACTACCCAGTAGGCATTTCTTAAAGGGTTAAAAGTTCATGAAGAATGAAGACATCAGAACAAAACCTTTCATATATTAGAATTTATAAAATCTAGAGAACATATTTATTACAGTCCCAAGGAATTCATATTTAAGGATGCACAATTGCCATCGGGAGGAAGTTTCATAGCCATAAATGTCATTCAGAAACAATTAAAGGAGCAACTACTACTGCAAGTATACAAGGGCCAATCTATAAACGAGATCTCTCTCTACCTATTGCATGAATATAAAGGACGACAGTAAACACTCTACTCAACCTGGAGTGAGAAGATCGTTACTAGTATTTATTTTTTAAAAAAACCAAATACAGTAGCGGCTTTGGTCCTCCGCGCATAAGCCCCCATCGAAGCTAAGTAAGCCATGCAATGATTACTAACGGCGCAATCTCACGATGCGAACACCCAAAGCCAACCAACTCATCACCAATACACAAAAAAGAAGACTCCACCTCTATATACCAGTAATCCATTCATCTCCGACCTCACAACGCAAAAAAAAAAAAACAAACAAGATTCAAAAAATACAATATATTTCCACATTAGTCGGTCCAAAGCACGGCATTAACCTTCCACACGCCGCATCTTAAAAAAAAAAAAAAAAAAAAAAAAAAACAAGATAAGAGCTTCCATGCCCTAAACTTCCTAGTCCCATTTTTGTCTTTATTATCTTCACCATTCTCAAATAACCAACGCTTACCTCCACAACAACTAGTTTTGAAGCTCTAATTTCGCCTTATTCTATCATACCATTCAGTTTCGAGCTCTAAAATTCTTCATTCAATTATTTTTTCTCACATGATTCTCTCAGCAACCAAACATGCAACCAAATATTAAAAATTACAGCTTTCTAAACGGGAGGAACGAAGAGTTACTCTTTGGAGAGGAGAGGGGATAAATCTCGAATGAGAAACAAGCTGAAGCAAAGATATTGCGAACGATGAAAGCAAAAAAACGAACCGACCGTAAATATTGATCTGCAACTGAAATTGTACTCGGCTTTCGTGCGGTTCAATATTCCTTATTTAGACGTTCTTCGTTCAACAAAACCACAATCCTGCCAGCCTAACCAGGCAAAAAGCGACCCGGAGTGCCCGACCAATTCAACAGCCCACCGTGCATTAAAAACCGCCATTCCCCACTCTCCAATCTTCTTCTTACACTATATCTGTAAACAATTTATCTCTAATTCTCTGTCCTATTCTCTACCGTCTCTTTTGAGTTAATAATTGAGTGTTTTGGATCTAAAATGTGAAAAAAAGAAAAAAAATATCTCCTCGCATAGATTGGCTTAGTTGGTTCAGTGAGCAAGGACACACTAAGAGAAACACAACTGCCTAAATTTGAAATCTCTCCTCCTGAATCTGCGTATGGAGTTCTGTTTTCCATGGAATAAAAACGAGACGTTTCTTTCTGTAATGAAAATGGAGAGTAGGGCGAAACGTTCTTCTGTCTGGTTGATTTCCAACGTTTTCTTTCTTAAAACTTGGGCCGATCTTCAGTTATAAAAGATCGGCAAGGTTCTGATTTTTTGTTCCGTTGGTTTAAACTCCCTGGATAGGCCCATAATGCATAAGCCGGTACGAAACCCTATTAAAGCCCTTAGACTAATTTCACATAGAAGTGCTAGACCCATACAAGAAACAAAAAACAGTATGAGCTAACTTAAGTTTTAGCCTAAGGGCCCAAAGTAGACTAACAAAGTAAAAAATTTACAAGAGCTGCTAAATTACGAGAGCTATCACAAACAGCCAACTCTTGCTTGAAGATTCTTTTTTTTTTTTCCTTCTTTACAGCATGTTATGCAGCGCTACCAGACTATATATATTTCTTTAAAACCAACCCCATATCTTAAATCGCGTGCGAATAGCCACCATCGGATGAGCAAAAGCTACATGCATACTCAGAATGTCGAATTACATTACTTATATTTAGTATATTGTTAATAGCTACGTTCGGCTAGTGGACGAAATCAATTTGTAATAATCATCTAAATATAAAAATGATTCGTAGGAGTTGAATAAAAGCAGATTATCAGTCCGACTTTTTCCAATTGGGAAAATTAATGATTAATAATAATAAAAAAATTACATATTTTTTTCTAAACGTAATTCAGTGATTAGCCTTGTATATCATAAATGGACATTAGAGTATTAAATGTAGCCAAGTGTTCTATCCAAAACTTTCAAAGTCTTTGTATGATCCTAAAAAATTACTTACATTTACCTGGTACCCTCCTCTCTCACACCGATTATTGAAGATTTTTTTTTTGTTTTGTCTTTAATTCTTTTTTTCAAGTTTGGGGTTAATTAGTATTAGAATTTATGATGGTAAATTGCTATTACACGGTTTTAACTAATGAATACTGTATTAAGCAAGTCTTTACTTAAAAATATAAATTATATACTGGTTTACCTTTTTCTTTCTGATTTTTTCTATCTTAGAAAATCTATGATTTCACTTAGAGAGGCCAAATAATGCAAATTCATCCCAGGGTCAACGGACCAGTTCCACTTGTCATATAAGATAATGCAACCCTTCAATTGAATGGCAATTCAATGACCTGATCGAGGCCCTGAGGTATTAGAACTATTTCAAAAGGGAAAGATTGATACAGAACCAGAAACTAGAACATCTCAATAATTATTAATAAAACTAGAAGGAAGAAGAAGACAGGATCGGGGGAAGCCAAGGTAGCAAACTAGCGATGCGCGCCCAGCAACGTGAAAAGAGACACAGACCAGAAAGTGCACGAAGATGATGAACGGTGAAAGAAGTAGATATGGGTTCGGAGGACAAAACAAAGACAGAGAAGAGGTAGTTGGACGTGGGACACGGGCTAGCACCCGCAAAGTGAACAGCGAATTCTGTACCGGTTTCTACTTTTTAAACTCCTCTCAATTTTCTCCCTCAACCACGTGACTCTCAGCCCCCACCCACCTAGCTGTTTTGAGATTTTTTTTTTTTTTTTGTCTTTATTTTTTTTTCAAAGTTTGGTTTAATAGTATTAGAATTTATGAGGTAAATTGCTATTACACGGTTTAACTTGATATGTATTAAGCAGTCTTTACTTAAAAATATAAATATATACTGTTTTACTTTTTCTTTTGATTTTTTTCTTTCTAGAAAATTCTTATGATTTATTAGAGGCCAAAATAATGCAATTCAAGGGTCAACCGGACAGTCACTTGTCATAAAGATAATGCAATTCAATTGAATGCAATTCAATTGACTGATCGGTAGAACATAAAAGGAAATTGATACAGAACCAGAACTAGAAATCAATAATAGTTAATAAAACTAGAAGAAGAAGAAGAAGGGGGGGGGGAAGCCAGGTAGCAAATAGACGATGGCCCAGGCAACGTGAAAGAGACACAGACAGAAAGTGACGAAGATGATGACGTGAAAGAGTGATATGGGTTTCGGAGACAAACCAAAGACAGAGAGGAGTGACGTGGACACTAGCACGCAATGACGCGATTTGTACGGTTTCTACTTTTTAACTTCTCTCTCATTTTTCCCTCACCACGTGACTCCCCCCACCACCTAGCTGTCTTTGGGGCCCACTCGTGGTTGACGTCACTTCCATCTACCCTTTCCCGATGCCACGCTCGCCGACATTCATTGCCTCTCCTTCTTTTGTTCGTTCTTTTTATCATTTCATCTGCTGCCGAAAGTAACGTTAGCTACGCAATAAAGGGTATTTCTCCCGTAGTAAAAACTCCTGACTCAAATTTGAAATTTCTCCCCATTACTCAAAAAGGAAAAACAACCTAATATTAAATCGAAGATGCTCCCAACCATTCACCGAAAAGTAAAAATAAAATAAAATAAAAATAATTTTTAAAAATTTTATATTTTCATTAATTTGATCTGAGTCACACCACAAACTCAGTTAAAAAAAAATCCATCTGCCCAAGTACCGTTAGAAATTTTGGCCCTTCGCCCATCGGAGAATCTCTGAGTCGAATGAGACTCAGGCGCAAATAAAGATTAAAAAAACAATTGAATAAAACCCACATGCATTAATAATTAGCAGACGTTTATTTGGTATAAAATCAGAATTTAATTTGCAAGCTATACTAACACCTGCATGATAACATAATTGCAACTCTTTCCTGAAAAAGCTGACAATTTTACATACCAAGGTAAGCAGCAAGTAATTAACCAAAGTGAAGCCAAAAAATTGTTGCCCGCTGGTTCAATACAATCTGATCACAATTTTTTGGGTTTTCTCAATCACCATCAGCTTGAGTTTTTGTTTTGTTTTATTCCACAACTATTCCACAACTAAAACTGGAGTTTGCACAGCTTTCAAATGTAGCAATACACAAACATCAATGCAGATAACCCACAACAGTTTCTAACCATGATAGAAAATGAAATTACTTCCAGGTATGGAATCAACCGATACTTCTTCGAGCATCCACATGTTAAACATTGCTATAATTTGCTAGCACATTCTGTAACAGCTCCATCAATTCTTAGTTATCTACAGAACAAAATCAAAAGACAGGAATAAGATTAAAAACAAGGAATTTCAGAGGAAATGTAATCCTTATCCAAAACTCACCATGTGGTGAACGAGAACTTGGCGTGGACAAGCCCGACGAAGCCATTGGAGTTGATATTGAAAGACGGGTTGTAGAAAATGAGGCTGGGTTGGATCTATCATCTTCAAGGCCGGACCAAGAGTCACGTGTTTTAGGCCACTCATCAAAGAAGGGTCGAAGAGACTGACCTCCCTGCTTCACAGGTTCCCCAGAGGCAAATTCACCACTGAAAAATGCATGCTGGGGATAATCACTCTGCAATATGGAGTTATCAGTTGACTTTGATGTGGCGAATGACGAGACTCTGGATTGCATCAGAGGCCATGGACTATCTAGCTGTGACTCCATCTGGAGACCCCTGTTGCTGCCTGAAGCTTCAGAGAAGAAGCTATGCTCACCAACCTCAGGCTTAAGTCCTTGAGCATACCTGTTTCGTCATCCATTAAGAGGAATTTTAAAATTGAATCTCAAATTAAGAAAATCATTTAAGGCCCCCTCTTGATTCTAGTTGAGACAAAGCAATCAATTCTAAATAGAATAACGAATAAAAAGACTTTGCTGCCAGATAAGGCTATAAGGAGTAACTAGAAGGTATTGAATTAACTGAATCAATTTGGATAGCACTAAAATTGCAATTGTGCTCCTAGACAACTAGATATGCACTTTCATATTGATGCTACCACAACAACTTTCTGACTTATTTATCCAATTCAGTGTCAAAATACTATCGGTGATTATATTTGACATGCCCGTTATTAATGTGACACAAAAAGTAGCGAAACAAGTTTTCCTTACCTGTATAACTTGTCGGAAAACAAATTTCCACAAGAATAAATGAATCAACAAACAAAAAGAAAATATTTAAAGCCATTCAGGAGCATAATATATATCATTAAGTTATTTCCTTTTGAAGAAAGAATAGAAGTCGTTCTCATTGCAGAAATTAATGTAGTACATTCTTTTATCAAGTGCTGTAACAATCAAAATTCCTGCGTTTATAATTGCATCAGTTACAACCAAGTTAAAAATACACAGAAAAAAAGCACATCTTAGCAAGAAAGAAGCAACAGAAAATGCAAGAAACTAGAGGCTACACAGATCTTGGATCCATAGAGTAATGGCAGACAAAGTAAAAGGTCATGGACTCATGGCTCTACATCTTGTGCCGAAAAGAAGATGAGGATAAGTTTTCGTTAAGATTCAACTAAAGGATAGGCCAAGTAAAAACATATAAGCACACAACTTCAAAATCCATTTTCATATGGGATTATAACAATTATCAGATTATTGCCAATAAGACCAAAACCAGAAAATTATCCCAACAAGCATCGCCGTATCTAGTAACAAGACAATATCAGCAGCTAAAAGCTAATGACACAGTAACACCTACTTTTTGGTGGCTTGTCTATTGCACAAGCTGTGCAGACATTATGGTACAAAGGGCAAAGTAGAGAATAAGAGAGAAGCTTCATATTGAAGGATGGAATTCCCTTGGCATCATTGAAATAGTATTCATCTATCAGAGTTTCTTCAGACACAGAAAAGCAACTGATATAATGTTCTGGATCTACCAATTGACAAGCAGTTTTAACAATTTAGTGACCAAAGAGAAAAGGTGGATGATAGGTGGGGAATAGGAGATAAATGTCAAGAATAACAGGCAACATTACCTGGACATCATGACAGCTTATTTAGCAGTAATTAATTGCAGATAGATAATAAAAAGAGTAGCTCATACAGTCACCTTGAACACCTCATCTGCAGAATGACATTTCAGCTGACTTTCTTCAAAAGATATCAGGCATCTAATCCTTCTAACATAAATTTTCTTTTGGGGGGAAAAAAAAAAAAGGAAGCCCACCCTCCTTTTACTTATATTTTTCAACAAAAATTGCAGAGGAAGGAGCACTGGTTTTGCCACAAGACAGTTCCAAGTGCTTGTCAGAATTCCACAACAAGTGCAGCAGCAAAAAACAGAAAGTTCTTAAGCAGAGATTTGAGACAAAAGAAAAGATGGCAAAATAATTTCTGCAAAGACAACAGATATTGACAGTTCTCATCAAGGACATCAGGGCCCATAATTTTAAGCCAGCAAAAATTGGTAAGTTCCCGTAACTCATCTGCAGCCTAGAGTGCACGAGTGTTCCTTCAATTCCTACCACATAATTGATCAATGGGTCCAACAAATACTAAATTTGGAAATAGTATGAAGACATAAATCTTTCCAAAATTTACTGCAGAGGACAATATGTTTGAAAAACCAAAAGACAGGAGTAGCACCTAAAAAAATAAATATAAAAATATTTCACCTGCATGGTACAAGGAAGTAAATTGGTTTGCAGGAATAACCTAAGCTGCCCAAAACTTAGTTAAATAACAAACAAACTCTGGATAGGTTTCTACAGAAACACCAAACTAAGGCAAAAATTGACACATCTGCACTGCAATTCTAGTAGACATGCCCTTTTTATCTCTCTCATCTGCTCCTTAGACAGAAACTGAAGAGTGTTGATAACTTTGCACCCAGTGATGTTCTAAAGACAATTCCTAATGGCTGTCAGAGTTCTTGTACTATTTCAACAAAAATAACAGACAGCACAGTAACAGACTGAAAGAGAAAGACTGACAAATAAAAATACTTTCTGTTGTGACACTATTAAGTTCCTCCAAGTTGCACACACCAGGGCCCAGAACCCAGAGCCCTAAAGAAACTCCAAAAGTGTTCGCAACATTTCCATTATCCAGATGATAATAATCTAAAATCTAGCTTATACTCCAAAATTTCACCCACAGCAAAGAAATAACCTGATTTACACAACAAACATATAAAATTTCCACTATAAAGCATATACTTTAATTATACTTTTATGTTCTTTCCTGAATAATATGATATCACAATTAGAAAAGCAGGAACCTCTTATATAGTCTTATGAGCTTAGCTAGCAAGCTTTGTTCTCTCATGTAATCAAACTTCAAGTTACTGTAAAATTTCCAAGCTCATCCAGGCAGCACATAGTAACAGCAGAAATACACATATACATGCTAACAAGAAGCAATACCTGTAATCTTTGCTAGGGATTCCATAGGGAATGGAGTCCATATTATAATGGGATTGGTTAGTTCCGGAACCAGTGCCCTGAAGATTACCAAAGGCATGCAATGGCAGGTTCTGGAAGCTTCCAGTTGCACTGCTGCTTCCAGTAACAGTCAGTGATGTCACAGTGGACGATGACTGTGTAATGGTTTGTGATTCCACAGGCTTTCTTGAACGGTTGCGGCCACGGTGCATGTGGCGCTCACAATACTTGGAGTCCGGGTATGCATCTTTGGAGCATCTCCACTTCTTTCCATCAGTCCTCCTGCATCGCCCTGGCTCCGGGTCAACCTTCTTCCCATAGAAGGAGCAATAACCCACTGCAAAATTATTCGTGATATTATATAAAAAAAAGATCAGGAATGATGAGAATCTGATTGTTGATTATAATAAGAATGGTATAACCTTCACAATCAAAAAATACTTTATCAACAAATTATAGCAAAACTTAACTGCATTTGTCATCGATAAATTAACAATATCATGTGGATCATTAGAAATCAGGTGTAAGCATCTTCTGATATCAACGATTAGTAAACCCATAAGGGGACGGGGAATATGATTGTCTGAAATGCTTGGAATAAAGAATAAAATCTTCAACTATATGCATATATAAAAAAGGAATAAAATGTAAGGGCAATGAAATGGACTCAGCAAGAAAAGTTTGTGCCAAAACAAAAATCACTCGGACATTGAACTTTTTCTTTTACAGTAATTTTGCAAAAGTGCAAAAATCTCCAGTCTTTATCCCGAAAAAGCTAATTTTACCGATCAAGTAATGCCTAAAACATGAATCCCAAATGCTATTCCTAGTCAAAAAAAAAAACTTCTAGTGTAAAAAGGTGTTCTGATGTCTGCTGAGATCAAAGACAATCATAAAAAACAACTACCCAATCTTCTATCTCTAAATTTAAAAATTAAATAAGAAATTGAAGCATACTTAACAATACCCACTAAAAATTACCATTTTGTTTTCAAACTTCTATTCATTTCTTGTCTACACCTAACCAATCCAAAACAGAACACAAAAGAAAAAAAAAAAGCAAGCAAACAAAAGAAATGCTTTTTGATGAACACGACAGATTTGTTCTAAAAAACACAATTATTATCAACAAAAACCAAACTTGTATTCTAAAAAAAAGAGAGTGTGTGAAAGAGGGATACACAAGAAGATTCCCAAATCAAATCAAGCATCGATAGAATGAAAAATTCAATCAATAAACTAAAAATCAGGAGACCAAGAAAAGAGAGAATGAGAAGGGAATAGAAAAACACAAAGACACAGATATATAAAGAAATGCTTTTTGATGAACACGACAGATTTTGTTCCTAAAAAACACATTTATTATCAACAGAAACCAAAACTTGGTATTCTAAAAAAAGATGAGTGTGTGAAAGAGGGATACGACAAGAAGATTCCCAAAATCAAAAATCAAGCATCGATAGAATGAAAAATTCAATTCAATAAACAAAAATCAGGAGACCAAGAAAAGAGAGAATGAGAAGGGAAATAGAAAACACAAGACACAGATATATATATATTAATATATAATATATAATATATTAATATATTATAATAATTATATAGTTATATTATATTTAAAGAGAAGTTTTTTTACCGGTGGGATGGTTTGGATAGAAATCTATGAGAAAATGGACTCAAGCTACTTCATATATATATAAAGAAGTTTTTTTACCGGTGGGATGGTGGAAGAATCTATGAGAAATGGACTCAAAGCTCTTCTGAATGGGGAGCACAAGATCAGGTGGCACAGGCAAACCTGCCATCATGTACTTAAAAATCAAAGCTTGGTGTTCCAGTTCTTGCCACTGAGACACTGTAAACGGAGACCTCATTGCCAAAACGCCTGACCCCATTCCTCCTGTCACTCCCCCGGCCCCCCCACCAGCCCCACCTCCACCACCCACTCCAACACCACCACTATTCATCTCCACCGCCACCACCAACACCACCACTTCTTCTATTTATACTACCACTATTCACTATATATTCTATATTACCACTATATCTCAAGATATCTTAAGACCCAGAAGCTTAAACATGGAGCAGGACAGGAAAGAGGGACATGGGACACAGATCAACCTCTGTCTCAGCCATTTAGTATGTAGGCGTGTGTATATATGTGTGAGCGTGTGTCACAGTCTCAGTGTCTGTGTAGGTTGTTGTGTTGGGAAAGGGGGGCAGTGTCTGGTGAGGAGGGGATCCTCAAGGCCAAGTTTGGTCTGATTTTATCGGGGGAGGCATTGCATTAAATAATAAAGTTTCAACTACTAATTTAGTTTTAGTGATCACTTAATCACTAAACCAAAGGTTTTGTTCAGGTTTAAGCTCTTTACTCTTTAGCTCTTGTTGTCAAAAGGTAAAGGGATTTTGTGTGTCTGCAATTTTTTTTTTTATTATTTTTTTTTTACTTTGCCAACGACATAAACTTTACTGTAGGTTAGCGTAGGTGATTGTGATTGTGATTGTGTTTGTGTTTGTGTTTGTATTTGTACTTTATTTCTTTTCTTGACAGAATGTGGGTTTAATACCCTTGGACCCACCACATGTTTAGGTGGTTGGCAAATTGCTTAATGTTCAATATATATATATATAAATTAGTCTTGAGTTATAATTAAATTAATACACGAGAATTTATATTTTAAAAAATTAACTATGAGATCATTAACTTATTATTTTATTAATGCATTAATCCTTTCGTCCAAAATAATTAACTGAAAAATTAATCTCTAAATTATTATCAAATTAATGATAAAGTCGCTAACTTGTATTTTCCATTAAAATTTTGTTAAAATTAACTTGTTTTTTCAGAAATTTTATTAACATTTTATTAAATTATGGTCAAATTAACATTTTGTCAAACTCGAGTTCCATTAAATTTAGTAAAAAACATATTTTATCAAAATTCATAATTTTGCTCCTCCATTTTTAGAAATACATAATTTTATTTTTATTTTTTTCTTTCATTATCTTAATATATTATTCTGTCAATTTCTTTTGCTTTTTTTGTTAAATATTAAAATAAATAAATAAATTTTTATAGATATAAAAGAGTCAATAAATACAATGGCAAAATACCCGATAAAAAGAAGAATTTATTCGTTAATTTCAGTAAAATATAGAGAAAAACAGTAATTTATTTAGAAGTATGAAAAATTGACCGGATTAACCTAAAAGTATAATGAAGGTAAAAATATGGATAAATTTTTTTTTATTTCTAAAAATATAAGGGCAATATTGTATAAAATGGTAAAATACATAGATAAAATCGTATTTTTTTTGCAATAACACCAATATAAACAAAAAATAATAATCGATATTATAAATTCATAATAGAAAAACAAATAAAATAATGTTTCTTATTTTATTTTATGTTTAGTTGTTGAAAAATCATTCCTACCTTTTTTTTTTAGAGAATTATTTCTACCAAATTATTAGCTCCAAATGATCAAATCCTCATATTCAAGACCTGAAAATACAAATACATTAACAGATCAAATCTGTGTATGACATTTGGAGTTAAAGGGTGATTCGTGACCCCTCGTAAGGCCTCAGGTATTGATCAAAACGCGTAAATATGTATTAATTATAGATATTTTTTTAAAAATAAGCTTTTCTCCTTTTTCTTTTCCTCCCTTTTCTTTTTTAATATGTAGAGAAAAAAACAATTAACTCATATACAAGGAAAATAAATTACATTTAAAAAAAAAAATCGAACTGTTTTTTCTAAGACAATCTGTTAATGGTTTTCTAAAATTGTCTTGAAATTTACTTTGACTGAAGTTTTGCATTTTATAAAATTATTAATTGTTAATGGAAAGTTGATTGTCCACGTAATAAAAAAAGTATCATAAATTTAATAACGTAAATATTTAAGCTATTAAACTCAAAATTTAAATAACGGTAATACATGTTTTTATTTTTTTGTCTCTTGCATTTAAACGAAGAGATATTATAATTTAACTAATAAAATAAATACTCAATTTTTAATTATTAGTGTAAATTACACGAAATAATTTATATTTTTTATAAAGTTTATATTGGTGGACCCCTTGTATTTTCTTATAAATTAGAGTAATAATCCAAATCTAACATAATTTAATTAAGAAAAACAAATTTAATGAAAAGGCAAAGGGAAAAAACAAAGATAAAGAAAAGATACGTTAAATCTCTCAATCCCTATAATTTCCCCCAGCTCTTGTACCCCCTGTCTCCTCCTTTACGGCTTCACCTGACAGCAACCACACGTGATGGGCTGTATAGAGGATGGGCCCATCAGGCCCAAAAATGAAAGGGAAAGCTCAAAACAAGCTAATAATCACAAATCAGTAACCTACACCAGCCGGTAAACCAGTAAGAAAGTCACCGGTTGCTTGCCGGAATGGGGGTGACATTCGATGGTGGGTCCGATGGAAAAGATTGGCAGAAGGAAAAGCCCATAAAGAAGAAGAATAGTGTGGGGTCCATAAAAGCTTTTCCTACTTTTGGGGTTTTGTATCATCATTGTATACTTGTATTGGTGGGTCTATTGGACTCAAAACCTATTCATAATATACATGGACCACTTGTATTTTCATTTTATCACCAATATTTTTTTTTATTTATATTATAAAAATAATTATATGTGTAGAGATAAAAAGAAACATTCATCTCCACAATGAATGGATGAAAATTTAAATCCATGTTTTCATTATAAAATTTGCATATTATGATTTATATACATATATAGTATAGCTAGTGATTTATATTGATGAAAAAAAAAAAAAGAGAATGCCATATTGTGGAGATTGAAACATTATATATTTTCACAAATTGTCACTAATTATCACTGACAATTATCGATTATCGTCGGCCACCATTATAAATCACTAATGACCATCACGTTTTATCTTATATATATTTAAATTAATTATAAATTTTTAATTATTTTTAATATATTATAATTAATTAAAAAATAAGTTATTTAAATATAAAATTAGTTTGAAATTTTGATTTTTTTCGTGGAATATACCGAACCCCAAAAAGGGTCATATCTCGAGCTATTAGAGGTTTGGAAAACAACCTCTAATGGCTAGAGAACCAATAGCCAATAGCCTTTTATAAAAGACCTGACACCTTCGATAAAATTAAAATCATAAAAGGCTGGAGATGCTTTTTTGAAGAAATGTCTTTATACTTATAAATAATTGATAAAAATTAAAAATAATAAATTTATATTCTTAATTAAATTGAAAATAATAAATATAAATATTAAAATTAAAATAATTACTTAATCATAAAATTTTCTGAATAAAAAATAAAAAAACTATATGAATGGTTAAAATATTATTTTTTGCTCAAGATATTAATTTTTACTGCTATCTAAAAATATGTTGAACATAAAAAAAATTATAAGATAAATTTAGTAGATATAGAACTCACATACATGATACTTAAAAGAGAATTAATATTTTAAAAAATTAGAGGATAATTAAATTTTAAAAAAAACATAATGTACATCATATAGTGTGGTTATTAATTATTGAAAAAATTAAATCTTATTTTATTATTAATATAAAGATTTATTATTTGGATGGTTAATAATTGCAAAGAAAAAAAAATTAAAGAGCTTTTTATTAATGAAATAAATTTATTATATGGTATTAATTATTGAATAAAGCAACTGAAAAGTTTTGTAATTTAATTTCTTCAAATTAGATAATTAAATAAAAATTTTAAAAATAATAAAATTTTACATCACCAACTAAGTTTTATAACATCATGCCATATAAATAAATTTGGTTAGGCTTTTATATATTTCTATAGATAGATAGATAAATATATATAGATAGATTTGTGTGATTATTTAGTAGTTTGCCTACATTATAAATGAGGTATTGAACATTTTTAATTTAGAATTTAAATATATATCGTTTGACTTTATTTTTTATGTAATTCATATAACTAAATTCTAAAAATAAGCATGATTAATATATTCAAATATAATAAGAGAACTAAACATTAATTCACTCCTTTGGGAGTTTGATAAAACTAGCATGTACACAGCTAAAAGACTATATATTATGCAAGTAGCACATGTAATTTTATAATATTTCATTTGTAATTAATAAAAAATAAATGGTTTAACCGTAATTATTATTCAGCCTTTGTATTTAAGAAGTACTATTGTTAAATATTTTAGAATATTTGACTATTGAGTCCATTTAATATAATTTTATCATTATTTAATCCTTCAGTTGATAATAGACACGACAGAAGAATTAAATAATTATATATTCAATAATTAAGAAAAATTCAGTTATTTAATGGAAAGTATAAAATTAAATTAACATTAAACCTAGTAAATAATAATTTATCCTAAAAAAATACAGTCCATCTAAACTAATTAGTACAGTCAGAAGGAAGTGTACCTTTTTCGAACAAGTACGTACAACACTGATGCCATGCAAGACATTTGATGTGTCTCATGGCTCCTTTTAACAAACTTTGGATCCTTTCTAAATCATATTATATGTATATATAAATATATAGATTTTCTAGTGCAGCTTTTTTAACTTTGTCTTCTTCTTCTTATATCATCTGTCTTTATACTATACCGTCGGAGTTCAAAATTCCAATTTCACAGCAACGTCCCAAAATATGTAAAATTATAATAATTTTGCTAAAATAATTAATTTATTTGTTTAATAAGTACATTATACGTATATATATTTAACATATTTTAATAACTTTAAATATTAACTAAACTTGTTATACATGGCAAAGTTGATATTACTTTTAACAATATTTTAATTAACTTTAAATATGTAAAACTAAAACTCTGTATAACATATGGCACAAGTTGTTATGAATATATATATTATTACACTATTATATATATATTAAAGGTATATATTAAAATTGTTATGTAAAAATAATTATATTTGAAAAAATTTATTTTAGTATGAATAATAAAATAAACATATATATATAATATTTTACCATAGAAAAAAGTAAAAAACAACAAAATGAATTTTCCATATCTGATTACAGTAATTAAAAAAATATATGAAAACAATAAATCAAAGAAAAAGAGTTGCGTACACTTATCTTGACCTTTTTCCCAAATATATTTTCATCTATATTAACTGTATTTATGAGAACTCGATGAAATTGAATAGGAAGAACTAAAAATATTTAATCAGGAGGTAGTTCATATTAATTACAAATAAAAAAGGTAAAAATATTTCAGCAAGAGGTAGTTTATATTAATTACGAAGAAAATAACATTAAAAAAAAGTAAAAATATACTAGTGAAGAAGCGTCCTTAATTAATCAGAAAAAGCATAATACAACAAAAAGCTTTACTATCATTATAAAGTAATTTAAGACTGCGTTTATTTTCGTAAAATAATTTACCGAAAAATATTGAAAAATATTTTTTAAATGTCTTATTTTTCGTTGTTTGATTGTAATATTGAAAATTAGTTAAAAATATTAAAATCTTTATCTCATAAGACCATAAAAATATTAATAATAATATAAATTATCTTTATCACTCATAAGACATAAAAATATTAAATAATAATATAATTTTATAAATTTAAAAATTTTTAATTGTTAAAATTATGAAAATAATGCAAAAAAATATAAATTAATGAAAGCCACCGATATCGTGGTAAGTGGGTCGGATGGTAAAATAGTGATTAGTGGTATTGACTTATTTTGATGATTAAAATAAATTAAAAATTATAGAATTATAAAGATTTGTTCAATATCTGAAAAATGTTTTCTTTTTCCGAAAAACGGAAGTTGTTTTCCTTAAAAATGACTTAAATTTTCTTTAGAACCTATAAATATTTTCGTTGACTTATTTTCCTTAACTGCACACAAAATAATGAAAAAATTGTTATAATAATATAAATTTTATAATTTAAAAATTTTATTGTTAAATATGAAAATAATGCAAAAAAATATAAATTATGAAAGCCACCGATAGTCGGTGGTAGTGGTCGATGGTAAATAGTGATTAGTGGTATTGACTATGATGATTAATAAATTAAAAAATATAGATTTATAAGATTTGTCAATATCTGAAAAATGTTTTACTTTTTCGAAAACAGGAAGTTGTTTTCCTTTAAAAATGACTTAATTTTTCTTTGACCAATAAAATATTTTTCGTTGACTTATTTTCCTTAACGCACCAAATAATGAAAAATTGTGACAAATATTTTTTTACAAGTTATTTTACGAAAATAAACGGAGCATAATTATGATAATTTAAATAATTAATTTAATTATTAAAAAATTATTAATGACTTTTATAAATATAATTATAATGATATTTTCAATTAGTTGACGCGTTTCCTTCATCCATTCATTTTTATAATAGACAACAAAAGTTTTCCATTTATATATTTTAAATCCTACAGTTCATTAAATATTCAGATAATGTAAAGAAAAAAGAGCTAGTCTCCATTTATACCTCTGGGCCATTAATTAATTATTTTGAAAGCTTGGGAAAATGATTTCCATGTATAAGTAATTAAATACTGTGTTTATACTATAAGAGACATGCTTGGTCAACCACTGTTCAAGTTTTAGGTGAAGGAGAAATTGCCACACAAGAAGCAGGGAATTGACCTTTCACCAACCATGCTTAGGTCACTATCCCACTGTATATAAAAAACAAATTATTTTTATTTTATTTTTCTTGCTTTTATTTTATTGTAATAAAAATGTAATGATTAATTCTTGAAGTGAGTACATATATATTGGATATATAAACAAAATAAATGTGATACAAGATTGCTTTTGTCTTATCCATTAATAGGAAAAAGAATAACAAGATAAAAAATTCCATCATTAAATTATTTTTAAAGACACACAGAGGTAAAAATTTAGGAATATTTTATATACTAGGTTTATATGTGGACACAGATTCACATGTTGGTTAGGGAAGGAGAGGACACTATAGTTTCATTCCCTTTTTGCCCTTCTAAGGAAATTGATTAACAATTATGGGGACCAAGTCAAAGGTGTTTGCCAACTTACTTATTTTATTTAAATAAAAATTTATAATTTTGGTATTTATTTTCTATTTAATAGTGCACAAATATAACTAATCTCTGCTCATCTTTAGAGATAAAGGGGCTAATCCGGTAGAATTTACGTTGCGAAGAATCGAATTCACCTCTTAAGCCATAATGATCAATCTCATAAGTACTTTTTGCCACTAAGATACCTTATTCGAGTTACAGGTAAAGATGTTTACGAGTCTATTACAAATTATTTCAATTTATGCATGAAATTATATGTTGAGGAATTAAATTTTTCAAAGATTTTATATTTTAAATTGAGATTTGAATTGTTTACTTTTAATAATAAAATTACGTTTTAATTTGGTCACGAATGATAAATTTTTAATTAATAATAAAATAAAAGATTAAAAAAGGAAAATTTAGGATATTTAAATGGAAAAAATATAAATCAATTGCCTATATATTTCATATTATATATATGTGGTTGACAATCTTTAGCAGGTTTGGTGAGGTACAATTTGCACGAGAGACACATGGTGTTTAATAGTAGAAGAGAGACAAAAATTGACTCATTTCTTTTGCTTACAAGACCGAATTTTTTGTACCTAATTGATATTGGATTGAGTTAGTAAGAGTATGCAATTGCACGTGACTAAGTCGATGATTAAGAGACCAATGGCATAAATATGGAGCCCAAATCTTGACCCTTGATCAGTATATTTTTAATTGTAATTATAAGTTTAATAAGAAAAATGATTAAATGTTTAAGTTTAATTTATGAAATCCAACCTAAATATTTAAATTAAAAATTTATTTCTTTTGCTCATTAATCGTCTTTTTTTCCCTTTCTCATACTGAAATAAATGTATTTGGTTGGACGGTTAATACACTTCACCAAAATAATAATAATGAAATCAATAAATTGCATGGTTGTTATTGTTTTGATGAACTGTTGGTTGGAAGGCAGGCAGCAAAATTATGCGGTCATAGGAGGACGATGAGCAATTGAGTATTTCTGGGCCAAAAATACAACAATACCCTTGAAGTTTGTCATATCGATCTAATAAATATCAATGTCAATATCATTCCATGCCAATTGTTAATTTATATATACACATGAAACAATAGGTAATTGAGTGAGGACTGAGGAATCATGTAATGGGTTTTATAGCTTTTCTGGCCTTCACTCTTTCTCTTACGTATCCTCCATTTCTGATGATTTGAGACCATTTGATTCAAATTCTAAAATCGAAGTGGAAATTAATAAAAATAAAAGAAAATATGATTGTCTTTCTCAAATATTTAGTAGTTGGGTATGAAATTGAAATTTTTATACCCTAATTATAAATTTTGGGTCGAAAGAAAAATTACATAGCATGAAATTTGAACTTTAAAAATTTAGATATTCTATTGAAATTTAAAATTTCTATTCATTTGAAAATATATTTTAAAATAACGTTGTTGATTAATATTCAAAATTTATATAAACTAATGTTTTTTAAATTATATTATACGTACATAATATTTTTAAAATTTTTGTTGATTTATAAAAAAAACATTTTCAAATTCTCTCTCTTTTTTTTTTTTTAAATTTTCATGAAAATTCATTTTAAATAGTTCAAAAGAATAAGGGGTATCACTTAAAAAGAAAAAAAGGAAAAAGAAAGAAACTTCTCTCCTTATATATCATTTCGTCCGTACACTATAATATCAAAAGAACTCAAGAATGCTTGGCTAAAAGTGAAAACAATGACAAGAATACCTCTTCTCAAAGCAACCATCATTGTTTCTTGAAACCCCCTTTGTGAGACCAAACTCCTAAACTTGGCATCTCATGATGCCCAATTCTCTCTATGTCCCTCTCTCCATATATAGAAACAGAGAAAGTAACTAGCTACCAGCATGTAAAATCCAGTGTAAGATTACGCACATGGTTGCATGTAAATGGTAATATTCCAAGTATGAGCCTCAAAACAACAATAATAACAACAAAGCCATAAAACAGAATAAAAAAAAACCCAATATTTGAAAATTTAAAATCATATCAGAAATTTAACCCAGTTCTAAAATCGAAATGTCAAATTTAGAGGAGCTAACATGTTATTTTATTGTAAATATAATGTATAATTACAACGTATAAATTATTATAAATGTATTGTAAATTTATATAATCATTTATTGAATTTATATTAACAATCAAAATGGTCACCCGCAATATTGCGCGGGCAAATTACCTAATTTTTCCTAAAGGTTTTTCAATTAATAACTATTATAATTAAAATACAAACATTTACTATCTGAATTGTTTGTTTTTTTTGTTTTTTTCTGCCCCCCTAGGATGACTGAATAAAGACTTCTCTTTCTTATAATGGATACGCATTAGGTTTTTCAGGCTGATGGGCTGGGCTAGTTCTCTAGGAAACGAGGGCAAATAAAACGACATCGGTTTGTTTTTCAGGTGTTTCCCGCCAAAATGATAGAAGAGGATCCAATCGCATAAGAAGCTACTAAAACCCTAACGATACACAAATTTTCTCCCATTTTTTTTTTTCTCTTCCTGCAAATGGCACAATCAACGGCAGCGACAGCAACGGATTCGCCGCATCTTCTGGCACCGGACGTCACCGAGAGTAATCTCCAGGTGCGCCTCTCCATGTCTCTGCATTTCCTGCTAAAATTAGAAAAAATCTTTAATTTGATTTATTTATGTACATTTATTTTTAAATTTCGGTACGAGTTAGAAACAGAAGTAGAAGAATTAGAAAAAAAAAAAAAGTTAGCAGAATAGTTGTGGTGAAATAATGGTCATGTGGAAGTATAACTTTAAGAAAATTGAAGATTGGAGATTACTTTTGTTCCTTGATTTTATTTGAATTTGAATGAAGCAGTAATTTAGTTGAAGTTTGGTGTCTTCATCCACAGCCTTTTTTTGTTCTGCATGAAGGATCATCTCATAAATCAAATAAAAAATCAACCAGAACAGCAAAAACCAGGAGGCGAATTGATTTATCTCCAACACTAACTAAGAATGGTGAGAACACAGAGACTGAGAAGGTTGAAGACAGTGATGATCATCAATATCTCGCCAAGCGTATGGAGGCTTTTGAGGCTGTTTGGTCAAAAATTGAGTCAACCATCAAAGTATGTCTCTCTGTTCTGATCCTTTTCTTGCCTTTTGCTTTAATGGTTATGATGTTTCTGTTAAAGAATGGATTTATAATTCTAATTGCAGGCTGTTTTGAGAAATCTTAATGCTAGTTCATTCAATGAAATACATCAGTGGGTTTGCGAGTCCTTCAAGACCCTTACATCATTTGGAACACCTTCATTTCATGAAGCAACCCGGCCTTTTCCTCTTGTGCAAGGTGTTATTTCTAAACAAGTCTTCACCGGGGTGGTTCTTACCAGTAAGTTCTCCAATTGGTCATTTCAGTTTGAGGTATTGCCAGAGAAAGGGGAATAAGGAGTTGATTCTATTTTTAGGCAGGATTTTTTTTTTTTTTTTTTTTTTTTTTATTGCCAGAGAAAAGGGAATAAGGAGTTGATTCTATATTTTTAGGCAGGATTTTTTTTTTTTTTTTTTTTTTTATTATGACTTGAATTACACAATATGTTTTTTAGAAACCAATTTTTAATGTTTTGCAAATGTTGTTTTTGGTGATGTTTAGGTGAGTTTTTTTTTTTTTTTTTTTTTTTTTATGAACTTGAATTACACAATATGTTTTTAGAAACCATTTTAATGTTTGCAAATGTTGTTGGTGATGTTTAGGTGAGAAACATTGAAATGTACAATGATAGTATACCATTATGGATACTTGTCTTATTGATATCTTTATTATTCCAGTATCTAATAACTATCTTTGGAGTAAAAGTTTTAATAAGATAATTTGAGTGGTGTAAAATTATTTGCTGGTTTTGATACTTTTCGGAGAGTGGAGGTAATTGAAGCATATGAAATTGCAGGCATGTAGGAAGAGCACATGCTTAAGATGAGCAGCTATCTGTTGGTAATAGATAATTGCTTTAAGACTATATTTATGGTTTTTATTTCATTTTCCTCTTTCTGTTTTTCTTTTTCAAACAAAATTTATCTGTTACTCTTATGCATGGCTTATATGCTATTTGATATGCGCTGTTGCTTATCTTTGGACACTCTTGTCCTTACTTGACCATAATGGATTATTTATTGGAAAATGATTGGCAGAGAATATGGAGTTTGTTGACGATCTACTAACATTTGAAGAGCTTGGCTTGCATTTAAAATCCAAAGGATGCCATGTGGCTAATCTCTCCTCATTGGACTTCTCGGTGAAAAATGGCATTGGCGGCTGTCTAAGAAGTTTATTGAGGCAGCTTGTAATGGTTACTTTGGATGTAAGAAGTTAAAGCCTCATATCTTTGATACAAGCCAAAAAGCTTTTTCTCGAAGAGCTGTGCAGTTTATGCTTGTTTGTAATAATCCTTTTGTGCAGGCACCTGATATTTCCATCTTAGCAACATGGTATAGAGAACAAGGAAACTGTAACAATCCCATTGTTGTAATCATAGATGATTTGGAGCGATGTTGTGGGTCTGTTTTGTCTGATTTCATCCTTATGTTGAGGTACTTTGGTGCAACTTGTTATCATCTTCCCGATCTCTATGTATGTCTTATGCTTATTCCATTCCTTGTTTTCCTCTTGGGGATTTATTTGTTTAATATTTCATTTCTCTTTTTATATGCTAAATTGTGCCTGGTTTTCCAAATCCTTAAGTTATGGGTTCTGATGATGCTTTGATCATTGCTACACTGGATGGGTAATTCGTGAAATTTTAATTACAATTTCCTACAACATCTTCATTTATTTGATCCTTTGCACAATTTTGTGGTTTCCTTATATAGTTTTGGTGTAACTTCGTTTTTCTTTTCCAGTGAATGGATATTAAAAATCCCAGTGATTTTAATAATGGGAGTTGCAACAACCCTTGATGCCCTGAGGAATATACTTCCTTCAAATATGATTCATCATTTGTGTCCTTGTAATTTCATTTTGAGAACCCCTTCAGAGAGGATGGATGCAATTGTCGAGGCTGTTCTTGTGAAGCAGTGTTCTGGGTTCTGTATAAGCCACAAGGTGGCTGTTTTTCTGAGAAGTTATTTTGTGTGCCAGGATGGGACCATAACATCTTTCATAAAAGCTTTAAAGGTTCGGAATTTATCTTGTATGGTTTTGTCAACTGTCAGTAATGTGGTTTGTAGAATTATAATTTCCTCACTGGAGAACATAATTAACTGATGAAGTTATGTTGAAAATACTTTTCAGATTGCATGTGCTCAGCACTTCTCCATGGAATCTCTAAGCTTCATCCTCCCATGGTTTCTTCTTGAAGAGGAAAGTGAGGTTATTTCCTGTTCTTTTCCCTATTCTGATTATACATTTCTAATGATGAATTCTCTACAATACACTTTCAGGGATCTTTCTCTTTTTCTTTCCTTTCTTCTCTTGTTACCTTATGTCTCACTGTACATACTTTTGGACAACAAATGTTATGCTATGGGCACAAGCATTTATCAAGTACCATATGATTCTATATGCTTTGACAAATATCAGCTACTATGATGTCTAAGGAAAGCAATTAAACCATTGTGAATATTTTCTGCTTCTGATGATCCATGGGAAGCATCATTTTTTGATTAATTTATTCCTTTTTATCTAAGCATACACCAAATTGGACATTGATAACATACATACCAACTAACAATTATTATATACTATTCTGCTTTTTTAACATTGCTTTGAGATGTTATATTGTGTACAACTTCTGAATTTATTTTTGTTATTTTCTTGCTCCTTTTGCTTTCAATTATAAAACCCTAGTTGCTTGATATTATCAATGCTTGGCTTTTCTTTTATTTAACTTTCTTTTCTAATTGATGTCCCCCATTGAAGGTGCTAGAAGGTGAAAATTATGGATTATCACCAGAAATTGTGCTCAAGCGTGCTTTTGATCTTCCATCTTGTAGGAGGTACTTCAAAGCATTCTTTTAATATGTTTCAGTAAGCAAGCCAAATATTGGTATGAGGAAGTTTATTATTGACTTGAACTGCAAAATCTATGGCCAGAAATAAGATGGCTGAACAAAATGGTGATATTTTGGTCCATGGGTTGTCAGAATTGAAGAAATTGCAAAAACAGTGGAGCACTATAGTTATGGTGAGGCTTCTGATAGGCATTGTAAAAGCTTCATATTCTCTTGTGTATATTGTTTTTCTTTTTCCCTTTAAAATCAATTTGTAAGGTTGCTATTTTTTCTTTTGAGGCACTTCTCTCATGTATGATCATGAATAGTTGAGGTTTCAAGTGTGATGCACCAAAGTTTGATTACGAAGGTCAAATTGATAATGGTTTTTGACATGTCAGAATTTTATTAGAAGGGTCCTACCTTTTAGTTTGGTCATTTCTCACCTGGGAGCTAATGTTTCTGTTTGTTGATTCATCATGGTTTGCAGTGCCTATATGAAGTTGTAAAGTGTGATAAATTCCTCTTGTTAGACTTATGTTGTGAGGCCCTTGATCCAGAGTTGGGCATGTTAAGGGTTTCAGACACTCACAGAGGCTTACAAGAAGATTCCATAGTATTCCCAACCGAACAAGACTTGCAGAAAAAGTACACTAGTTTAAGAAGGGGTGGTATTATCAGTCAAGCAATGCACAAGGTTAGGTAAGAAACAAATTTTAGAGTCCACTTTCTTGTGTAAAATTTCTTTATTGGAGGTTTAGCATTGCAAACATCATTTTATTTTGGCCTTGAAATCTATATTGACTGATAAATGAAGCAAAACATGAAGGTAACAATGAATCTGTTTTTCAGTTTTCATATGAAAAATGAAAACTGAAAATGGAAATGAACAATAATGGAAAGCAGAAAACTGTTTCCGCAAGAAAACAGATCACCAGGTGCCTTGACTCATGCCAGTTTTGCATTCACTTGAATGTGTGACATTTGCTCTAGAAATTGTTAGTCTCTTAGGCTGTTTGTCATTTTTAAATTCAATTAGGAACCTTTAAAAATTTCATGTGGGCTTTCTATTGAGTTGATTCTCTATAAATGTGTTCCAATTCATAAAATGTATGAGAATTATCATTCTTAAACTTTTTCAGTAGGGCCTATTGTTGTTGGAACTCGACAGTCGAAAAGTTTTAAATAACTCCAGAAATTTGAGGACTTTGTGATAATCATCGAGGCGCATTATATTGCCTTTTGCTTTATGGTTCATGACTTCACGTTGGAAATGATTTAATAGTCCTTCACTGCCTTTCTTTAATTAACTTACTTTTTCCAATATATTAGTTAGTGGATTAGGTTTTTCTTATTTTGTGTCACTAGAATACTGAATTTTAAATTCAATCAGGGATCTTCCAGCAATGCAGCTGTGGAAGTTGCTTAAAGGTTGGGAAAAACATACCATAGATATTCCTCAGGTGTGATGATAGCCTCTAAAGGTTTGATTATCGATGTACCTGCTTAATTGTATTTTGCATTTTTTACTTCTTAGACCATATTATTTCTGTTTTGTTCCATATTTACTTGTATTACACCCAAATCATTTCCACTTTACACTTTGTTTTCAAACTTTGGCCTTTGATTGAAAATGAGTTGCTCATGCAGATGCAAGTACTCCCCATAACCGTGCCCCCCCCCCCCCCCCCCATATTATTTCTGTTTTTGGTTCCATATTTACTTGTATTACACCCCAACATTTCCATTTACAAACTTTGTTTTCAAACTTTGGCCTTTAGATTGAAAATGAGTTTGCTCAATGCAGATGCCAAGTACTCCCATAAAACCGTGCCCCCCCCCCCCCCTCTTCAAAAAAAAAAAAAAAAAAAAAGGGAAAAAGAAAAAAGAAAAAAGGAAAGAAAACACAATTCAAGAATTTTTGGCATCTGTTTATTGCCACCAAAGTCCCTTCTCCATTTTTAGACAATCTCTTTGAATGCTTACCTACTTGGATTAAAAAAAAAAAAAAAAAAAAAGGAAAAAGAAAAAAGAAAAAAGAAAGAAAACACAATTCAAGAATTTTGGCATCTGTATTGCCACCAAAGTCTCTCCATTTTAGACATCTCTTTGAATGCTTACCTACTTGATTAGAGGAAGTTATTCTTTTAGCTTGCTGTCTTGGTTCGGTTTTTTAAAATGTCATTTCAGTTACAAGGGGATTCCTTGTCCTCCTTGTTACTCTACTTTCTTTCTCAACAAAATTTCATGTCTCATTGAAAAAACAGTGTAAAACTTTTGCTATAAACTGCCTATTTAATAAGCTTCTAAGAAACCAATGTTGACTACTTGATGAATAATGAACTGAAAGACTCAATTTTTATCCATAATGAAAATTTCAGATAATGAAAGTTTTGCTTTAGCATCCTTGAGTAATAATTGAGTATATGAAATTATGTTTGTGGAATTATGATTCATGAATGTTGCACTGGATTTATTCATTCCTAGGTTTATATATTTGTGATTTGGTAGACTACTTGGTTTTGTGAGGGCTAACTGATACTTAGGCCTGCACAGTTATCCTTGATCTAACTTGGATTTTATATTAACTTATATTCTTCATTTCATTTTGACATAGATTAATGACAAAGTGAAGGAGTTGCTATCAGTTTTGAAATTTGAGGATGGCAAGAATTTGAAAAGAGATTTGGTCGATATATCCAAGTAAGTTTCTGCTTCTTTTTATGTTACCATTACATTTGGAAAATATTTTCCTCTTGATGCCATGTTGCATGTAAATGTCAGTAAGTTATTGGGAAGCCTGTTGCAATTTAATCATTATGAGACCTTTGGATTTGGTATCATTTTGATCTGTATATTGTCAATAGCTAAATTCACCTTCAATAGTGTGACTTAGTTTCTAATGAGATGGTTGCTGGACTCCTGTGTGAAATTGGGAGACCTTTATCCTTTTTCTCTTTGACTTGGTGATGGATGCAAAAAGTAGATGTTCAGAGGGTCAAACCTCAAAGGGTTAGAATAGATTGGTGTGGACCAGGGGATGGTTTAGATATTAATTATCTTCTATTTGTAATGCGCTATTAGTTTGCAGTAGAGGGATCAAGTTGGAATTTCAAAAACATGTTCTTGTATAATGAGGCTGCATACTGAATTGAGGTAAAATTTCCATTAAAATGTAGGTCTCAAACTTTACTTGATGGCATTGAGGATAAAATTAAATGTTCCTTTAGATACAGCTCTTGTTTCTTGCTGTTCTAATTATTTTATGTCATATATCATTTCACTTCATTTATAACTATCATTGTCTCTGTGATGTTGATTTAATAAAATGCATCGGAATTAAGATGTCTATTCTGAATCCACATTGTTCATCAAAGTTTGTCGTTTCATCCAAACAGAGATGGACCATAATGATGAAAACTAAGCCATTTGTACTATTTTGGCTACATTATGTTGCTGCTCGTTGTGCCTTCCAGACTTATATTATCATTGCTTCTGTTTTTGTGCACTTTCTGTTTGATTTTGTAGTGAGATTATGGAAACACTGATTGTAGAAGCATTATCTTTGCAAAAAATGACAGGAGACGTGCATCTCAGAGCCATTTGAATTTTGAAAAGGACTTGAAAGCAGCAACTGAGAAAGCTGCAAGACTAGCAGAATCTATGGTTGGGTAGGGATGTTCTATCTGGTTCCCTTTTTCTTGTTTGGTCTGTCTTTTTCTGTTGTTAATATAACACTCAATTGCATTAATGCCAAACTATCTGACTAGGTCCCTTCTTAATTGTTGGATTTTGGCTTAGGTTGATTAATAGTTCTATAACAGACAATGTTGTCAATTAGTTAGACTTTTTGCACCTTGAGTTGTCTTTGAAAAATATGAATTTGTTTAGCACGCACCAAAACTCACTGAGCTAATTGTTTATTTTCTAACATACGTCATGATTGCAATAGATGACCATTAGTACTTTGAAATTGGATGAGTAAAGTGATTCAAAGGGGTGATTTCTACTTACAATAATCAGACAATATATTGCTAGAAGTGTGAAGGTTGAATGTGTAGGGTGGGTTTTGAAGAATAAACTAATAATCCTAGTGTGAAAAATTTAAGAATGAGCAAAACCACTGTGAGACTGGAGAGTAAGCAGGATTTTTGTAATATAATTCTTTCAAGTCTTATTTTAGCTTGAATAATTGAGTCCAAAGCTGACACATGAAATCATATTCTATATATATATAAGTGTGCAGTGGTGAGAGAGAATAACAGAATATAGTGGCTCAGGTTGTGGATTGTTAAAGTGCAAAGTACTCTTAATAAAATAATAAACTATTCTATCCTATTGCTGTCTTGTCACCTGCGCTTATTTCAAAAGTTTATGTTGTAGTATTTTCCTTCCATAATTAATGTGGAGAAGATAATTTGACTTGGGGATGAACATGCTGGTGAGATTTGATTCTGGAGTTGCAGTGTCATGGATGTAGGGTTTTTATATGGCAAAGATTCTTATTGTTGAAAAAATCTCTATGGCCTTTAATGCGTGAAATTTTGTTTTAGCTATTAGTAGAGAAACCACAGAACAAGTGCAGGTACACAGATAAGGAAAGGAGGAAGAAGTGAAGATATAATTTACATTGTTCAGCAACTCTGGTTACATTATTTTGTAGCGGTCTAGGGCTTTTCACTAGTGAAAGAAGAGTATTACATGCCTAGATACTAGTTTTATTCCTTATACGGGTAGGATTGGGAAAAAAAAGCCAAAATTAAATAATCACCTCCAATAATAAAGCGCGACCTTTGACTGTCAATACCCCAGACTGAAATCCCTTATATGAGCCTTTCTAATAATTGTATGTGATGAAATAATTTTAAGCTTTACATTAACTTTGTTTGCATGAACGTCAGCATGTATACTCAAGGTTATTTGTAAATGATCAACCTGGAGATGATTTCCTGATACATGATCTATCTTTGGAACAGAGACTATATGCAGCCCATTGAGAGCATAGCTTTCCATGAGATTGTTTGCTTTAAGCATGTTGAACAACTTCAAGTGGTAAGTATGTTAAGGATTTCTTTATATTACAAGTTTTTGGGCTTCTGCCTTCTTGCAAGAAAAAAAAAAATCAGTTTATTGCTGTTGAATATAGTTAACAGATAGCAGTAAGCATATGTTAGGCGTTGCTTTTTGGAGTATTCTTTTTTTTTTTTTTTTTCTTTTTCATTATCAGTTTTATATTGCCACTTAAACATTGCTGTCAAGTATGGCTAATCTAGAAGTGGCATGTGCTAAAACACCTTAGATGTTGACATAAACTGTATTTTATGCATAAAATATGAGAACGGGTGCAAAATGTAACACAGGAAAACTGAAAAATGACTTGTGTTCTGTTCAGAAAATTCTTTCTTTTTATTTATTTATTTATTTATTTTTTTAAAGATCTTGTAGGATTATTAAACATTATTATAAATAAACAAGTCACATGAACTAGCATTTTCATATATTATGCATAAAATATTGTCCTCATCATTACTTGTGATGCTTTGGCACTTCCTGTCCCTAGACTATCTTTACTGACATCGATGTTGAAGTAGGGTACATAATTGCTATGGAGAAAGTACCCGTCATGATTGAAGTTTGGACCTGAGTTTGGATTTTCTGGGTCATTAATCTCGTCTTTAATTGATTATGATAATTGATATGATATCATAAGTAAGGTCCATATCATCTCTGAGTAATCTCTAAAGTTGAAGGGATCATTGTGTCTTTCAAGTGTGGAGGAGACCTATGTCTTCATTTCATTTCATTTCAGTTTAAAAAAAATGTGTAAAAAAATAAAATAAAAAATATAAAATATAAAAATGTGTAAAAAAAAAGGGGTCAACTTCTTCGCCTTAGTTCAATGTTTTGGTCTCTACATGTTGATTGGTTTATATTTTGCTTGTTGAAATAGAAGTCTAGAATAATATACCATGATTAAGAGATTTAAATGCTTAAATGAACTTAGGTGTTAAGATATGACAGCAAAATTTTTCTTTAGCAAATGTTAATCTTTAATTAATCATCTAGACATTATCTTTGACTTTAGAAAAGCATGAATCCCAACTTAAATAAAGAATAGGAAGGAAAGGGAAACTAAAGCCATAATACTTGTACTGCTGTAAATAGTTCCATAGGGAAGCAATGAATTTTTTACAAGCATGCTTTCACTTACCTTCCAATTTCATAGAATTGAGATTTTTATATTGCCAATCTCTCTATATTTATTGTTTTTCAAATATGCTAGGCTTTAATTGGAGACCCGAGGAAAAGGATTCAAGTTGATCTTCTTGAATTCCATAATATCATCCGGTGCAGTTGTTGCAGCAGGAGTGGCAATTCTTTGTTGCCATCCATGAACGATTCCTCAATTATGTAAGTCTGATTATCCAATTTTTTATTGGTCAGACTAATGAAACTGGGTTGAACCAAAATTTTTTGACAATAATCTGTCTTTGGAAGGTACTACTTATGCTTGCACTGAAGATGTCTAGTTTTCTTATGAGCTCAGGGTTCGATTGCTAAAGAAACTTAACCGGTTATATGATTTTTCTTTTTCCCTTTTCCAAAATGAATGCAGTACTGCTCTTCCTCTCTCAACAGGGGAGATTGTTATATGGTCCATGACATTGTGGACCATCTCATATAAGGCGGATCCGGTTGGTGGAACCAACATATATTAGGACCACCCATATGAGATGATATATGGGTGAACCATGGTTTAGACAAGGACTTCTAATAATATGTACAAATTATGTACAAACTTCCTTCGTATTTGTCCAGAATGACGTAGGGGATCATACATTTTTTTTTTTTTTTTTTAAAAAATCAGACTAATCGAAACTGGGTTGAAACCAAAATTTTTTGACATAATCTGTCTTTGGAAGGTACTACTTATGCCTTGCACTGAAATGTCTAGTTTTTCTTATGAAGCTCAAGGGTTCGAATTGCTAAGAAACTTAACCGGTTATACTGATTTCTTTTTCCCTTTTTCCAAAAATGAATGCAGTACTGGCTCTTCCTCTCTCAACAGGGGAGATTGTTATCTGGTCCATGACATTGGTGGACCATACTTCATACTAAGGCGGATCCGGTTGGTGGAACAACATCATATAGGACACCTATGAGATGAATATAATGGGTGAACCATGGTTTAGACAAGGACTTCTAATAATAGATGTACAAATTATGTAAAACTCCTTCGTATTTTGTCCAGAATGACGTAGGGGATAATTAACATCATTTTTTTTTTTTTTTTTTAAAAAATCTCGTGGGGGTGGGGAATCAAGAATCAAGGACTTGGAAAGCAGATGAATGAATCCAAAGAAAATATGGAGGACATCAAATTCTCTAATTTGGTTAATCTAATTGGACTGTGTATGCCTTTAATCCAAGTGAAGCATTCAGTTTGTGTTTTGGCTTGAAAATTACAATTATGACTTTATTTTTTCAGGTATTCCCTAGCTCGAGAGCAGGACGATCTTATTAATCTCCATGACTGGTATCAATCTTTCAAGTTGGTAATTCTTAGCTCTAGCAATAAAGGGAAACATCGGACGAAGCATTTTCCATCACCAAAGAAAAGGAAAGTTGCAACTGAAGCTGCAAAGCCAACTGAAGAATCAATTCAGTATCCTCATGAAATTACCATTTTCACTGCATTTACACTTTTCAATAATTTCTTCAGTTAATTTAGTCTAGTTGGATATGCATTTGCATTTTGGTTTTAGCCATTTTAGCGCAAAAATTTATGTTAGTGTTTGGGGAGAGAGAGAGGAAGTAAAATAAGCGTCAGAAGTAAAATAAGAGTCTAAAATTACACTATTCACTTTTCTTCCCAAATGGAGTGTACATTCGCTTTAATATTTTTACCAAATCAAATAAGGGATTTTAAAAATCTCAATGCATTTTAGTCCTCTATTTTACATCTTTTTTTATTTTACCTCCTGCATCAAATTTTATGTTCCCGTCTTCTAGTGGTTTCATTAATTTTTTTTAATAAATTTTGATTGGCTTCTGTTTCCTTTTATAGATTTGTCTTGTCAAGTCGTTTTATAATGCGTTATACGGTTCCTTCTGGGTCCCTCATGTGTATTGATGCATGGATGTTGATTTGTCCCCAACTCACCACTAAAAATGTTATTAAATGAAATGAAATCTGATGTGTCGAATCTTCACGTTTAAAGAAGATCCTTTAACTTGATTACCCACAGAGCACGTTTTTGTAGGGCAGTTACGGAGCTCCAGCTTACAGGGTTTATTCGGATGCCAAGTAAAAGACGGCCCGATTATGTGCAGAGAGTGGCCTTTGGACTGTAGCATCTTGTATCATTGAGGTATACTTTTATTTTTTTTTTTCCTACTCTTTATGATCTAATTTAACTAATTTGTGTAATTATTTAGTGAAAAATATATATAAAAAAAAGATTTTTGAGTTATATTCTTTGATGCCTTATTTTCTTGCCTTGCTAGTTGTGAAAATAATAGATCAATCTTTACCTTAAATTTGATAAAGAAACAAAGTGACCTGGGTTCTAGAAAATTTTGAGAAACAACACTACTAAAATAATTAATTAATTAATAATTAAAGAAAAAACACTTTGTAAAAATAATGAAATTTTGCTTTGTAATGAATCATGCCTTTTGTAAATGGCGCTAGACGCGGCTTGAAAAAAAATTATTTGAAAAGCTTAATTAATCGAGTTAAAATTTAGAAATTGATTTTTTTTTTTACTATAAAATATAAATAAATAGAATTAAACAACTCGACTTGATGACACGTAGGCTTATTTTAATGGGTTCGCGCACTTTTAGCATGTTTGAAAGCACACTATCTGTAAAGGTGTGTGAGGTGTGTGATAATTGCAAAATTTCTAATTTCAATTGTACAACATGTTCTTTGCTAAACTCCGTATGCCACGTGGTTAAATAGTAAAGTTGATAGGGATTTTTATATTTGGTTTTTACTGTACTTTCAGCTTACAAATTGTGTTTTTATTAAATACTTTAATAGTTAAATTGTTTAATGGATTAATATAAAAATTGATGGTGTCTTTAGATTTAAAATTCAGATGTAAATTTAGATTAATTATATTAGCGATTTTGAGCTTTTAATTTTTTCTATTTTGATGTTTAATTATAAGAGAAAAGTTTTATTTTTAAAAAAATATTTATATTTTTCAAATTAAAAAAAGGATATGAAAGCTTAATAAATTATTACTGTTCCCTTTGTGCCGAAATGATAATCTATTTTCTATTTTCATACAAATTAAAAAATATAATTAAAAGATATAATTTTTTTATTATTTTTATCTTAAATAACATATAAATAATTATTATATTGAAATAATAATTAAGAATTAATGAAGATTATTAAAATATAATAAAATTTAATAATGGTATAAAATATATTCGGATTAATTATAATTTTAAAAAGAAAAATAAATTATATTTTGACACAAATTAAAAAGTAAAGATTATTATCTTTTTGGATGAAGAGTATAATATTAATAAAATTCTGTAATTAAGCATCGCCAATTGTTTGCGTCGGTGGTGCCGACATTTTTTATGTGTGGAGGACTATCAAGACACGCGCTTACTTCATTTCGCCTATCACGCTCATTGTGATTTTAGGCAAGTTAGCGTGTGTACAGTTGTTCATAGAGGTGATAGGGCTTGATTTGATGCAGTTTGAAAAGAATTTTTAAATCAAATTATGTTTTTTTTTTTTTTTAAATTGTAAAATCAAATTAGATTATTTAAGCGGTAGAATCAAATTATAATAAAATATTAAATTCTAGCCGTGTTAGGTTGTTCATTGAGTAATTTGAAGATAAAATATTGATAAATTTTCAATAGAAACAAAGAAAATATAAATTTCTTTATTTTGTAATTGTATTCATTTGAAAGTGTTCACTAAATAATTGAAAAAATCTTTTAATATTATAAATAACTTGCCATGAAAAGGTTATATTGTTAATTTAAATTATAAAATTATGCACAACACATCAATTTATTGGGCACCACCCGAGGTGGTGGCCCAGTGGCAAAAACATTGATGATCCGCTATAATATATACGTATTGACTCTGCTGCGTAGAATCACAGTCCACTTTGTGGACTGCATTATGTCGGGTTCTATTGTTGTGAGACGAAGACCGTAACGCTATGATCCTTAAAATATAGCATTTTTAATCAGTGTTTAGGAATCGGTGCATCCTATAAAAGTGTCTTAAATCGGAACATTAATATCTGATCGGTGGCCGAGCCAATGGAAATAGCGATTAAAATAACTATTTTTTTTTTTTTAAAAAAAAAACTAATTTTTTGAGCGGGGAAGTGAGGTAGGGCCGGAATTGTGAACCGTCTTTGCGAATTGCTATCGTGTGGGAAAGGCCATTAGAATACACAAAATTCCATTAACGTGGCGAAATGTGGTAACTTAGAAACTGAAGGATAATCCTTATATACTGAAGGCTAAAATTCGAATTACATTAGTCTCATCTAAAAACAAGTATAAGAATATTCATGAAAAAATATTTAAAAAAAGACGAATATAATTTAGGTATATTAAAGGATTTTCAATGCAATCATAGTTTCCTTTAATTTATTTGCACATCTAAAAAATTAAAAATTAAAAAGATGAAAATCTTTAATGTTGTTGTCTGTTTAGTTTATGAGTCTGATGTTTAAAAAAAAGAGAGACACTGTCCATTACATTCTCCGTTTTCAGATAGTCTATTAGGCCGAATGACTTGACTTTTTGTTCTTTTTTTTCCTTTTTATTCATTTTTTTTTATTTTTTCATTTTTTTTATGCCTTCTCTTTTATTCGCGTACAAACTTCTTATTGCAAAATCTGATTTTTTTCATGCATTAGAGAACCATTTTTAAAATCTAACGTCTATAAACACACATTCAACCACATCACCATCCACAATTTCTATTAATTAGAATACATAAGCCACAGTTCATGATTACACTGGGAATGCTCTTAATTTAGGAAAGAATGAAATACTCAGCTAATTTTCTTGTAGTTTCCTTATATAGATTCACTAATACATCAATCAATTAGTAATTATCAGTTAAAAATAATTGTTGTTTTAATGTATTGATGAATCATACGCGGGAATAAATTAATCTCCTTCGGTTTCGTAAATCATGATAGGATAGACTTGGGTTCTGTTCGGTAATTCAACGGTTCTTATAGATGTTAGATGCTGTAGTAGATGTTAGCTATTTTACTAATTATTAACGAGTAGATATTAGCTATTAATGGAGCTGTTTATGTAGAGATTTAAAATAAAAGTGTTCAGAAAAATAAGTGTTTGATTAGCTATTTAATATAAAAAGACAAAAAAAAAAAAATAATAAGGTCATATAAAATAAGACAAAAGACAAGTGATTGCCATGACTTGATAAAAATTTTATAAAATATTAAACTTTAACGAAGATAACATTTCATCAAATACTATCTCAAATTTTAAATATTAAAATAGATGTGACATTACCAAATACAATAATTAACTAAACTAATATTTTAACCTAATTAAAACACTAAATACTACTCCAAACGCTTTTGCGAAATAGAGTCTTGATATAACTCATTTGACCGCCAGCCCGTTGGAATGGATGAGTTGTTTCCAGTTCCGCAAATCACTCATTGGGCTAAATCTAATACTTTTCGATAAGAAAGAGAGCTCTCAACAAACGTTTTTCTTTATCCATAAAGATTGAACCCTCACTCTAATCATTTTCACTAAAATCGATCCCATTAATATATCAATCATTTCAATTATGGATTAGATGGTTGTTACTTGTTACATAAGCTTAAGTTTAAATAATTAAATCTAGAAATAGAAAAATAAATTCACTTGAAAAAAATTATTTCGATATTAGCTTACACGGGATAAAAACAAAAAAAAACCACAGAAAAAGGACCCATGGGATAATCGTCCACAGTTCTGTAATTAATAATTAGGCTTTGGACTTCCTGAGTCCAAGAAGAGACTTTTCTTTCAAATCTTTTGCGTCTCTACAATTATCTATATAAATCACCACCACCGTTACGGCACACATCTCTCACCGCTTAATCTCCGCTCTATATTCTCTCTCTATCTCTGTCTAGAAAACCATTGAACAGAATTGTATTTCAACATATAATTTTGCAAGAAACCCAAATCTCCAAGATTCATACACCGAAAGGCAAATGCATTTCTGATTTCTTCACTGATCTGCATTTCCAATTCTTCAGGTACTCTTCCTCTTTGATTTTTCATTTTTTAATTTCATGATTATCTGTTCTGTTCCGTTCTGTTATTTCGATCCAATGCGATGCATAAGCAACTTTCTTGATTTACTTTCTTTTCTTTTCTTTCGACGGGAACTACGGGTTTAATTTGTAGAATTATGTGAGATAATATTCTTATCGGATTTATCAGATTTATATTTGCATTGATATTATTGATAAAAACTCGTTTAATTGTCAAAATTTATCCGTTCAACTTTCAGATTTACTATTAATTAATGAATTTTCCTTGCAAATTACTATATTCCGTGCTTGGGTCTTCTTAGATTCATTTCCTTCTGTTTCATTTGTGCATTATTTTTTCTCGAAAGATATTGTTCTTTCCGTGTAGTTCAATCTATTGTGATAGTAATTATGCTGCGAACTTGAGGTTTTTCTCTTTTTGAAATTGGTTTTGAAACATCAAATCTAATCTAAGTAGTTGAAACACCAAATCTGCGATGCTGATCTTTATAAATCAATGCTAAAACTCTATGATTGACTAATTCTTGTTCTTTTTCTTTCTTTTGCAATAAACAGCTAAAGAACAACAAATCAGGGGATTCTGATTCATAATTGATGACTGCTACCATGACCAATGGTGAGATTCACACAGTCAGTACTAATGGAGGCATAACAATTGAAAAACCTTTCAAGATCTTTGTGGGTTATGATCCACGCGAAGATATTGCTTATGAGGTTTGTCACCATTCCATAATGAAGCGATCTTCAATTCCTGTTGAGATCTGCCCCATTATACAATCAGAACTTAGAAAGAAAAATCTTTATTGGCGTGAGAGAGGCAAACTCGAGAGCACAGAGTTCTCTTTTAGCCGTTTCTTGACCCCTTACTTGGCTAACTATGAGGGATGGGCAATGTTTGTTGATTGTGATTTCCTCTACTTAGCCGACATTAAGGAATTAAGGGATTTGATTGATGATAAATATGCTATTATGTGTGTTCAACATGACTATACACCGAAAGAGACCACAAAAATGGATGGGGCTGTGCAAACTGTTTATCCAAGGAAGAATTGGTCTTCAATGGTGTTATACAACTGTGGTCATCCGAAAAACAAGGTGTTGACGCCTGAGGTTGTGAATACGCAAACTGGTGCTTTTCTTCATAGGTTTCAATGGCTTGAGGATGAAGACATTGGTTCAATTCCATTTGTGTGGAATTTTCTTGAGGGCCATAACAAGGTTGTGGAAGGTGACACCACAACCTTTCCTAAAGCAATACATTATACTCGAGGAGGGCCGTGGTTTGATGCATGGAAAAATTGTGAGTTTGCAGACTTATGGTTAAAGGAGATGGAAGAGTACAACAATGAGAAGAAGAAGTTTGCTCAAGATTAGATGGAATCAGGCATCAACTGGTAGAGTGTTGTAGAATCATAGTTTCATTAGTAAAGCTTATTCTCTTATGCTCTATTCACATATTCTTTATGGTCAATTTCCAATATGTATCCTAGATATGATATGCTTCTTGTTATGTATTTCTTTGCTTGAGTTAGCACATCGGCATTTCTGGCATTAGAAAGCCTTGAACCTGTTTTTTAATTGTTTTATTGTTTATCCCCCATTGGACTAGTTCATAATTTAATAGAATCTGATTGTGCATGGCTTCCCACCTGTTTTCTTGTTATACACATTGTTTCCAAGTGAAGTTGAATGCAATAACAGGTCTTGAATGGTTGATTTGATTTTCATTTGTTTTCCCCATTGGATTGGCTTATGGATGCCTGAATGTAAGAGACAGAGGTAGCTAAGCACTTGTTATATCTACTTTAAAACTGATCGAGGTAGGAAGTATTTTCCTTGAAGCTAATGGTAAATGATAGAGCTTATATGATTATGGATTGTTGTTATGTTGATTGTAAAATTTGCTGATATGGATTGTTGTAGAATTCAGAGTTCAGACAAATGAAATCTCGTACTTTTAACACAGGATCCAAGTAGAGTCCCCATGTCTTACTAGTAGGATTGTAACACTTGCATTGCATTTATGCATTTTAGTTATTTTGTTTTATAGCATGTAAATTGGCAGTATTCTTCAATGGTAATTGGGAGTAAAATAACTCAAACCCATCCTTCCTTTGGAGTCAGTATCATGTTAAGTAAGTAATCTCCTTTCTGCAATTATATTTCTGTGGAAGTGACTGTTATTTCTTTTTGATATATATAGGAGATAATCCTTTATCGCATTAAAAATAATTTTTCCATATAAATAAATATTTAAGCTCTTTTTTCAAATTTCACATGAATTTTGATTGCAATATCAAATGGAAATTTACTTTTTTTTTTTAAAAAAAAAAAAAGTTTAAATGCAGAGACTTTTTGGGCCATGTGATGTGACAGGTTGGAGGCAATTAAATCTGACATGTAATTGCTACTTGAAAGCATTATGGCTCTTTTTTGTGGGACCCTTATTAAAGCAGGCAACAGTCATGAACATGATTCCTAGCTGCTAGTTTTGATTTCTTAAAAAAAAAAAAAAATTGGAACCAAAATTAAATTGCTCTTGTGCAACTCTTAAGGCAAATTTAGAACCATTAAATCCATTATTTTGCTTTGAAACTTAAATTGAACATTTCTTTTAAGTTTTTAATTTTTGTAGTTTTGTTGCATGAATAAATAAATTTAATAAAATAAAAAAATAAGTAGGAAGTTTCATTGATAATTGTTAATTTTGCAATTTTTTTTTATAGTTTCAAATCAAAACTATTGATTTTAATCGGCACGTTGATTCTGATTCTGAAAATGAATAACCAGAATTAAACAATTTCGATTTAATCAAATCAATATCAATTTGATTCTGATTTAGAATCAAACCATGATGATCCCCATACGAATGAATTTTTATGTGTTTGCATATGCCTCTATTGTTTAGGGTTCACTGGCTTTTGAAAAGCTTTTCAGAAACGCTTCTCATTCTGCTTTTGGTTCGTAAGAAGTTTGCTGGCTCTACTCAAGGATCAGTTCGCTATTTCTAAAAGTTAAAAAAGCGGATTCTGTTATGCTGATAATAATCAGATTGTTCTGTCAAAATCTAGTACCACTGAAATCAATGTCTGTGATTGGTTGTAGTACGCTGACACGACAACCGAGTGAGAAGAATGATAGGAATAGGGTTAGATTGTCGTTGTCGTCCCTTCACTGCTTCCCACAAAATGGCATCCACATCCACCACCCCTTTGTGGCTTATTTTTTCTGATGCTTCTTTTCTGTTTTGATTTTTTCTTAATGTGTAAGATTTAAGCTCTGGTTATTTTTAAAAAATAATTAAATTTTAAAGGGAATTTTCTTTGAGATATACTATTTTCTTAATGAATATTTTTATTTGTTTGATTTCAAAATTAAAAATTTATAAAACCATAAAAATGTACAGATTATAGAAATTTATATTAAAAAATTTACTATTAAATATGATAAACAAATACATAAAAATGATAAAAATATCATTTGGCCTTAATTTTTTCTACATATGATGGATGAAGAATGGGATAGCCAAACTATGGAATATGTAATTTGTTAGCGAAAGTAGTTTTCACATTCTCACGTAACATTAATGAAATCAATATCCGACGACTAAAATAAGAGGACAAAGGGCCTTTCCAGAGCCAGGTAGTCAGTGGCTTAAAAAATTTTGCACTTATTGCAATTATTATTAAAAGATAATAATAATAATAATTTAAATAATAAATAAATCAAAAACCAAATAATGAGCCACAAAAATGCCGATATAAATAGAATATTCTTTTATGCTGAAATTATTAGGATATTGTTTTACTGCCATATCTTAACGAGTGATTGTAAATGTTACCCGTTGGAAAAAATTATATTCAATAATAATATGGAGGTGTTAGTAATTTACTTCTTTTCTTTTTTAATTACTTTTATCGGGATTATATTATAATGACCAAATAAATTTGGTTCACGGCTTAATCACAGTTAAAGTCCTTCACCACTTCCTCTAGGAATATTTAGTGAAAATTGAATTTGAAAGCTCTTTCCATATATTTAGTCTGTGTTATCAACTGAAAATCCATAAGTAATTTATCCATTCTTTTAGTAATTGTTTCCAATTATCTATCTATTTATATAAATATTTAAAAACGGAAACTTAAAAATTGACGTGGCACAAAATTAAATCTTTAAAGTACTGGTTTAACACTATTTTTTTTACTATTTTTTCTTTCTTCTAATTTAAATATTAATAAAGGTGAAATTAATATTTTAAAAAGTATTAATGGTATGTTTTTCATTTTTTATCAATAATTAATAAAATTATTAATACAATTAAATTATTTTTAACTAACTGACCTACTTTCTCTAATAATATAATTAATAATATTATTGAATAATAACCTTAATTTAATTTTAAATTTCAGGATTTTTTTATCACCCACGTACTTATTCTCTTCGATATTTTGATTGACACAAAAATTAGTATGTTAAACTATTTACTCATCTAAAGTCTCTAATGTTAAGTGAATTATGAATTTCTAATTACACTCGAATTTTATTAGTACATATAAGTAATTGCATCAAGATTAAAAATATAACAGTGGATTAATGATAGTTTTTTGGATTTCTTATAATCCACGCAACGCGCGGTATGTAATTAGTTTCTTTTAATTTTTGTGCACAAAATATAAACTGATTTTTAAAAATTAAGCTTAAACGTGTCAACATAATTTTTATCACTATATGTTTTTAGATTAAATTTCCAATTCCAGATAATAAAAATAAATAGTATTCAATAATAATATTTTTTTCGCAATTAAAAACAAAAATCAAATGTCAACATAATTGAAGTTACCATTCACAGGGTACAACCGCCATAACATGGGACAACTTCTAATTATAGAGTTGATGAGGAATAATATAAAATATCTGACCCCGCCTCAAAGGCCGCCACACCCGCCATAACTACTTTACAGAAATGTCTAGTCTCCAGCTCCACTCCTACTCAAACCTACCCTTAATTCACACGTGCCAGTGCCACAAATTCACTCCCTTTAGATTCCTCTCTATTCGCCACCGCAACTGTCAATCTCCTCCGCCATCCCGTGCCTCTTTTACACGTGCCAGGGCGGTACAAGAAATGGACGCAGACTCTACTCAAGTATTGAAGAAAGGCATAGCGGAACTCTACGACGAGTCGTCTGGTGTATGGGAAGATATATGGGGAGATCATATGCACCACGGCTTCTACGACCCGGATGTACAAGTTTCAGGTTCAATTTTGGATCATAGAGCTGCTCAGATCCGAATGATTGAAGAGGCTCTACGTTACGCCGGCGTTTCTGGTTGTTATCTTATCTCTTTCTTTCCTCCTTTCTTCGTCTTATGTTATTGCACGTCGATAGAAATTTGGAGCGCTAAATAGGCAATATTATTTCAAGTAAAAAACAAACTATATATGTGGTTGTCATACCTTTCACCATCTCACCTGCTATATTTGGATATCCAGTTGCCATGCATTTATTAGTTTGAAATTTGGATTTCTTTGTTATCAATTTCGATGCATAATTTTTACTATTTCATTGGTTTAAAATTATTAGCAATTGTTGATCCTATTATGAAAAATTCAAGAACATACTCGTTAGTTTTAAAATTATTATCGATGAATTTGGATTGAAACAAGTATAAATTTAAATTTAATGGCTGATGAAATCGTTCTCATATATAAATTCGATCTTATAGTAGAAGAATTCAATTTTGATTTTTTTTGACGTGAAATTCATCCTAGGATCTGCATTTTTGCGCTCTTCTAACAAGAAATTTTACAGTTTGGTCTCCAACTACTCACTTTTTTTTTTTTTGTTGGAGTTGTTATTTCTAATATCATTATCAATTGGAATTTAGGATGTACGAGAAACAGGCTAACTTGAATCTGTTAACAGTAACGGGGAGAGATTTTATGATTTCACTCTCATACTTCGCAATTAACTCTTTGGCTCCTGGTCCATCTCCTTGCTTAGTAGCTAGCAACCTAATGAATTTATTTATTACAGATAAGTATTCCATTTGAAGAAGAATAAGTTATTTCTGGATTCACTTATGTATGATTATGTTATAATAGGCAAATCATTAGTTTATGCATTAATATGTTTTATTGTGAATGAAGACAAGCTTCTAATTAGGATTATCTCATTTTTTAAGAGGATCCAAAGCACTGGCCTAAGAATGTGGTTGATGTTGGATGTGGGATTGGAGGCAGCTCCAGGTACTTGGCAAACAAATATGGTGCCAAGTGCCAAGGCATCTCCCTCAGTCCTGTACAAGTCCAAAGGGCGAATTCTCTAGCGGCTGCTCAAGGCTTAGCTGACAAGGTGAGAATGACTATATATGAAGCTTCAAGGTCTCTATTCATAGTCATGATATGTTGCTCAAATTTCTTTCACTTGCTTTAACACCTTTGATGACAGAATTAGGACTAATATTTAATTTCCATCAATTAGCAGGTTTCTTTTCAAGTAGCAGATGCTTTAGAGCAACCATTTCCAGATGGTCAATTTGATTTGGTCTGGTCGATGGAGAGTGGAGAACATATGCCTGACAAAAAGAAGGTTTCTTCTCTCTCAGATCATCTCATAGTTTCAATTTTTTTCGGTGTCATCTCTCTCCTTTTTGTTTTTTTTTCTTTTTTTGAGTTAAATGGTCTCAGATTAGTGTTTTAAATTTTAACCTCACAATTCTTAAGACAACCGAATTAAAAAGCTCATTGATATCCATGAAAAATGATATTTATTCTTGAATTTCTTGTTGTGCTATTTACTGTACATGGTTCTGAGTTCTTCTCTCATATTTTTATCGAAATGGCAGTTTGTTAGTGAATTGGCTAGAGTTGCAGCCCCGGGTGGCAGAATTATCATAGTAACATGGTGCCATAGGAATCTCAGCCCTTCTGAAGAATCTTTACAGGAATGGGAGAAACAGCATCTGAAGAAGATATGTGATTCTTATTACCTTCCTGAGTGGTGTTCTGCTGCTGATTATGTCCAACTGCTCGAGTCTCTTTCTCTTCAGGTTATTAATTCCTTCAAACTGCCAGAAACTAACCGCAGGACTCAATAATAGTCAAGGAAGAACAGATTTTCTTGATACTTAGAATTTCTTGCTTGTGTTATCTAAACTTGAGATCCTTTTGTTTGTTGATGACATTATTGTTCACGGTGGGAACTCTGATGACATTGGCAAAAAACTCAATCATTTTACTCCGAAACACAAAATAGATTAGTTAGGTTCTTTTGCAGGATATCAAAACAGCAGATTGGTCTCAGTATGTCGCGCCATTTTGGCCAGCAGTGATTCGCTCAGCATTGACATGGAAGGGCTTGACATCACTATTGCGCAGTGGTAAGCTTAGTTTTTCCCTTCCTGCAACTTTCATACATTTTCTTTGATACATGTTTCCCTAAATTAGATACCCTCTATCTCACCTAGTCCAGTTAGATTCAAACTCGAGACTTCGTAACGGAGTTTTCAAGATTTTATGATGTATTGTCCCCTGAGACTTGTTATTCTATTTTGCTTTCATTTATTTAGATCATAGTTGTCAAAATTTCAATTTCATGTTCTACATATCTCCTTTAATAACGAGAGATTGATGAATCTCTAGCTGTGGGAGTAATTTCCAAATTCTTAAGCCTAGGAATTTATTTTTATTTACTTTATTTGTTTCTATGAGTTTTTTTTTTTTTTTTTTTTTTTTTATTCTTAAGCCTAGGAATTTATGTTTTATTTACTTATTTGTTTCTATGAGTTTTTTTTTTTTTTTTTTTTTTTTTTTTTTTTTTTTTTTTTTTTAATGTCTATATTATTTTTCATTAAAAATTTGTGATCTTACGATGATTAATTATCAGGTTTAAAAACCATTAGGGGAGCACTGGTGATGCCATTGATGATCCAAGGATACAAGAAGGGTCTCATTAAGTTTGCCATCATTACATGTCGAAAGCCTGAATAAGATTTACCTATTGCAGCAATAGCCAGAACAAAAGGATTTGATTAGAAATAAATCATTCGCTTGTTTGGTTCATAAAAATACAGAAATATATGGAATTAGGAGGAAATTGAATTATTATTTCTAGTTTTTAATTAAATATGTAATAACTATTTCATAAAATTTTAAACTTGCAACAATAAGATGTGTGATTGTTTGTCGTATATATGTAATAACTGTTTTCCAAATTTATGAAATTATAAATTTTATAACAGGTGAAAAATACAAAATCTTTTAGGTATGTTTGGTTTAGTATAATGCAATATAATAAAATAAAAAATATAATGTAATGAATAATGTAATGGAATGTAATGAAGATTTCATTACTATATTTGATAATGTAATTGAGAAAATTTATGGAATGTGATCATCATTCAAGCAGTAAACGATATAGCATTTTCATCCAATATAAAATATTTATTTTGATTTTTGTTCAGCAATATTAGTTGTTTTAGACCATTATTGGAAAATATAAAAAACGTATTTGATTCAATTGATTCATACAATTAATATTTAATTTATATTCACTAGCTAAATTGTAAGTATTTGGTAAATATTTTAATTAACAATTAATTTCATCAATTATGTTTTTGAACTTTCTCATATCATAGTTAATTTGTCTTTATATTATATTTGAACAATATTAGTTGTTAAACTACTTTTATTTTTCAACCAATAAAATTAAAATCCTTAATGATATTTTTGTAAATTCATAAACTTATCAGTACAATTTTCTAAATTTAAGTTTATTTTCATTATTTTATAAAAATTAAAAATTGTGCTAAATCTTTCTTAAACAAATTTTTAATCTTCATTATTTCAAATTTTTATTTCTCATGGATTTATTAATTTGTGCTATCACCTACATAAATATATATTTTATTATTATTTGTGTTTCCATACTCATATCGGATTACCTTGGATATACGTGACTTTTTTTTTTTCCCCAGTAGGCTTTTGCATTTATGTCCAAGAAATTAAATTTTATCAAGAAGAAAATAATCCGAAAACAAATCAGTAATTTCTTTTTCTTTATGGATGCTTGCAATATTTTGACTAATAAATTACTATTTGTTACGATATCTATTTATTGCAAGGGACAAATAAATCTCTTATTGAATTATTTTATAACTACTATCATTTTAATTTAGTAATAGATTTATAAGGTTAATGAAATTTAAATATAACATAAATAATTCAGTAACGAAAAAGAAAATTAAAAATTAAAAATTAAAAATTAAAAATTTATCATTAAGAATAAAACTCTTTTCGAAACTCAACATATAACAAAAAAACAAATTATGTTAAAAAATTAACAATTTGAATTTTAAAAATTAATTTCTTCCTTAATTGAAAAATTATAGTCAAGTCAATAAATAAAAATTACAAAGTAAATAATGTTAGAATCTAATTTTGTTTCTCTATTTTTCTAAGTTGTAAATTTAAAATAAAAAAATAAAAAAAATTAATTAATTAATAAAAAAGATTATATAAAAGAAACGTTCTATCCTCACCAAATAAACCCATAATTTTTTCTACAACCATAAAAAAAAAAATGAAGAGTATACTTTTTTTCTTTTTTTAATCATCTATATATTATATATATTTATTTTAAAAATAATTTTTAGAGATTATATCCAATTTAAATAATAAAATGTAATTTTTCTTTTTTTTTTTTCATCTTAACCATAGGTATCCTGAGCACATTGAGCTAGAACTAAATTCTACTCGTACTGAATTCGCCCAAGAATGGATATGATGCTTCCAGTAAGTATTTGCTCCATCCACGAGGATCAAACTCTCGACCCCATGTAAGAGAGAGGAGTGCTAAACGATTCATTCAAATATTCATTGGTATAAAATGTTATTTTTGAATTGACTACAACTAAAGCTATTTTATAATATTTCAAATTTCATGAAAGGTAATATTAGTTATTCTCATGTTTATATATAAAATAGATTAGAATATAGTTAGACCATTGTACAAATATTCTCTTTAAAATCAAAAGATTCCTTTCTTGTATTGGACAAAACGAAATTGGATTGGTATTACAAAAAGATTGTAAGGGATTTAGAAACAGTATTCAGTTTCACAAACTAAAAAGAAAAGGACCATTTTCACTTTTATTTTTCCTTCCAATTATTTAAAGCAAAAATAAATAAAAAAAAGTGAAAATCTTTCACCTTTTCTCCTGAGTATATTTGAAGTTAATAAATTATGTAGTTGATGAGCATTAATTAATTAATAAAAATTAAAAAGATTAAAAAATAATCATTCCGTATCTATTTTATAATTTTGAATTATATAAATTAGTACAAGATTCTTGAATCCTAATCCAAAATGACTGGTCCAAAAATGAAAGGAAAATGTAATGACAAATGCTTCATTTCCAATGAACTTCCCTTGCCTCTCCTTACTCGGTTATTTATTCCTAAGGTCGGCATTGCCCTTCACATTTTCTCCTTTTTTTTTTTTTTTTTTTACTGCTTCATTTCCAATGAACTTCCCTTGCCAGCTCTCCTTATCGTTTATTATATTGCCTACAGAGGACGTCGGCAATTGGGGCCTTCACATTTTCTCGCTTTTTTTTTTTTTATTTTTCTTTTTAATTGAATTTTATATGTTATAATTTAAAATATAGAGGCTAAAAATATACGATGCAACTTCAAATATTCACTTTTTTTTTTTTTTTTTTCTTTTTATATTGATTTTATTTTATAATTTAAATATAGAGCTAAAAATATACGATGCAACTTCATATTATTTGACCCAAAAATTTAATTAAACTTCAAATTTTATTTATAAATAAACTTCATATTATTTATAAAAAATTAATTAATTAAACTTCATATTAAATTTTTTTTTACTTGTTAATTTTCACGTCATTTCTTTTAAATCTTTAAAGTAAAATCAAATGAGTTAAACGGAGGGTTGTCTCTGATACCTAGTGTATAATATTATTTTGGATATAGAATCTCTTAACAAATAAAAAGAAAAACTTCAAAGCGAAACAAAATAAAAGGAGAAAAAAAAAAAAAGGCAACCACTATTGAAGGAAGACTCAGTCTACTAACAAAAGAGATCATTTTTACTTTCAATAAAAGAAAAAAGATCATGCTCTTATGGTTTGGAAAGCCAATAAATAACTCAATAATTTATTTTTGGTTTTATATATTTAAAGCATAGCTTTGATATTATTGATTATTAACTGATTATTCAATAATTTCAAAATATGAAAGTTCATTAATGACAACTTTATCATTTTTAAAATTATATATATATTTTTTAAATAAAATCAACTCTATCTGATTCTGATTTTTTACTTTATCGTTATAAAAAAAATCAGTCAGATCACGTTTAATTGATTTATTGTTAAAACTTAGAAGGATCACAATTAGATATTACCCCAAGACATGTGAGTACATAAAAAAAGTTAGTTGCAATTTTTTTAATAATTCATTTTATATTTATTGAAGAAATTAAGCAATTTTAAAAAAAAAAGATTCTAGTTCAAATTTCTCTCCAGCTAGCCCAGGGTTGAAAAAGCCAAAAGGCCACATGTGTTGCTGATTTGGCAAAAGAACAAACTTTGCAAAATTGCACTTAACACCCCTTCCAGTATTGATTTGCCGTCTTATAAAAAGAAAAGAAAAATTAAAAAGAGAAAAAAAAAAAATCCCCGAAAGCCGCCATTTCAAAACCTCCCAAACAGCTCTCTATCAGGTGCTTTCATTTTAGAGGGAGCAAGTGTTTGCAGGCGAGAGGTTCAGATTTTAACGAAATTGATTGTGGAAATGGTTAAAAAGAGTAAAAGCAGCGGTCTCCACGGAGCTTTTTGACACAGTTAGAGAATCTAAACCCTAATTTTTGGATGAGGTTCGTTTTTTTCTTTGTAAATTCTTTGCTCTTTATTTTGCTTTGTTTCTATCGGTGATTATGTGTGCATTATGAGATGTTTTTGACCCAAACCGTCTTTTGTTTGTGTGTTCATCGATGACGGATTCTATTTTTGCTTCCCGGTATTTTTTAACACTATTTATATTTTATCCGATTTATTAAAACTGTTGAGTACTGTGTTAGATGTGAGTGCAATTTTACTGTATCAAAGACCCTGCAGATTTCCGTTTGTTAACTGATTGCTTTGGAAATGTATTGAGAACTTGTAGGGCTATTGGTGTGATTATGGTGTTAATATTTTTGTTTTTGTTTTTTGCATCTTTGTTAAGCAATTTTTTTTTTTGGTAATTCAATCGAGGAAATACAGTTTCCTGTATTTGGGATTGAGGCTTAGATGTTCTTGTTGTTATTGAGGAAATATAGTTTCCTCGTTATACTGCCCAGGAGGAAGACTAAGGGAACATTACAAAATAGTGATACTACAATGTGTGTTTTCACATAGAGATGCAGCTGTCACATTGAAACTGTTTGTTTGAGGATGTAAAGAACTGTGGATCTATGATATTGTTATTGGAGGTATTGGATGAGCTACAAAAAAAAAAAAAAAAAAAAAAAAAAAAATGTTTTTGTTCTTTTGGCATCTTTGTTAAGCAACTTTTTTTTTCTTGGGTAATTCAAATCGAGGAAATAACAGTTTTCCTGTATTTGGGATTGTAAGGCCTTAGATTGGGTTCTTGTTGTTATTGAGGAAAATATAAGTATAGTTTTCGCTGGTGTGGACGCGCAGGCAGGAGAAGACTAAAGGGAAGGCATTAGCAAATAAGTGATGACTAGAATGTGTTGAGTGTTTTCACATAGTAGATCGCAAGTGTCAGCATTGAAACTGTTTGTCTGAAGGATGTAAAGAATGTGGATACTATGATTATTGTTATGTGGAGGTATTCGTGATGAGCTAAAAAAAAAAAAAAAGAAAAAAAAAATAAAAATCTGAAACATTTGAGCTTGTCGCCTGTTGCAACTTTCATTAGTTGTCTTGTAGAAATAATTGAATTTTGGTATGTTGTTGATGGGCAGGTCATCCATTTTGGATGATTCAGAGAGTTTCACACAATTTAAAAAAAAAAAAAAAAAAAAAAAAAAAAAATCTGGAACATTTGAGCTTGTCACCTGTGCAATTTCATCTAGTGTCTTGTAGATAATTGAATTTTTGGTATGTTGTTGATGCAGGTCATATTTGGATGATTCAGAGAGTTTCACACAATTTTACTTGCTAGTAAAATGAAATCAAGAACTAATGGGATCCCTAGAGGTCAGAAGGAAAGAAACTTTCACGGTGAGGGACCCAATTGGATTTTGATTGCTGGTGGTGCCTTGTTAAGCACATTGTCAATTCGCCTTGGTTACAAGCTGAAGCAGACACTAGAATCAAAGCAACAGACAAATGCTAGTAATGGTCTGAGAGCTATTGTACAATTTACTGTCAGGAAGTTGTCTTAGACATGAACATGATCTGAATTTTTGAGTTTTATATTATTCAGGGAATGGGAAATCATCGGAGAGGAGGAGGACAGGAGGTTGCCATGTGCATTCAAACATGTACTCCTTTACACAGGATGATGATGGTTGCTTCAACTGCATATCTGGTATGCTGATTTTTCTATTCCAAATTCAAGCATTGAAGAACAAGTAGTTGAAATAGTGATCTTTTTTACCATTTTACTTTGGACTTTTTATGATAATGCTGCATTGTATAATAATAATTTCTTCTTTTATTCTGTGAAGAGGGCTCCTTGTGTATTACAATATCACTGGATTATTTCGAGAAGCTGATATCATTATATATTATTATGTGAGCGAAGTGTAGAAATTTACATCCGTAGACCAATCCAAAGAGGATCCTTTTCTGTTATATTCAGGATTGCAATGAATTTGCTTAATAGTTTTTGCCACTGGATGCCTCTCCCCCTCTTGCACAAGTGCTTTTCTTCACTTTTGCTTCCTGTGGTGGCATGAAACTCATATCTGTGTCTGGTAAAATGCTTGTTAGAATGTTTTGACATTTATGTCTCCTAAAAGAGCTTATAGCTCTGTGTACATGATTTGAGGCCTACTTTTAAAAAATTCAGAACTTGGTTTCTCTGTCTATTTTAGCTTACTTTTCAATTTTGCCAGTTGTACCCTAACTTTGTGGTATTGGTAACAATTATGGGCCATGTTGATCTCATTTGTATAAGTACCATTTATAAATGAACATAGTAGCACGCGGATTTGTCCAATGACTCATAAATAAACATGTAATTTTAGCAATTATAAAAAAATTGGAGAAAAAAAAAGATAAAACTAAATAGTAGAAATTCTAATAAATGCTGATATGATAGGTCTACTGTTTCAGAAATGATATACGTGGCATGTCTAATTTGAAGTTGTAGAACATGCTACTGTTCTATGTCCCACCAATTCAAGACTAGCAAATATTTGAATAAAGGTTAATGCATGAGATGACTAAATTGACACCAATGCCCAAACTTGGGGATCTAATTGGCAAAATTGAAAGATGGGGCCAAAGTCAACACACGTATGCAGTTTAGGATCTTTTAGATGAATTAGCATTTCTCAAGAAATGATGAGAAGATAAATTAAATAATGCTGTAAGAGAAATGTGAAGGCAACTATGGGTGAACAATCTGCTATTAAAGTAGGAGACTATTTTTGATGGAAAATTTTGCTTCCCTTAGTGTTTAGTATCTGCATATCTATAATAAAAGGTTTCAATGAAGGTGTGCTGTCAGCCTGCTAAAGAAAAGTGAGCCTTTCATTTGCCTGGAAGATTGAACCTCCCTGATACTGTTCTGGTATTTGTATTATGTTGCTCGGTCAAGTACTATGCTTCCTTCACTTTATCTATTGTTTCAAGCATTGACATTATTGCTTCCATATATGTGGAAATCCTGCTTATTGGCAATGACATGTTTCTTTAATAGAATCCTTTACAACAAATTTGTTTGAAATGCTTAAGAGACCTTGCTCATTTGGAAGTGGTTTTGACCTTTGAGTGTGCATGTTTATGGATTTATTTGTGTTAGTAGATGGATAGATTATGTCATTTCTTGAATCCAATTCTTTGAATCAGTTGTTATAAAATATTGCCTATGTATATGACTTTTGAGTTTGAATCTGAAACAGGGAATGAAGGCATTGCAGATTTGAAGCACCACCCTAGTGACCAGATGTTATCTGAGTCTGATGTTTCTCTTCCTTTGGTGACAGTTCCTGGACCTGAATTTACCAGGGAAAATGGTGTTATGTGGATTTCATCTCCTGATCGCCTTGAGTTGCCTCCAAAGCCATTCCACCATTCAAATTGTTCTGATTCACCATGTGTCTCAGAATCTGGCTCTGATATCTTCAGCAAGCGAGAAGTGATACATAAGCTAAGGCAACAATTGAAGAGAAGAGATGACATGATAATGGAGATGCAGGATCAGATTGTTGAGTTGCAAAGTTCATTAAATGCTCACCTAGCACATTCAACAAATCTGCAATCACAGCTTGATACAGCTAACAGGGAATTGTTTGATTCCGAGAAAGAAATTCAAAGGCTGAGGAAGGCAATTGCTGATCACTGTGTAAAACACGTGGCCACCAATGAAAAACCCTCAACAGTTACCATATGGCCATCTGAGGTGAGAAATGGTCATGCAAATGGGTATTTGGATAGAGAGAACAGTTTTGATTTATCAGAAAAGGGAAGGGCGGGAGATGGGGAGAGGATTGAGATGCTGAAGAGGGAAGTAGGAGAGTTGAAGGAAGTGATAGAAGGGAAAGAGTATTTGTTGCAGAGCTACAAGGAGCAGAAGGCAGAACTGTCCATGAAGATTAAGGAAATGCAGCAGAGATTGGATTCTAATCTTCCTAATATTTTGTAGGCGTTATTAGGTTTTGTGCATTCTTGGTTTTCTTTTCTTTTCTTTTTTTTTTTTCTAGTTCATTTCTTTGATTTCAGGTTCCATATCTGGGAGAAGTTTCTTTCTTTTTTCTCTCTTTTTTTTTCACACCCTCCTTTCTTTTCTTTATACGTCTTTGGTTGAGTTTGGAATATTTGTTTGGTTTTGTTTGCTTGCTCGAAGTATGCAAAGATGAGGGGGCAAGAACCGAGAGAAAGAGAGGGAGGGGCAGGCAAGGCAAGGCAATGCCGTGCAAAAGTAAACCAGTGTAATTTAATGACCTATGGCTTGGGTAAATATTTGCTCCCTATTGAAATCTGAAATAGTTTTAACAGACGGTTTGGTGTATTCTCTTCAAGTCTTCATTTACTGGACTTTTTTTTTTTTTTTTTTCTTTTTTCACCCCTCCGTTTCTTTTATCTTATACGTCTTTGACGTGTGAGTTATTGGAATATTTGTTTGGTTTTGTTTGCTGGCTCGAAGTAATGGCAAAAGATGAGCGGGGCAAGAACGCAGAGAGAAAGAGAGAGGAGGGGCCGGCAACGGCAAGGGGCAATGCCGGTGGCAAAAGTAAACCAGTGTAATGCTTTAATAGACGCTATGCGGCTTGGGTCAAATATTTGCTCCGCTAATTGAAATCTGAAATAGTTTTAAGCAGAGCGGTTTGGTGTATTCTCTTGCAAGTCTTCGATTATTAACTGGGCGCTATTTTTTATTTTTTTTTTATATAATTTTTTTTTATCTGAGCGAAATTCCTTTACTTTCAGGCATTGTCTTTGGCATTCATATTACACTTGTGGTGGCATGATGGAAACCGGGACTTGTCCTAAAAACTTTATTAACTCGCATAAGGTTGTGGATTAGATGTTTTAATGTGCGAAGTGTTGAATTAGGCATTCATTTTTTTTTTTTTTTTTATATAATTTTTTTTTATTGAGGAATTCTTTACTTTCAGGATTGTCTTTCATTCATATTAACTTGTGGTGGCATGATGGAACCGGGACTTGTCTAAAATTTATTAACTCATAAGGTTGTGGATTAGAGTTTTAATGTGGAATGTGAAATTGCATTAAAAATTTGAACTATAAATAAATATAATATTATAAATAAATTATTCTTGCGATCAATACATTATTCTTTTTTAGTTTGTTACAATGTGATATGATGTAACTTTTCCATAATACTTTATAGTCACTTGATTCTTATCTAAGAATATTCATGTAGAATTTTAATCTCCAGCCTTACGACATTGGGAGTAAGTATCATTTATTAATATATTAAGATTGTATTTGGTAGTTGAAATGAAATATAATGCAGTGAAATGCATATAAAATGTTACCTGTTTTTTTAGTAATGGGAAAAAGGGATTCAAACTTGAATCTATTGTTAAATGGAATATGCACTTAGACTATGTTTTGGTGTGTAGTATAAAATAATCTCTAAGATTATAGTAAATGCAAATTTAAAAAAAATACTAGCGACTATCTAGATAAATAAATAGTGCTAATAGTTATTAGATGGCTAAGAATTCTCATAAAGGACTAAAGTCCAATTTACTTTTCGAATATGAGTGCAGGTTCGCTTAAAAATCAATTGCCATTATCAATCTAATTTCGTTAAATTAAAAAAAAAAAAATGTCTAATTATTAAAAAAATAAGATAATGGCACATTAAGTCATAACATAACGTTATGTATATATGTGATCTGAGAATATATTTAGGTTCAAATCACGTTTTTAATACTTAAAAAGAATAAAAAAGATAATAATTTTGCAAAAATTGACCTATTTTATAATTTGAGTCTTTACAGGTATAATAATCATTAGTATATACTATTGAATTAATATTAATTAATATTTAAAAATGTTAAAAACAAACAGTATATTTTTGAATTAATATATTGAAAGGCCAAAAAAGGTCCATAGAAGAAGCAACGCTTCTCTACAACACCGAAGTTTAAGCAAGCAAGGAACATAAGACAAACGCAAAAGAGTGATTGTGAGAGGCAGAGAAATGGATCAACAGCAGCAGCAGCAATTGCTCTTACAGCAGCAGCAACAAGCACAACATCAACAGCAACAATTTCTTCTCTTACAGCAATTACAAAAACAAGCGCAACAACAACAGCAGCAACAACAACAAGCGGCAGCTATTTCGCGATTTCCTTCCAACATCGATGCCCACCTCCGCGCCCCGGGCCTCCACCGCCCGCTCAATCTCCCGCAGCAAAACCCTAACCCTAATCCTAATCCCAATTTGCAGCAGCAAGGATCTAATTTAGGGCAAAATGCTGCACAGCAATTACAGCATTCTCAGCAACAACAGCAACAGCAACAGCAACAGCAACAGCAGCAGCAGCAGCAGCAGCTACAGCAGCAACAGAAGGGGATCCGGCCCCCATTGAACCAGGTGGAGCTCCAGATGGCTTACCAGGACGCTTGGCGGGTCTGCCACCCTGATGTCAAGCGGCCTTTTTCTTCTCTTGAGGATGCTTGTGAAAGGTCTGGTTCGTTGTTATACTGTGATTCAATTATGCCTATGTGTGACTGACTCTGTTATTTTGTGTTTCCATTTTATTCTGTTTGGCTGTGGAGAAAGTTTGATTTCTTTATACTTCTATATTTGTGAATCTCTGATGTTATTGGCTGCTAAGATTTTTGTATATGTTTGTTTTACTTCAATTTTTAGGGTACAGGAGGATCCTGTTTGTTGACAATGCAAAATAAGATTGATAATGACATCAATAAAATTTTGATATTTGTTCTACAGGATTGTATTTGTCATTCTGCTGTTATTTACTTTAGGATCCAGTTTGGGTATAACTTGACATGGATCACATTTTGCTTGAGATGATGCAAGGAATTGTCTGGATCCTAGATTATGCCCGGAGCTGGGGGTGGGGGGTGCTGTGTTTATACAGTTTGCTGTTATGCAATTTATAATGTCCATTATTCAAACAGACAAACAGTCCATGTGATCACTTAGAAATCAACAGAAATTTATGTGCACAAAGATGTAAGAGATTGTTGGTGTGTTTTACTGCTGCCACGTCTGTTGGTGTGGATGAATTGAGGGTGTAAGTTTTTTACTTTCGAATTTGTGCCATTGGTGTTGGTGGAGTGGCGCAATGGTTGAAGAAACTCTCTAGTATGGTGTTTCCAGCTAGTTGGAAAGGAAGTTGGAGGTTTACTAAATTAGGGATTTGATTTGCAACTTTTTAATTTTTTTATCATTATATATATGTTGACAGAAAGGCTCTAGTTATCTGGTGTTTTCCAGCTAGTTTGGAAAGGAAGTTGGAGGTTTTTAGCTACATTAGGGATTTGATTCTGGCCAACTTTTCTAATTTTTTTTATGCATTATATATATATATATAATTATAGATATACTTATATATAGAGAGAAGAAGGAGAAGGAGAGAGAGGGGTGCAATGGCACTGGCAAGGTCATTGCAAACAAAGCTATGCAAAATTATTGAAAATAATTTATATAAAGATGAGAGAGAGAGAGAGAGAGAGAGGGTGCATGCACTGCAGGTCATGCAAACAAACTATGCAAAATTATTGAAAATAATTTATATAGAATGCCTAGTCTTTCTGAAGGGACATGATATGAATTTAATTCAAACTCTCAATAAGGATACCAAAGGATACATGAAAATGTAGATTATATGCCTATTATATCACACAGTGATCCAAAGAAAGTATTTGTGTATGAAACACTAAAATAGTTTTGTATTATTTATTGAGAGTTAAACCCAAATATTCCCTTGATTTGGAACCTCAGAAGGATATATAGATGTCATGGATGACAAGTTGATTTCATTTTCCACCTATTTTTATATATATGTACTCAGGGATCTATGGATACAGTTGTTCATACTGAATTGGGATTTCATCCAAGTTACAATAGCTAGTTCCGGTTCTGCTGACTTTCTTTTGTAGTACTTACTTTTTGGTTGTGTGTGTCCGCTCGCACATGTATTAGGGGGTGTTAGAGTTATTCTCGAGATGTTCTTAGAAACATACATCAAAATGCTAACTGAATTTAACTTTAGAGGGGATTCCAAGACTTGCATGTGGTATGAAATTGATGTGCTTCATGGAATTCTGCCTGCCAAACATATTCACACACTCTGAAAATTTGCAGATTGATTTATGAATGGAAAATTCAAGGTGATATATCGGTAGGATATACTGTTTTTTATGCCAAACTTTAGTGATGCTTTTTATATATAAGTTCCATTCCCCTGTTCTATAAAGGATCCTCCATCATTCGGTGAATATAGCTTTCTGCATTTTAGTTTATTGAGTCACTCACATGGTAGGTAGACTGGCTGGTTGTTTATTGTATTTGGAGATCTGTTGTAGCTCTTTGATAACTCGATTTTGGTCCCAAGTTGTGGCTGTTTTTTTTTTATACTCTTTTAGTGATGTTTAATGTGAGTATAAATACAACTATATTCTTGTGTGCACATGGGGATTCTATAATCTCTCCTGGGTACTGATTTCATTTACTGCTTAAGAACTGCTTTTATGTCCATTATTTTATGTTTGTAACCTTGAAGTCTTGTGATTTGGGTGACATCTAATATTTGTTTTTGTTTGTTTATGTTTCTGAATCTCATAGGGGTGAAAAAAAAAAAAATGGGACTGATGGAATATAGTCCTTGAATTACTTCTCCTGAAAACAAAACCCTTTAATAGTCATTCAAATTAGTTGCATTAATGTTCAGTGGCGTTTTGGAATTTTCTGCAGTTCTCAGATATCCATCTTGTAAAATTGGCGCAGGTTACTACCTTACCATGTAGTAGCAGACTATGAAGCAGAGGAGGATGATAGAATCCTTGATTCAGACACAACAGGTCAGATGCCATCTCGCTCTCAACAGTGGGACCACAATATTGCAACCAAAGTTGCAGAGTTCACAGGCACATTTGAGAAACAAGCCCTAGCCTTCAACATTATAACTCGCAAGCGAACTTTGGGGGAATTCCGATCTGAGGAGAGATTGATGATTGAGCAGATTCTCCTTCAGGAGGAGAAACGATTCCTGTTGGATCTGAAAACAGAAATGGATGCTAGGGAGAAGGCTGGTCGGGAGGCTCAGTTTAGAATGGCAGCAATGGTTCAGGCAGAGCAAGCTCGTGCAGAATCACATGTTCACTGTGAAATGATGGCTCGAGCCCCAATAAGGGCAAGTGTGCTTGGATCTCAAGGCAACAATGTGTCAATTGGTCCTGACATGGGAGAGCAGGAACATGGTGTAAACCCTGATCAAATGATGAATGGTTGGGGAAACAATGTACAAAGAGATGAGAAGGAGCCATCTGAAGATTTCTTGAATGATGAGGAGACCGAAAATGGAGACACTGGCACTCAAGGAGAATGGCGAGAAGTTGGGGAATTTGACTTGAACTCGAGATGAAACCATGAAGATTTGTTGGTAATAAAATCTGTCCATGGATTTACCTTCATGATATGTGAATGAGAGATTTGCATTAATTATTCTGATTTTACTACTCTGGAATCTATGGAGTACGGAATAAACGGTAGTTTTGTAATATATTGCATTTATTTCAGCATATAACAGATTCATAGAATTTTCTTTTGTAGCTGGAAAACTTTGAAGTTACTTTTGTACATTTGTTAGTTAATTGATACTTGGCATGTTTGCTAATTGAAGCTTCAAGCTGAATTTCTTGACACTGAAATTGGTGATCTAACCCCTATAAGATGGTAATAAATTCTTTCTTTCCTATCCTTCATTTCTATTTGATTGAAATGATATCTCCCATTCAAGTGATTGAAATTTAAATTTAATGCCCTAGAATTACAATTTATGGTTAAAAGATGTAATTGATTTTTGTCTTCGTGTGTTTCGAAAGGGTTAAAGCTCTTCATTAATTGCCCAAATTATACGACTAACGAATGACATAATATTTGGTGTTGGTATTATATATATATGTGTGTAAAATTGTAACTTGGACCCTGAGCTTAACCATCCATTTCCATTGCTAAACTGCACTTTGAAACTTCAACATGTTATCTATTATAGGGGTAGTCGTTGTCATTTGTTATCGTAATTCAGTCCATTGCTTATTATTTTAATTTTAAAAAAATTATCCACTATTTTTTTAAGTTTATATTTTATGTATATAACTTCAAAATTATTTATTTTATTGATGTTCTTTTCACATAAAGTTGTCCAAAATCAAAAAGAATAATGGTTGCAGTGAGCCACTGACGACAGGAACGGTGAAAAAAATGGAAGGAAAGAAAAAAATTACCAAAAAAATTATAAAAAGAATTTTAAATTTTAAATTGTCTGGCCGGCGGATAAAGTACATTACATGGTTTGTTTTAAAATATTTTATTTTATTTACTTAATGTTTGTTTTAATTTTATTTGGCTTGCGGAAATTATTTGTTCTAAAATGAATTCGAGTGATTAGTTTAATAAAACTTAAAATGAAAAATTCAACTGAATTTCCACGTTATGACGTTATAATTCGAAAAATTGAATTTCATTTGTTTTGTTATTTTCAAAATTATATCCTCAAACCTAATTATTTAGAAATGATAGTTTTTAATTCAAATAAAAAAGTTCTTATATCTAATATATTTATAATCATTAACAACTATATAAACCTATTAATAATATAACAATAAATTTAATATCTAAAAACAAAAACCATAAGTAGATATGAAATTACTTTACATGCCTTATAATAGGAGGTTTACGTTATGACATAAATAATGTGACTGATAAGTACATAATAAACCTAAATATTTAAAAGTTAATATTAAAATAGATAATTAATTTGTGGTTTCGGTCTTTTTCTTTAGCCAACGAGAAGAAGTGGTTGATACAGTAATTAATTAGTTAGCTACATAATACTCTTTACACGTGAGGAGAAGTGGTTGATAATTAATAAAGAAACTTAAGGATTGAATTATTTGCTTTAGATTTGTTTATTATTCCCTTCGTACAAAAAAAATAGTCGTATAAGATTTTTTATTATATAAATAAAAAATTATAACTTCATCAAACTGGAGAATTTATATTTTATCTTAATAGGTTAGGTAGAGTTATTTTCAAATTCATCATCCTCAAATTCAAAAATATATCTCACACTGGACCGATATGTAAAGCCCATGGCCCATGGATATAAAGCCCAGATAAGAAAGTAATTCGGATAAGCTCACAAAAAAGAGCCATCGGCCCGCCTCACATTAGACAAAAGGAAAACAGAGAAATTCTTGTTTTATAAAGCGGCCCGGATCCTCGCTTTTTTTTTGTAGCTGGACAACCTCTCGGATATGATACCTCTCGGCCTTTATTTGCACTGTCTCTTCATATTTTGGTGTGGCATTATTTTCTGAGGTTTTCTAAAACCCCTTGTCTCCTTCTGTCTTCTCTAGGGTTTTATCTTCCTTCTTGCGCATAAAACAAACAGATGAGTGAGATAATCTTCAGGATCTCAGTTTTCCTCTATTTTCTTCAAACGAGGCTAAATCGGTTTCTCTATGCGTCGGAATCCTTGCAGGCTTACTCGGTGAGCGAATTGCTTGTGTACACATTTTTTTTTCTGTTTTTTTGACTATGGCTACATATGTGTGTCCTTTGTTATAATGGTTTTTACATCTGCTTAAGTTTATACCCATTTGAATCATTGAGTCAAATTATGGTTCATGGTGAGTGTATGTATGTAAAAATGGAGAGTTTGGGACCAAATTTTGAAAATTGATCATGAAATATGCTCTGTCTAGTCACAATTTCAGAAGATGTTAAAATTTATATTTTTGAGTTATGGAAAATTGTTAATTAAATACTGGTATTTTGGAATTGTAAAATCGTTTAGTAGATATTTTCTTTTTTGACTCCTCGGGTATAAATTTATATAAATTTCTCCTATCAGATGGACCCTGAAAGTAAGATTTCTTTTATGAGTATTGCACCTGTGATGCTCTTGTCTAAGTAATCAGGTTACATGAATACATGAAAGAATCCTATTAATTATCTGTCCCTTCATGGAGATATGAATAGATTTTATGTTGTTTCAAAATAGTGTCAAGTAATGTTGATTTTTTACATTAATGTTTCTTTTGTTGTTTGATGATCACTATATGTTAACATTTTTTTTTTTTCGGTTTTATTCTTCGGCAGTGAAGAATTTGTATCTTGCTTTACAGATTCTATTCAGCTTTCATATAACAACTACAGCTATAGCTTTATTATTGGTGTACTTCTGGTGCATCCTAGCAATATAAGAAGCTACTCAAGCCAGAGCTTATTGGATCCAACTAGTGAGAGCTCTACTGCCAACATTGATACACAGAATCATCCTTCCAGAATAGATTCAAAACATTTTGATCCGCTTCTTAAATATCAAACTGGTGAAACTTTTCCAATTCTTCAGTCAACTAGTCTTCAGCACTGGTTTAAAAACTGGCAGCAACAAAGAAAGTATAAACTGACGGCAAGCACTTTTGGTGGGGCTATTGGTTTGTGGCCTGGCCGAAGAGTCCAGCTTTGGTTAGAGAAACTTGGCGCAATAGAACCATTTTCTGGAAACTTGGCTACTTGCTGGAGCAACATCAAAGAAGAGGAAGCGCTTGAAAGATACAAGTTGATTACAGGAAATACTGTTTTGTTTCCTGAATTTCAAATATATCATGAGAAGAGTCCAGAAGATGATTGGTTAGCAGCTTCACCAGATGGGGTGATTGACATGATGGTTTATGGCTTGCCTTCCCGAGGAGTGCTGGAAATAAAGTGTCCATTTTTCAATGGAGATATGAGCATAGCTTCGCCTTGGAAGCGGATTCCCTTATACCATATTCCACAAGCTCAGGGTTTAATGGAAATACTGGACAGGGATTGGATGGATTTCTATGTTTGGACTCCTGTAGGCAGCAGTCTATTTAGAATATATCGAGATGTAGACTACTGGGACATTCTGAAAATCGCACTCTCTGATTTCTGGTGGAAGCATGTCCATCCAGCAAGGGAGGAATACAGTAAATGCGTCATAAAGAATCCTCTCACTCAACTTCGACCACTAAAGCCAGCTCCTAGGCATGAATTATGTAATTATATAGTTTATGAAAGCAAACGAATTGTAGACACCTCGAAGTTATTGATGCGTGAAATTCACGGGAAACTGCAAAACTGAGTTCCTCAGATAATGGTATTCCTTTTCTTAATGGACATGCAGCTGAGATAGGGCTTTCCTGAGTTCGTAGGTATTAACTGCTATTAATTTTTTATTCCGAGAGAAATCTCCCATCACTATAGTCCACCAAGTTTCTTTTGTTCAAAACTTGTTTTTGATCGAATAGAAGTATACTTGGTCAGGACTTCTCTGACTTAGCAACTTTGCAAATGATCATGTCCTGTGGCGTAATTTTTTCTTCCAAACACATGGGTAGAATAATTATTTTGGGACCTAGTTTGTTTCTGGGAATCCACTGGTTAAACTGTCCTCGGGTTTAACAAATCTGCTGGGTTTGAATTCAAAAGCCCTTCCTTGGGGATAGGAGATTGATGTTCCCTAATCCTTCCCACAATTTGTTGAAGTTAAATATCTGTGGCAGCTAGAAAGGATTTGTGGTTATGGCTCCTGTGGGTTATTAAGACAGATTAGTGGATGAGTTTACTCTGAAGTGTGATGATGACTACACTAATCAGGACTATGACATGGGAGCTGAGAAGTATTAGTAAAAGGTTTGGGTGACTTGCTTGAGATTGTTTCGGCGGTTGAAGTGAAGTCTAAATGAAAGAGACCTGCTGTTCGAGATCCTATAAATTCATCATGTCTGAATTCTGATTGCACAGAAGAATTGTTGGAGTCATCGATGGTTTGGCTTCTACATGGAAGAGATTCTGTGTAATTCCAATTTGTAACTCTTCATTTGGGCTGATCTCTCTACCAAAGAAGCAATTATATAATTGCTAGTTGGCTCTGTTCTTGAGACTTGTATTTTTTCTTATCAGATGACTTGATGGTTCTAACAAGGAAAGTTGGGAGGCATATTAGTGATACTTAATATTAGATACAAGTGAACCGTTCTTTGCATTGTCATGCTATTGGATTTAACAGAATATTTTCAACATCAGGAAGGAAGGACAATTGAACGCTTCATAAGCAGAGGCTATTGAGATTTGCACTGAATAGTCCAGCTTGTGTAAGTATGCCTTTCCAAATTTCAAAAATTTTTGTTTTTGTTTATTTTTATTTTTTATTTTTTTTGTCATCGATTTCATATGGATTTAGATTTACCACTTTTGCATCAAATTATTTAGATTAACTATCTTCATTAATAGTTGGGAGAACATGCTCACTAGTGATGTGCTTCTCAAGGCAAACAAGGTTTCATGATTCTGTTTTCTAAGCACCAGTTGTGAAAAGAAATTGTTTAGTCATATTAAATTTTTAACACACGGATGCATTTCCCTGTTTGAACATTTTTCACACAGCAATTTGTACATTTTGAGATACAAGGATAATTCCTTCATCTTTTTGGGGTGACTAGCTTGTAAAGATTGATCACGCATTGCAACTGTTTCTTTCTTGTAGGTATCATGAGAAGAGAATAAAGCAATCACTTCTGGATCAACAATTTAATACCTTCATGCATAATATAAATGAAGCCTTAAACTTGTAGTAAGTATTATATGGTGTGTTTGATTCTTGGAACTGGTAGATTTTCTGTTGAGTGTCAATGTTAGATGACGCAGTTCAATGGCATTCTGAATTTAGTGATGCAATAATTTTTAAATCAGACTTTCCAAATAGAAGCTTTAGCAGTATTTTAATAAGTTGGCAATAAAAAAAATCAAAAATAATTGACCATTATAGTAATCATTCAATGGTCTAGGTATATTATTAGGATGTGGGTTGTGTTCAGTATAGCATAGAACTCAGATTTCAGGGATGGAGATCTCTTTCTGTAATTCTGGAACTGTAAGTTAACCAACTAGAATTGAACTATCATGAATGATTTTCCGAAGACTTAGAGACTTGTACATAAGGTGATTTGCCGGTTTACGAATTTCTTCCACTGCTACCATATATATATATACATATCCCTATACTTTTATTTATAATATCATATAAGATTTTTGTAAGCCGATTAAAAAAATATTTAAATCATAACAAAATCCTCTTATTTTAATAAATTTTTTTTATTTAATTATTTTTGTTTTGACAATTGTCTCTTGACGAATGTGCCTCTGGAATTAAGAGAGGTGATGAGATAGGATTTAGAAAATAGTTATTATGTTTAGTGGAGATAAGTGTAAAATTTAAAAAAATTGATTAATGCTGTTAAATACATCTATAAATGAACTTTTCATATTTTGAGTAAATTGAAAATTTAAAAATTCATTTGTTTTTTTTTATTCTTAAAATATCCTTCGCATAATAATTTTAAAAAATTAGGATGATGAAAAATTTTGTAATAAAGCTTGGATTGGTCCATTAAAGACCCACATTTCCCAGGTGCGAAAACTAATTCATCTTGTCTATTGATTAGAGTAATTATGTACTATTGTTAATTTAGCTTGTTAATACCAACTTTACCTAATGCATGTCAGTCAGTATAAGAACTGGTCAATGTCATCATAGTTACCGGTAATGAAAGACAATTTCAATTTCTGTCAAGTTGTCATGGAACTCCACATCCGATAGGTAATGGTGTAATTGAGGTTTATAAGTGTGGGCGCTGAATACTCCAATGCAAATTTCTTACGACATCAATTTCTTTTTTTTTTTTTTTTTTTTTTTTCTGGGGGGGGGGAGGGTGTAGGGGGGGGGGGGGGGGAGGGGTGTTTTAAGAAGAAGCAAGCAATTTGAATATAAATAATAACACAAGGAAGAAAAAGAAATAGAGAATGAGCTTTGATTCGTGATAGCAATGCTCGGTGTGTGAAAGGTTTTGTAGCTAGTCTTGGGACTTGTTCAGTTCCACATGCTGAGCTTTGGGGTTCATGGCATTCATCTCGCTAAATCTTGCGGCATCTCTTCTTGTCGTATGGAATGTTATAGTTCCTTGGTTGTGCAAATGATTCTCGGGAAGGTTTCAGTTCCAAGCAGCTTTCGTCCTCTTGTTAGCATCATCCGGGCTTTTATGCAGACGGAGAATGAGGGACTCCAGCTTTCGCAGACATACAGAGAGCCCAATAGCAGTGCTTATTGGCTAGCATCTTACGGCTGAAGAATATCCTATGGGGTTCCACACTATTGTCTAATTGACTGTATCGGTGACGGTCATAAATGTTGAAGTATACATGTCAACCGTTAAGTACAGACGTCACTGATTTTCATGAATTAGTCAGACCTTAACCTTGTCCCCTAAGTAAAGAGAGAGCTTGAATGACATCAATGGCTGACTGAATCAAATAAGCTTTTTCTGCGTCGTCATTGCTTACGACTTTTTTTTTTAATAGTTTTTATTAATTAAAATTTACTTATTTTATTGTTTTCGCTAAAAATTGTAGCATTGCGGAGCCAAGGTGATAATTGAAAAAAATATATATATTGAATGTCACGAATAACTTTGAGATAAATCGAGTATTATCTCGTTTAATTTTACAAATTAAAATACTTAATCCTAAAGTTAAAATATTTAATAAATATCATTTTATTTGATTTAAATGTTTTCTTAAAAAGTATTCAGGTAAATTTATATTTCGATAAATATATATTGACATAAAATTAACATGTTCTCTTCAGTTCTTTGATAATAATAAGCACTAAGGTTTGAATTTTCAAATCCCATCATAGTATGAATTTTTTTTCCTTCTTGTTCTGTATGCTCTGAACGTCTCTGTCCATGACAAGACAAATCCCGAAAACCAAACGATCATGTCAATCCAACTCAAGTGCTCCTATCTTTCTGTATAGTGTACAAATATACCTTTACCATAATCAATCTCCAATTTCAGAGAAAATGGAAATTTGGTTTTCCTTGATCATCACCATCTCTATCTCTGCTCTGCTAAAAGCCATTTTCGATGTTTTCTTTCCTTCCAACAAGTCCACCACCTATTACATCCTTCCTCCTGGCCCCGTCCACTTCCCGATCATCAGCAACATCTTATGGCTCCGTTATTCCTTTTTGGAACTCACGCATTTCATTCGCTCCCTCCACAACAAGCTTGGTCCTATGATCACTGTCCACATCGGTTCTCGCCCCGCCATCATTATCGCCGATCGTTCTCTTGCCCACCAAGCCTTAATCCAAAAGGGCGCCATTTTCGCCGACCGCCCAGAAGCCGATACTATTAGAAAAATCTCCTCTTGTAATCAACATAATATCAACTCGTCATTTTATGGTCCTACTTGGCGGCTCCTCCGCCGAAATCTTACATCAGAAATCCTTCATCCTTCTCGAGTGAAGTCATACTCTCATGCTCGCAGTTGGGTTTTGCAAATCCTCCTTAAAAGGTTAGACTCGCAGTCGAAATTTGGAAAATTACCCGTTCGTGTCGTGGATAATTTTCACTTCGCCATGTTTTGTCTTTTGGTGCTTATGTGTTTTGGAGACAAACTTGACGAGAAACAAATTGAAGAAATTGAGAGAGTAGAGCGTGCCGCGATTCTGAATGCTCGTAAATTTGCTATACTCAATTTTTGGCCAAGATTGACGAAGATCTTGTTCCGTAAACGTTGGTCAGATTTCTTTCAGCTTCTAAAGGACAGAGAAGAGGTATTACTTCCACTGATCAGAGCTAGAAAGAAGGTGAGTGAAGAGAGACAAAGGCAGTCTAACAATAAAAAAGAAGATGATTATGTGTTGGCTTATGTTGATACTTTGTTAGATCTGCAACTTCCTGATGAGAAAAGAAAGCTCAGTGAGAAAGAAATCGTTACTTTATGCAATGAATTTCTTAATGGTGGCACTAACACTACATCTACAACTTTGCAATGGATAATGGCGAATTTGGTTAAGTATCCGCATATTCAAGAGAAGCTCTTTATGGAAATTAAAGGAGTTGTTGGAAATGAAGAGAGAGAAATAAAAGAAGGTGATTTGCAGAAGATGCCATACTTGAAAGCTGTAATTTTGGAAGGGTTAAGAAGACATCCACCTGTACATATGTTGTTGCCACATGCAGTGAGTGAAGATGTAATTTTGGATAAATATTTAGTACCTAAAAATGGGACTGTAAATTTTATGGTTGCAGATATGGGATGGGATCCAAAGGTTTGGGAAGACCCCATGACATTTAAACCTGAGAGATTCCTTAGCGTTGGTAAAAATGGCGATGATGTATTTGATATAACAGGAAGCAGAGAGATCAAAATGATGCCGTTTGGGGTAGGCAGGAGAATTTGTCCTGGCCATGGCTTGGCAATGCTTCATTTGGAATATTTTGTGGCTAATTTGGTTTGGAATTTTGAATGGAAAATTGTGGATGGAGATGATGTTGATTTAACTGAGAAGGAAGAGCTTACAGTAGTTATGAAAAACCCATTGCAGGCCCACATATTTCCCAGGTGCAGAACCTAGTTGATCTCGTCCATTAGCTAAGGTGGTTGTGTACTATGTTATGAAATCCTTGGTGGCTTGCCTGGTGAGCCAATTGCTTGTATACACGCATACATATCTTTTTCTATATGTTTTGTCTTTGGCTTTACATGTGAGTGTCCGTGTATTATCTTATAATATATAACACTTTTTTAAGTATCATTCGTTTTAACTAACTTTTTTTTAAATTTAAATTAATATAATACTTAATTATTCTATGTAACGTTATATGAAAAATTACTCAAATAGCTAACAACAACTACTAAAATAATTAATTTTGTCAAATAAATCTAATATAAATTCAAAATGTAATAAAGCAAGTCAAAATACTTTTTTTTTTTTTTTTTGCCAGGAAAGAAGGAATTTAGAGTGCAAGAACACCGGACGAGAGTCAAAGTAAAGGCAGTCATAGCAAATAAAAATAAATGAATTTCCCGAATTTTTTTTTTATTATATGTTGCTATTGAGCCGTTATTAGGTGCATGTGCAGAAAAAATAAGAGGGGAACTCTTTGATTCAGCAGGTTCTCAATAAAAAGGCACCACGAACTAAAAATTCCCTCCTGATAAAGATGAATTATCCTAATAGCACCCAATAGCAATCAAGATCAAGAGCCAGAAAGAATAATTCCCCTGCGCCTAAATAATTCTATTATAATTGCTCGATTAAAATGAACCATATTATGTTATCTATTAATATTCCAATGCGTTGAGAGAACTAATTCATCACAACATAACAAGCTTATTATGCACATTCTATACAATCTTTGCAATTTAAATTTTGGATATATTGCGGCGAGAAGCAGTGAGCCTCAAGTTTTTGCTTGTAATGGTGCTTTACATTCGTAGGAATCCGCTGGAAAGTATTTCTGATTAGAGAACCGCCCTCCCTTTTTCTATTTTGGGTAGAAATTATGAGTGTAAATGTGAAATGTAACCTGTTTGAGTAAAGAATAATAAGAAAAATAAGTGATCAAAAGAAGAAAAAAAAGAGAAATAACCAAAAGATTATTAGGGTTTTGCGACTATTGCTAATGAGAGTTTAAATGTATGGCCAATTACCCATTGATTAATATGCTCTTGTGTAATATTAATTTGGTGTTCCCAATAAATAATGTAGGGTTTAAATTAAGGGAAGAAAACATATCGTTTCACTAAATTGACCATAATTTTTTTTTGTGTGTTGAGTTGGTTTGCGCGACATTCCCGCAGTAAGAGAGAGCAAATGAGAATAGGTAGTTAGTTGTAATTTTGCGTAAAACCTCCTGGTAAGTGAATTTTGAAATAAATATAAATATGTGGAGTAACCTAATTTAATGGGATCTTGTTATTAACACATATGTGTGTAATTATGAAAGGAGAGGATAAATGCAAGAAGTATTCTTTGGGTATGGGATCCAAAGGTACTCTCTAACCCTGGCCCGACCGAGACAACACGGGCCACATCCGGAAGGTCCACATAACCTATAACACTTAGAAATGCTCCACATCGCGGTGTCGTTAAGCTTCGTCCTAATGTGGGAGGTGGAGAGGAGAAATAGATCAGGGCTACTCCTCGAAAATTGTATGTTAGTTATGAATTTTAACATACCCATTAAATATTCCTCCCCCAGATTGTAATTTTTAATAAATTATAAAACAACTAAGGATCATTACCAGACATGAAATTGGTGAAGTACGTTTCAATCTCTTAAGTACATTTGATACATATATGAGTGTTCCTCTTGACCTGTTTAAATAGATTGTACCCGAAAGAATTTAACGATTATAGGCAAGAAGAAGAGCTTAGCCTGTGAGTAAGTGTCCTATTGTACTCTCTTTCGCTTGGAGAAGTACAACCATGACCATATTCATGAGGACTAGCTGTGACTCTTCACAATTTTCTTTTAGAGTTTATCATACCTCTCATAATAGAATGAATTTAATATTATAATTAATGATTTGTTGAATTTTAATAATGTTTTTGACAAAAATAAATTAGGCTTATTAGGTATGAAAAAAATTTTGAAATTTGAATAGGTGGAAATTAGAGTATTTTTTGTAAGGAAAATGGTACCCAGATCCTGATCGAATTGAATTTAAATATAATTAATAACAATGATGGAAACTAAAGTGCAAAGATTATATTCATAGCTTTTAACTTGCTATAATAAATGTTTTATGCCCAAGAAATAAAACCATTTTTGCAATTTTAAGGAAAGAACCACTTTAATCATTATTTCTCCAGCGGCCTAAAATGCTTGAAGAAAACCTCAGATTTGAGATTTACTATATTTCTCTGTTCCACAAAAAAAATTATTCGGCCCTTAATAAATTAGTGTTTTTGATTGTTGTTTAATTGTTACTATTATACTAGTTTTTTTCCTCAAGATTAATCACAAATTATGAGATGGCTTTTTTGTGACCAACCAACTTTTGATAAATGTAGCATAAGTTTGCCCTAATATTGGACTATAGTTATATAACATACGCATTATATAAACTTAGTTTATTAACATTATATCTAACCTTCCTATATTAATAAAATAATTGAATTATATTTGTCTTAATTTTGCGTTCTTTATTTCAATACAAATGTGAGAAAGTATAAAAAGTCTTCCGATTTTCGGTTTACTTTCTTAACTCTGTAATAAAAAAATTACTAAACCCTACTGATTTTTTACCCAGTGTCCCTCCAAAACTGGTGCTAGCGATAAAATTCGATCTAATCATTTGACACTATCACCTATTTTTCTCCAATGTTTATAATTAATAATGCCTTTAAAAATTAAATGGTTGACTAAAAGAGTTATCAAAATATAAAGTCCACTTAAATTTATTTGCTCTAAAATGAAAATAAATGAGACCCCAATTATTTATATTTGAAGAGAAAAATGTGAAATAGGACCAATGTACCATCTCATTCAAATTGGAGCCCTCGTGTACCACAGGATACTAACTGATCATGAAATAATAATAAAATTTTATCTTTTTTGTGTGTGTTCTATAATTTAATTCCCGTAGATATTAATGATATTTGTGCATAATTGTAATAATAATATCAAAAAGAAAACAAGTGTCAATAACCCTAATTATAGACTTTTTATTTATATAATTCTTATATTTATGCGTTCTAAATGTTAATCATTTAATATAGTTTTCTTTTTAAAGTGTTTAAAATAAAAAGAAAAATAATATAAAAATTATTTTGTTGAAATAAATTAATTTATTTAGCTTAAAATTACATTTATATATTAATAATAAGATAATAATAAGAAAATAATTTGTAAAATATATCATAATTAGATATTAATATTTAAAATTTCAAACAAAGTGTGTACTCCCAAATATAAAACCCCTAACTTGTGATTGTAATTTAAAATTATTCAGAAAGTAACATAAGGAAAATACATATATTCCTAAAAAGAGCAATGTAAGTTTAAGTTAAATTATTATTAGAAGATAAAAATTATTTAATTTTATGCCCCAGTTTTAAAAAATAATTTCATTTAATACAGGCTGTTAACCATAAGAGTGAGATAAATAACATTTATGAAACCTCCTGTATTTTAATTAGTCCGTTGTGGATAATAAGATAGCGAGAGGATCAATACTATCCCAGAAGTAATCCTCAATAGAGTACGCACAACATTATTCCCAAGTTCAAATCCTCCTTGGCTCGAGCGTCTTATGTTGGTCCATATTAAGAAAAGAAATGTGTTCATAAAATTTTAAAAGTCTAACATGGTTGCCGTTCGAGAATCAATTGCTTTTGTTCTGTCAATTTAATTTAAAAAAAAAGAAAGAGAATTAAAGAAATTATAAATTAATACATAAAAATATAATAATGATGAGTTGCATGAATATATGCTGAATAACGTTTTACAATCAGTGACGTTTGTTAACTTTAAATTGAGTGAAAAAAAAATAGTTCCCTTAAATTTTAGGATTAATTGATTATGGGTACCAAGAAAAAAATTGATAAAATAAAGCCAACCCCGATTTAAATTGGTGATAAAAGAGAGAATGACAGAGTTTCCTTTCTACTTATAGTCCATAAAACGTTTTAACCGTGAATCTAATGTTTAAATAGAAGTAATTTGCCGAATATATAATTGTTCAATAATCCTGCCTGAGAAATGAAATGAAATGAGCAACGTCAATCATCTTAATGAGCAAGTTAAGCTATATATCATTTTTATTCAAATCTAAATATGTTCAAAAATATTGTTGGATTACTAATCCCAATAATCTCCGTGCGAATGAATGCTTTTAGTAACAAAAATATATAAAAAAGTTAAAACAAGAAGCAGAGGTTTAGTTTTTCGCGTGGTTTAATAATTAATCAAATTCTAGACCTAAAACAGACCTAACTAAAACCACCATTAAATTATATAATTTAAAAAACCAAAAAACAATAAAATTTTCCATTATGTCCCAAATTCTCTTAAATATCTATCGTTCTCAGTCCTCTGCAATTAAAATGTTCTTCTCCTTTCCTCTTTCTCCTTCGTCTGCCTCGCCTTTCAATTTTTTCCCTCCCAAAGAGCAGCCGGAATCCCTAATTAATATCTTCAATGAAAACAGAGTCATCCCTCCTTCCTCATATGCTTTTCCAAGTCTATGTACCCTTATTAAGACGTTTCTCTGTCAATAATCAATACCAATAGGCAGTAGGCCTCTGGTTCGTCCTCTATCTAGTCGCGCACCATCAACGAAGAAAATATGGTATTTTAAGTCTCTGGCTAAGAATCAATTGTGTGCGGGAACTCTCTCGCAATAAGGGTGTGTCGTTCCTCTTCATTAAATTTTGACCCTTTAACCACTTCTATTAGCTCCCCAGCGATCCTCCCTTCCCTCGCAATTTTACGTTATTTTTCCTATAGCTCTCGAACTCTATTCTGCAATTTGTGAGTCCCACAAGACTGCTAATTTAGTTTTAATAATCAGACGTTCATTTTGGGGATATAGAAAGGAACGGAATTCCAAATATGTCGTTATTCATTACAAATAATTCGGAGACATTTCATTACGGCTACTAAACCCTTAAAGGCTTCAAAAAACAATACGAGCCTCGTAGAACATTACTACTAAATAACATTGAGCTCTTAAATCCAATAAATTTTTTTACCCTCCTATTTTTCTTAAAATGTACGGAGCTGGAATAGCAAAAAAGATATAATATTATCCAAATACTCCAGGACATTTTGTTTAATAAAGTGATAAAGGATTAAAAAAAACTTCGGTTCATTAAAAAGATTTCTTCATTTTGTCCACCAACCAAAAAGTGCCAAGGACCCGCCTAACTCAATCACACATCACTCTCACTCCAAATTTAAACCAAATAGAATAATTTCAAATAATAAAAATGCACACCCCAGAAAATTACCGAGAAGTCCACCTATGCCCTACTCCATATGTATATCACTTGCACCATTTCTTTCTTCTAGACTTTACCCTTTTCTACGGATAGTTTTCTTTGATTTAAAAAAGACATACCGGAGATCCCTTTTATTTCTTTGTCTTTTATTCATGCATGCTTCTTTTCTCCTTCCCTTGTTGGCGTTTCCTGGTGGTGAGGCTCCCAAAATAGCTAGAGTTAAAGTGTGACCAGTAGCGTAACTACGAAAACGAACAATTTTAATTCCCCAACTAATCCCTCAAGTGCACTCTAAAAAAGAGATTAAGATTGTCTTTTAACCTGTGGTTAACGTTTCTTGCTCCAAAGATCAAGCAAAATAAAACTTGTAAACTATTCTAAGACCTTTCTCACCAACGTGTTATTTCCGTCTCCACTCAGAAGCTTTAATCAGATTACAAATTGGAAATCTTTTTACAAAACCAATCAAATAATTCAAAGAAAAATTTGTAGTGCGACTTCCGATCGCACTCTCCTCCAAGAACTCAATTATTCTGGCTCGCTCCAATTATGTGAGGAACATATCTTCTCCACTAGTTTTACCTCTTTCTCGTGTCTCCTCCGCAATAAGAACAATACAGATGTACACCTACTTCTTTACCTCCTAAAAGCCTATTTTCACTCGATTGGTCAAACCATTCACTAAAAAAGTACCACGTTCTTCACTCTTTTTCTAATGTTTAAATTTTTGTGAACATTGCTTTTAAAAAACGAATTCCAGTTTTCTTTTGAATGGACAGTTGTCCCCCTTATCAATTACTTTTTAGTCCGGTCCTCTAATGTGTGCCAACCGAGCTCCTGTTACCGTCCCTGGAACACCGATTGTCCTCACTCCCTTCAAATGTGGTTTACTAGCCCCTCAATAAAAACCTATCCCAAAACTCACGTGAGCTCCCAGCTCGGCTCCACCTAATTGAAACTGTATTTTAGCATTTAACCTCTTCATGCACATCACCATACTCTGCTACTCGTGGGTAAGCCTATTAGGCCTTGTTGTTTGCTCGTAGCTCCACATCAGATATACATATTATGTTTTATAAAAAGGCCTACATTTTACTATTATGATCAACCCTAGAAATTCTAATCTTTTCTTCTATCATCTCTATAGTCAATATGCGCTTTCTTTTCTCTATTCCCCTTTTAATAAAAAAAATCTTTATACATACTGAATACTAAAATAAATAATTAATCCCAGATTTTCTCCTATATTTATTATCAAAGTAATCAAGATTGTGCTCTCGGTTCACTCTCCGTTTAATAGAGAAAGCCGTTTCTTATTAAGTGCGTTCCAACCCTCCCCGTTTTTGATTGTGTTTTTTTTTGTCAAAAATATAAATAATTATCCTAATTTTTCTTAACCTTTCCTTTCCCCGCATTCCAGAAGTTGATTTGCAACGCGTAAGAGGTGGCAACAATAAGAAAATAATAGATAATATTCGTGTTTGTGACTGTTTAAATCTTGTATAATAAATTTATATTATTAAGATGTAGAAGCCCCGAAAATGCCGACAATAAACAAGTCCTATTAATGTAACAAGAATCTCCTTTCATAGAAAGTTTGCGCAGTTAGTCCAAGTAGGAACCAATTCCCTTCCATAGTATTGTTATGATCATGGTTAAGTAAACCTTACCCTAAGAAAATTTCTCTCGATGCTCCTCTTGAAATGCATAAAATAAGCCCAATCCCCAGACACAATCCTTTAACATACGCTGCACGACCTATGACCCGCAAATAGGTATAGAAATAAGATCGGGATATGACCATAAAGAATGGTGTTAGGTTTGATAATATTGAGACCGAGTTAGTAATAAGAGAAGACCTCGAATCCGTCTTTTGTGCGTACGGTAGGACATCACTCTGCGTCACCAAGAGAAGCACTTCCGTGGAGCGTAACCCGTGAGAGAGTGGAGTGGCTTCGCATCCTAATCACTCGTGCTACACCGGTCCTCCTTATAACATATCTACAGAAGACTTTTAACTTAACAAAATAGGAGGCGAATTCGTGCTATGGTAAAAATTAATCTGCATGCATACATAATATAATTCTTTGTCTGAGTGTCTTTTACTCAACGTGATATCCAACCCAATAATAATATAGAACTTTTAGCCTCCAGAAATGTTTATAGATACCCCAAAAAGGGTAAATTATTTAAGAAATTATTAAGTATAACTGAAATATGTAATATCTGGAACATAAATTGTAAGATCTCAAAGTCCAAAAAACCTATTAAGGGTTCTAGTCACAAAAAATCTCATTGTCCCTGCACCCTCCTAATCCAATCTTGTGAAATAAAGATTGTAAAAATAACACCCTCATAACTTGTCCGTCTTTTTCCTATTGGTATCTTCATACTTTATTTCTCTCTTTTGTACATATATGAAGAGCAGCTAAAAGCATACCTCTTGTTTTTTGAAATAAGTTGGAAAAGTTGGCTGGATATCTGTTAATAAAATGTTTAGCTTCAAAAAAAAGAAAACAAGAAAAGATGCTCTCTTCCTCAATAAAATACCATAGGAAGAAGAATACCTTGGATAGTGCAACAAAAGAGTTAAAAGTTTATTTTTTATAATCCCACTCTTATAGCATAAAGTTCGGTGAAAGGGCAAAACCGATTTAAAACCCAGTCCATGAACACTTGTACGAGAATTTATTAATTCATTGATTTTTCATTTTATAAAATTTAATCAACATGTGATTTAATTGTGTAAGAAATGACGTAGTGTCAAAGACACGTATATTTTAAATATATAGAATAGAAGTATTAGCGTTGGGAACTATAAAACTCGCTAAAAGTTTATTTTTATTGTGTATATTATTGTAAAAAAAAAAAAAAAAAAAAAAGAGTCATGGATATTTTCTGCTTGTTTTTGGAAGTTTTAGGATAAAGAAAATAAAAAAGAAGATAAAGGTGAGATGACATCCACCGTGGCAATATAATTGCCAAATATATTGCTGTTGATACACGTCATCACGCGTGCAATTTACTCAATATTTTTGGTTCTCACCGAATGTGTGAAAAGTTACGAGATTATTTCGAAAATACAGTAGACAATAAAATTTTTATAACCAAATTCATTAGGCAATTTATATATTCCGCGGTTTATATAAAGCATTCAATGGTCTATGTAATTGACGTTCTTCAACAAACCAAAGTAGCCTTGTTCGTCCTCATACAGTGGGAATCCGGAATATGGATAAGTGGTAGATATGGTGGGAATCCGCAATAAGGTTTTGTCCTGGATTTACTACTTCAGCAGCACTCATTCGCAATTTTCTATTTTAGTGCTCATTCGCAATTGGGAGTACAGATGCTAATTGTTATGATTTTGGAAAAATCATGCTATATTAAAGTTGGAGGGACAACATATTAAAATTTTATATTTTTAAGGGAAGAAAATAATCAAAATGGATTTAAAATAATAATTCGGTTTCTAAAGTTATTTCATCGTACATCAGTTACAATAAAAAATTAATTTCAACACCAGTAAATAGAGGAACCAATTTGCTAACGGAAGTATGATTAACTAGCATATGGGTGGGTGGGTTCGTTGTAAGTACGTAACTCACCGATTTCATGCTTGGAGATTGTTTCCTGTAATTCTGGAAGACAGCAAGTAACTAACTACAGTGCAACTATCATGAAATGATTTTCAAAACAATTGTGGATCGGATGGCCATTTTAGGAATTAATTACTTTTCTTATCCTCCAACGAAACAGCATTAATGACCGAACAAAAGAAGCTTCTTCTGTTTTGTCATTGCTTACGACATATTTTTGGATGCCATTTATTATTTGGCAAGGCCTTGTACTAAATAAATTCTAGGTCGCTATTGAAACTATTTCATTTTTGACATCACTCCTGTCCTGGTACAAGTGTTTTGGCCCTAAAATTAGTAAATAATAAATAATAAATTTGCTCCTTCTTAATGTACTTTTTTCTATTATTTTTCCAAAAATTCAATTTTCAATTTTTCATATTTTTGGGAGAGTTTTATTAGCTTTCCATTCTTTTTTTTTTTTTTCATTTTCAATTTTTCTAATTCTTTGCAGTTTTTGCACCGTATGCAATAAGAAAATAATATGTACTTTTATAAAAATTATATTAAGATAGGAAAATGGTAAAGCAAATGTCAACTTCAAGTGCAGTTGGGAATTTTAGGTAATTACTAAATTTCCTGTCATGAATGAAACAAACATCCGAAAAGAGAGAAAGAAATAAGATGTTTTTAATTATAAAAGGACAAGTTTGCTCGGTCACCGTGACATAATTGATCCTTTCTTCGTCTTAAAAAATTTTACAAAAGATGCTGATTGGAGTTCAAATGCTTTTCGTACCAAATATTATTACTAATTTAATAAATATTATTTAAAAATTATTATATAAAAAATTATTCTGCTAAATAATTTATACGTTCTTCCAATCCATTCGCACTCCAATTTGAATATTGAAATACCATAATATGACTTTTTCCTTGTTCTTCTACACCTTAAGGCCACTCCGTGTCAAAACAAAACCTCCAAACCAGATAATATGCAAGTTATTAAACTTAAATATTCAGACCAAATACATTGCACTGAAAATTCTTTTTTATTTAAATAATAAATTAATAAATGTAGTTCCCTATATAAGTATTGCTTAACCGTAATGAATTTCCAATTTCAATCAAACACCTGCGAAAAATGGAAACTTGGTTTTTCGTGATCATCACTATCTCCATCTCTGCTCTGCTAAAAGCCATTTTCGAGGTTTTCTTTCCTCGCATCAAGTCCGCCAGCCTTCCTCCAGGTCCCGTCAACTTCCCGATCATCGGTAACATTTTATGGCTTCGTTCCATAGCCGCACTCGAGCCCATCATTCGCTCTCTCCACAACAAGCTTGGTCCTATCATCACTCTGCACATCGGTTCTCGCCCCGCCATCTTTATCGCCGATCGCTCTCTTGCCTACCAAGCCTTAATCCAAAACGGTGCTGTTTTTGCCGACCGCCCAAAAGCTGATGCTATAAGACAAGTTGTTACTTCTAATCAACATAATATCAGCTCCTCATTTTATGGCCCTACCTGGCGGCTCCTCCGCCGAAACCTGACATCAGAAATCCTTCATCCTTCTCGAGTTAAGACATACTCTCATGCTCGCAAGTGGGTTTTGCAAATCCTCCTTAATAGATTTGGGTCGCAATCGAACTTTGGAAAATTACCCCTTCGCGTTGTGGATAATTTTCATTTCGCAATGTTTTGTCTTTTGGTGCTTATGTGTTTTGGAGACAAACTCGACGAGAAACAAATTGAAGAAATTGCGAGAGTAGAGCGTGCCTCGATTCTGAATACTCGTAAATTTGCTATACTCAATTTTTGGCCAAGATTGACGAAGATTTTGTTCCGTAAACGTTGGTCGGAGTTCTTGCAGCTTGAAAAGGACAGAGCAGATGTATTAATTCCACTGATCAGAGCTAGAAAGAGGGCGAATGAAGAGAGACAAAGGCAATCTAACAATAAACAAGAAGGTCAGTATATGTTGTCTTATGTTGATACGTTGTTAGATCTGCAACTTCCTGATGAGAAAAGAAAGCTCAGTGAGAAAGAAATAGTCACTTTATGCAATGAATTTCTTAATGCCGGAACTGACACTACATCCACGGCTTTGCAATGGATAATGGCGAATTTGGTGAAGTATCCACGTATTCAAGAGAAGCTCTTTATGGAAATTAAAGGAGTTGTTGGAAATGAAGAGGAAGAAGTAAAAGAAGATGATTTGCAGAAGATGCCATACTTGAAAGCTGTAATTTTAGAAGGGTTAAGAAGACATCCACCAGCACATTTTGTGTTGCCACATGCAGTGAGTAAAGATGTGATTTTGGATAAATATTTAGTACCTAAGAATGGAACCGTAAATTTCATGGTTGCAGATATGGGATGGGATCCAAAAGTTTGGGAAGACCCCATGTCTTTTAAACCTGAGAGATTCGTTGGCACTGGTGAAACTGGCGATGATGTGATTGATATAACAGGAAGCAGAGAGATCAAAATGATGCCATTTGGGATAGGAAGGAGAATTTGTCCTGGCTATGGCTTGGCAATGCTTCATTTGGAGTATTTTGTGGCTAATTTGGTTTGGAATTTTGAATGGAAAACAGTGGATGGGGATGATGTTGATTTAACTGAGAAGCAAGAGTTTACAGTAGTTATGAAAAACCCATTGCAGGCTCGCATAATTCCCAGGTGCAAAATTTAATTCGTCTTCTCTGATGAATACTGTAGTTATGTAATATTATGTTATGAAATTCCCATGGAATTGTTAATTTTTGCTTGTTAATACCAAGTGCACTTGATTGCTTAATGAGTATTTCCCTCAACAACACAGGTTCTTTTTTTGGTTTCTTTATGTTTTCAAACAAAGGAGCTATTGATTTCATAGGTTTAGTGTTTGTTTAGTTTAAAATTAGATCTTACAAATTTGTCTTATAAAAAACAGTTTAAAATTTTTTTTTTTTTGTGTAAACCCGTTATCCGAACTTATTATCAGGGGTCTACTAAATACGATTCAGATTTAAGTCACATTTAACACTATTTGCCTATCTCTACAGATGTGTTTAGTCCTACAAATATATTTAGTAGATTTGATCCGAGAGCTCTTTGCACATATTCAATCTGGGTTACCAAATGAGCTCTCACCTGTAGTTAAACCAGTTTACAATTTTAGATTGATTACGTATTCTCAATTCTTTAAGTTGGTCTAATTAGTAACTTTACTGATGATTCTTAAATTTATTAGCATATGCAGAACATCAATTTGTATAATATTAAGAATCTTGATATAAAATTTCATAAATTTTGATGATTGAAATATTATAAGATCAAATCTGAGATTAGAATTTTATTCTTTATCTCTCCTAATACTCCATTTTTGGTTAAAGAACAAAATGGATAGAAAGAAAGAAACTTTACAAAATATTAAATTAAAGAGTTTAGAGAGAGAAAAAAAAAAAAAGCTGTAACATTACTATATATATATATATATATATTAAATGATATTAAAAAGCATCAATTTTGGCTGTTTTTATAATTTTAGCCTTTTTGTTTTTTAATTTTGGCAATTGTAACATAGCACTATTTTCATTGCAATTATAGCTTTCGTCCTGTGTCTGTTGCGAAATTACTGATATTGCAATTAGTAAGATCTACATTTCGACACCTCAGCCCCACATCACCGGACCATGTCAGCAAAAAAAAGAAAGGCTAAATGACGAAAAAATTCTCAATTTTGAGTATTTTTGTAATTTTAACTAATTTTAGGTGCAATGCCATTAAATTACAATTGACCTAAGAGTAGATCATTCTTTTCTTTGAAATTTAACAACAAAAACTCTTTATTATTGATGGAAAGACATAGAATATAACCGTAGCAAACATGAAGATAAAGTAATTTATTTAAAAAAAAGACAGAGATAAAGAAATTATTTTTAACAAAATATATGGACAAAATTATAATTTTTTCATATTTTAGTTATCCCAGGACATGTTTAGTCTATATACTATTAGGCCACTTGACAATATTTTACCTTGATAATTGGTATCCATTATTCACACCCCATATCATATGGAATCAACATAGCCCAATACTATCATGATATTATGTTCTTGTATTTTTTTTTTTAAATATATATATATATATATATAAAGGAGAGTGAATATAGTTAAATTAAATTGAGAAATTCACCACAGTTAAATTAAACATTCAAATATTTTTAATAATATTTTATTTTCATTCAGACCCTTGAGTCAAATCATTGATTTTTATTGTTAGTAAATGGTTTACAACAAACAAATTAGTTTCATAATTCATTATATTACTTAATAAATATTCATGTTTTTGGACATTTAAATTGTTCTCATATGGAATTAATCCCATTATATAATTATGTCACTTATTATTTGTGTTTCATAATATTTGTTTTAAAAAAATCATTAAATCTATTTAAGTTAGAATAAATTATTGAGTAAATTAACTATATTACCCTTAATTTAATACTAATTTTCTGAAAAAACCATTAAATTGAAGTAATAATTTGTTGACTATGTAAAAAGGGTAAACATGAAAAAAAGATATTTATTTCTCTTTAAAATCATAAATGTGACAAGTATTGGAATAAATTATTTTTTTAAACGCGACAAATATTACGAAACGAAATTTTTTTTTTCTGAAAATAGAAAATATTATTAAATCAAATCAGAAACAAAAATGGCTTCAATGTTTGAAGAAAGCTGAAACTAACCATGAAAATCAGTATACGAACAAGGTACGCTGGCCCAAGCGTGCGCGGCTTTGTTAACTGATATAAACGGATATTGTATTTGAAATGAAGCCATTCCCATGTAAAAATGATTTTGCATTGGCTGGTACAAGACGAATATTACATGTCAACAAAACTATAATCAAGTAATGAAGATTTAACAGTGTAATTAATAGTGCAAGACAAATATTTATTTCATAAATAAGAATAATTATACGAAAGAAGTGGACTTTATAGTTCAGAAATAATCTAACCTTGTTCTTTCTTTTTTTGTTTTTTTTTTTCTCGTACCAGTAGTTATTGGAAAAACAACTGAAGCCATTAAAGAAAGGGACATAAGGTGAATCACAGCCTAACCATAAACCATTTATTTGGACCTTGGAGATACATTGGCTTGCAATGGATTCTTCATCATAACGGTGAATGCTTCTCCGATAAATCAATATCTTCATTATTTATAGCTTTCCACTCGAAACTCCAAATCAAATTAGCCACAAAATACTCCAAATGAAGCATGGCTAAACTATAACCAGGACACATCCTCCTTCCTACACCAAAAGGCATCATCTTAATCTCTCTGCTACCGGTTATGTCAAAATCAAGTAATTCTCCTTCATCATTCAGAAACCTTTCAGGGTTAAAAGCCATTGGATCGTCCCACACTTTTGAATCCCAACCCATTTCAGCTACCATAACATTTATAGTTCCCTTTTTAGTTATCAAATACTTATCCAAGGTTACATCTTCGCTTACTGAATGCGCCAACAAAAGATGTCCTGGCGGGCGTCTCCTTAATCCTTCCAAAAGTACTGCTTTTAAATATGGCATCTTTTGCAAATCTACTTCTTTCACTTCTTCTTCTCCATTGCTTACAACACCTTTGATCTCCACAAATACCTTCTCTTGGATTTCTGGGTATTTTACCAAATTTGCTATTATCCATTGCAAAGCTGTTGAAGTAGTATCGGTGCCTACGTTAAGAAGCTCAGAGCATAAACTAACAATTTCTCCTTCTTCAAGCTTTCTTTTCTCATCAGGAAGTTCCAAATCCAACAAATTATCAACATAGGATAGAACGATATCTCTTGCTCGTCCTTTTTATTTATTCTCGTTTCCTTTAATTCCTTCCGAGCTCTTATTAATGGAATCAAAATATCTCTCTGTTTACTACAAATCTGAAAAAACTCTTCCCAGCGTCTGCGCATGAAAATCTTACTCAATCTTGGCCAGAAATTGAGGACACTAAATTTGCCAAAGCTTAAAAGTATTTGCCGTTCAACTTCTTCGATTTGTTTGAAAATGGTTTACTACGGAAACAGGCAAACCAGATTTAGCTTGCGATTTAATACGGTTACGAAGGATTTGAAGAACCCATTTGCGCGCATTTCCATATGATTTGATACGCGATGGATGGAGAACTACGGCGGTGATATTACGCCGGAAAAGACGCCAAGTAGGGCCATAGAAGAGCTAATGCTATGCTGATTGTAAGAGGCAATTCTGACTATAGGTAAAGCTGGTGGACGGTCAGCAAAAACAGCCCGTTTTGAGCAAAGGCTTGGTGGACGAGGGACCGGTGGGCCATAAATGGCGGGACGAGGCCCGAAGTGACGAGTGAAAATCGGGCCGAATTTGGAGTGGAAATAGCGAAGGATTGGCTCAATGTCGAAGGAGGACCTGCGCAGCCATTGGAGGTTTCCGATGATCGGAAAGGCAATAGGACCGGCAGGAAGGCGATGGTTGTGGGTAGTAAAGGGAAAGTTAAAGATGGACTTGAAGAGGGCGGAGATGGTAAGTGAGAATAAGATGATAAACCAGAGTTCCATTTTGGAGGTGAATGAAGAAACGGAGACGAATGGTATTTATACATGAATTATTGGAAACTGCAGAGAAAGGTTTTTTCACTTGAAGCTTACGTTTTTTATCAGAACCGAAACATTTGGAAATGTTAATTTAATTTAATTTAATTGTGTATTTGTTTGTTTTTCATAGCAGATTATCCACTTTGGATGAAATTTATTTCACAAAAATTAAGAAAATACAGAAGATTATTTATTCTTGGCATCCAAGATAGTTGATTGAGTCATAAGAAATACAGCATCACTAGTGCTTGGCCCGGAGAGGACGAGTATGTGTATTTGGTTACGAAACAAAATGTAGCAGAAGGACTCTCTTTTTACAGAGGCTCATTTTTGAAACAGGTCCACTGCTATTGGTACAAGCTCGTGGACCATGCTATCTGTTCAGCTTGAATCACAGACCAAACCAAAATTAAAATTTAAGTTAAAAAATCAAAACTCATCCACCACAAATTGATGGTTCACAAGTAGATTAAGATTCATTTTAATGTATAAAATTAACTAGAATCGATTTAGAATATTGTGACAGAATCCATTTAGTCTCAATTCTAATCTATTCATTTTATAGGCGAATTGTGTTCGCTTGTGATGATCTATTTTAATAATCCATGAATTAATAAATTGTCTTAATATTCAAACTCAATTGAAGAGAAAGAGTAACTTAATAAATGTTAGAAATTAGGTTACTCTATTAATAAAATGTCAAAAAATATAAAAAAAATTAAGAAAATATCAATATTAATAAAAAATAAATTAGTAATCCGCAAACTAATCTTATATAGCTTTTGTGATTGACGATAACAACAATGATAATCAAATAGTAAAATAATAATGAAAATGATATTATTTTAATATTTACAGTCAGAGTTACATTTTTTTTAAAAAGAAATTTCAAAATACGACATTTATTACATATTGCATAGAGATAAATGCTAACCCAATGAGTTTGTGGCCCACTAAGCCCCAAACATGTGACTGCCTCAAAGCCCATATCCTCTCTATAAAAATAGAATCCTAATCCTTCTCTGCTTTTCTTCTAGCAAGACAGATTGAACCAAATTCAAAATTTGAATTTGTGTAGATATATAAGGAAGAGAGGGGAAAATGGCGACTCCAACCAACGACATGAAGAGTTTCTACAGGCAAAGGAAGAGCAATAGAGGTGGCATCACAAAATCAACTTCTAAATCGAAGAAGAAATCGCCCAAACACGCCGCTACTATCAGCTCTGATATCACTCAACCAAAGGCCTTGATTTCTCATGGTGCTCCCGATCTTCAAGGTCTCCTCTTCTCTCTCTTTCTCTCTAATAAGTGTATTTCTTTTTCGTCTGTCCTATTCTGCGTTTCTGTGCTATTTACCTTTTTTTTGTCGCGTGTAATTTGTGGCTTATTCAATGCTTTTGTTTAAAGTTTGATCTCTTTGTTGAAAAATTGCAGTCTTGAAAATTTTGAATCGTAAAATGGAACTTTCCGCTGGAAATTCTTTTAAATCATTTTTTAACTCACGATTAAGCGCATTTTGACACTATTTTTGCCAAAAATCCTTAGTATTAAAATGAGAAAATGAAAGCCAGTTAAATAATTTGGTTCTAGAAGTTAATTAGATTAGTCTGAGTCTCAAGGTTAATCCCTCAACTCAAATGATTTCGGGTTTTCGAAAAAAAGAAAAAAAAAGTGAATGAGCTTTCCCTGTTTTTGTGAAACTGAGAACAATATAATCTTGTCAGGTAGATGAAATGGGGTGTAAAGTGTAATCATTTGTAATTAGCATTAGGTTTTTTGCAGTGTTTTTAGGAGAAGTAATAATTCTTTGTGCTGTCTTCTTGGTTGTAATAGATGATTATGACAAACAAGAGGATGTCTTGAGGCAATTTGACATGAACATGGCATATGGGCCATGCCTTGGGATGACCCGGCTGGCAAGATGGGAGCGTGCTCAACGATTAGGTATGAACCCACCTAAAGAAATTGAAGGTATGTTGAAGAGTGGAAAGGTTAGCTTAGAATGCCTGTGGGATGGCCGTGTTTAGAGCTTAATAATAAGCTGCTTGATGTATTATTAGAATATAACGTAATGCTAGTTGTTGTGCTTTCTTCATTTTGTGATGTTCATGTTCAGCCTCTGGCTGATCTCTACTTATCAGTATGTTTATTTGTTCTGTTCTGATGGACAAATTACCTTGCTGATCTTAATGGAGCGACTTTCTTTGTGATATTATGCGAAGTCTCAACGCTAAATTATGATATTGCTGTTCTGCTTGGAATTTTGATTTGATCCCCTTTCTGAAATGATCTCTCGCATTGATTACATCAAAGATTAAACAATTCAAATATTAGTAATGTGGCTGGGCTCAGCGAGCGCACACAATAATTTGTTCTGATGAATATTGCTTCTTGTTGAGTACCAAATGTTATGAAAGATTGATCGTGAAATTGAATTCTGGTTTGGTCCCATCCATGCATATGACAATTGTCTGTGTAAAAGAAGGGTACACACTATGAAAAAAAAGGCATAATTGCAATTTCTTTACTAGCAGTTCTTTCAGCTGCTGAAACTTGAATTACATTTGAATATTGATCACAACCGTACAATAAATTTGCTTTATATGGAAATTGCTTAGAATTACAACAAATGATAGTATTTGTAATAAATATATGAATGTATAATAAGGTTAAAAAAAAAATCTAAAAAACCTACAAAAAATTAAAGAAATTTCAATCTTATGCTACTCGCTCTTCTTCCTAGTTTTGTATTTGTCATCATCTGAAATATATGACCACCAATAAATTGGCAAAAGTGTGCACACAGCCTGTATTAGAAGGGCTCTGGGAAGCCCTGAAAAATCATCTCCTGTGACTCCAACATATGATGCTAGTGCAACACCAAGGTATCCACTCACTATGAATGCAAGGGCTATAGCAGATGCTACAAGCGCCATCAGTGACCCCTCACACCCCGGTGGGCATAGCTGCGCTATTAGAACATTGAAAGGCAGAATCTTAAAGAAGAACAGTACCTCTAAAAGGCCTGAAAAGATTATGACGTACAATGCATCTGGCACCCCTGCACTTCGATAAAATCCCTTAACAAATAACACATCAGAAATCATGAACACTGCCATTGTAGCTTGAATAGCTGCAATCAATTTTCTTGCAGGAATTGTTTTCAAGTAACGGTTGTAGATTACACTCCATAGAAGCATTGCAGCCTGACCAAAAACCTTAGAGATCCCTAGTAGGGATGAATCAACCTTCAGATATTGTGTTTGATAAAAGAACATGGTTCCCGTCAACGTTGGAATTATAGCATAAGATGCTGCAAACCATGCTATCGAGTAAGCAATGTCAGGTTTCTTTAACGCAAGTGAGAGCTGTGAAAGCTGTTTTCTAATCCCAACACTTGATGAACTTTTAGGAAGGTTAAGGGAGCTTTCGCGAACCGCAAGGGTTATAAAAAATTGGAGAGCAACTATGAAACCGAAAAAGAGAAACATAGCTTGAGGGGAAAATCTAGCAATGGCAACACCACCCAAAAGGTTTCCAAGGACACCGCCAGCGGAGGAAGCAATCCAAACAAAGGACTGAAGCTCACCTGAAGATGACTGAGGTTTTTTAGAAGAGGTGGTAAGTTGTTTTCCTATCTCAGCAACAATGGCGTCATTTGCAACCTCTGCTATTGAAGCACCAAGATTACTAAGGAGAAGGTACATGCTGATGCAGAAGATGGAGAGGCTTGATTGTGGGATTATTGAAATAGCTATCCATGAAATTGCTTGTAGGAATGCTGCAACAACAAATGAACAAGCATAATTAAGAAGAAACTTTAGTCCATAGTTATGAGAATCAAATATGGAATATCATAATTCTAGGTTGAATAAGGGTAAATGATATAGGAGGTTACTGAACTTTGATGTTATTTCTAATTTGATTATAGAATATTAATTATAGAATAGACTTCATTTTCACTCTAACTAGAAACAAATAAATGAAATTTTGGTTCCAGTACACAGGACTCAAGCGCAAGGAGATAGTTGGGATAGTTAAAATAGATGGATTGCAGGAAAATTGAATGCTCAAATAATTTAAGAGATGAGATTCTGCTCCCTGAATTCACACTTCAGAATTGAAAGCAATATCTGCAAAAGAAATTCTAATAATCTACAAATTCAAATCAAAATGGCTAGCTGTGACCGGAAAATTCTAGAAAGAACATGATTGTTACACATTTACAGTTCTTAAATTACAAATCTAACTTTGGAAAATCAGATTTCTTTTCATGAAAAAAATTAGCAAAAGAAAAGTAAGAAAACAAATAGTTAGGGAAATAAATTAAAATTCCAATTCCAAACAAATTAAAAGTAAAACTTGGCAATTCACTCACCACCGAAGACAATATATGGAATGCGATGCTGGCCGGAGATGTAAACGGCATCGGAAATGATGCCGTAGAAAGGCTTCCCAACCATGGGGAGATTAGCAGAGCTCTGAAGGAGCTGGAGAGTGGAGGGGTCCACATTCAGAGCGTCTTTTAGGAAAAAATTCACTGCCATCCATGGAAAGCACCTAAAACCTTGGACCCAGAACCCGAGTCCGAGTACTACTCGGATCGGGTTCCAATCAGTAGAAGAAGAAGAAGATACCATTTCCCAAAATCTATGAAAGGTTAAAATCTCTGGTAATAATGTATATATAATTCTTCAGGGAATTGATAGGCTTTTATTACGGTGGTGGAGTTGGCGGAGGCGGTGGCGGTGGGATCAGATGAGGACACGTGGAGGAGGGATTCAAAAAGAAAAAGAAAACGTAGATCTGTACAAGACATTGGGTTGCGCGAAAACCGTGTCACTATCTTCTGCTACAAGGGCTTCAAAGTTAAATGGACCGTTTGATTTATGAAATGTTTAGGTGTATACACCACGTGTACATTCTTTATTTCTTTTTGCTTTTTGCTTTTTACCAAAAACTTTATTTATTTATTTATTTTTTAATTTAATAATAAAAGGGATTATTTTTTTATGATAATTAGTATTACCAAAGTGGACTGTCTTATGAATAATGTACTTATTGTCAAATTCAACTTTTTGAATGCAATTATATATGTAATTATTTGAATTGCAATACTTCAACTATGTGGATTTATTATATCAAAATATAAGTGATTTGCTAGTTTTAAAAAAAGAACTAAATCTTATCTAGGGATCATACTAAGAAGTATGAGGTTATGTTCCACCATATTAATAAAGGTTCTATCTTTAAAATCAAACTGCATTTTCATTTTTGGGAATTCTTCAAACTGTAATGTAGAGAATTCAACATAAATATAACGCTTAATCTTGCAAAAGGGAGAACGTTCCCTATCTTCTGCCATTACAAAACGAACAACTTTACCCGCGATTGAAGAAAGGGTTAAATACTTTCTTGCAGAGAGGTCTAGTCGGTTGGATATGGTTTCTGATACTTTGAATGCATACAGTGGTCCATTAGTTTGCTCTTTATTCAGCTAAAATTACAAGTATTCTGCTTTCATGGATTCAGGTTACGGCCTTCACTATTCTGCCTTTTTCAAGAGTATTTAACATTAAAATGGAAATTGCATTTTCTTTCAAAAATTTAAATTAAGAGCAATCCCAAACATACCTTTCATCCACTCATGTAACAAATGCCATTTAAAAACAATTCTAATGGAATGATTATCCATCTAAAAACTGCCAAAACATTCTTAAGGAGAACTAAGCAAAATTTGAGAAATTAGTAATGACAGAGCAACAAATTGTCAATCGTGTTCAAAGAAAACAAAGGACCAAATATAGGACAAAAAAATTACAATGAAAATTCCATTTTCCTTCATCTATTTTATTTTGCAAGTGAGTAATCAATCCAAGAAAGTATAACATTGTGTATCAGAGCAAGTACTTCTCAACAACAGTCCTGCCGAACTTCTCTTGAACATCCTTTGGAGTTTCAATCTGGAAAGCAGACACAAAAAGAATCAATACAAACACAAAAAATAAGATCATTATCATACCATACCAAACTGCATTACTTACAGCATTCAAAGCTTTAAAAAGAGCCTTAACAGTGTTATGAGGATTCCTTGAGCCAATAACCTGACAAAAGAGTCGAGTTTCAACACAAGCTTCTAATAAAGGACTTCACTAGTTATGCAGATTCAGCTTACAAGCCCATTACCTTGGATTTGACATTTTTGAAACCAGCTAAATGCAAAATAGTTTGGACGATTCTTCCGGCTTTCATACCCGTTCTAGTAGGGGCTGGCCACAGATATACCTATGGGAATAAACAAATATGAAATGAAGTAGAGAGAGCTGGAGATCAGAAAGGATCATGGAGATGGTGGAAAAGAAAATTAAAAAATAAAATACCTTGGTTTTCTTGTATGCTGTTTGTATTGCATGTGCAATTGTATGCTCCTCATGCCGCTCTACATAGTGGAGATTCTGAAAGCATTTCTCATATGCCTGTTTGTTAAATCAAATTGAACATACAAAATCACGCACAAAGATTTTTTCGGATAAGTTACAAATAAATTAACAAATTATACAAGCAAATCAGTAAGATCCCCAAAGAGAAGACAATGGTTATCCACTATATTTGCAATAGAATAAATTTCCGACAAACAGGCCATTAAAGTTCCAATATAACTGGAGAAAAGAGACAAGACAATATATTTCTCTCTAACAAAATAAACAAAAGGAAGAGGATGCCCATAGGAAAGTAGGCAAAGTTAATGACCCCATAAGGTCAAATCAATAGTTTATTGTACAAGTTCCAGAAATGGCAACATTTTCTGGTGCAGATAACAATGATGATCCGGGATTAGACAATTCAAATGTTAAACATATTTACTTTGTCAAGGGCAAAGGAAACACATTATTTCATTAGGTTCATTAGGAAGGAAGAAAGGTCAAATAATATTATTTGAATGTAGATCGAATAAGATATATCACTTGCAATAGCAAGCACATGCAGACATAGTATTGCAATAAGAGCACATAAGATATAGACACGGGTTTAGTTTCTGCCCTCCCCGATGCTCAAAAAACTTGAACTAGCAAAAGTTTCACCTCTAAATTCTGCCCTCCATATAAATCAAAGATCTACTTCAGATCATAAAGAATTAAGAACTCTTTACTGAAATTGGAAATTAGTACAATCATTTGCCAGCAAGGGCTTTTTTCTCAAAATCACATTATCTAAACCTACATCACAATTCTCCACAAAGATCTCTCTCATTTTAATGCACATAGAACCTTTAAAAAAAGAAGAGTTGATGAAAGTAACCTACATGCACAGGAATCTCACAGATCAGGTTTATGGACCAGAAAGCAAACTCTCTTTTACTACCATAACCCTGTAGTAATATCAATATTGAGGGTGCATATGTGCACAAGCCTAAGACACGGAAGAGGGAGAGAGAGAAAAAGCTTTCTGTTGAGTGTGTTCTGGTATTTAAGGTAAGTATCCTTAAATTGTCCATTTTAAAAAAAAAAAAAAAAAAAAAACTACCATAACCCTGTAAGTAATATCCAATATTTGAGGGTGGCATATGTGCACAAGCCTAAGGACACGGAGAAAGGGAGAGAGAGAAAAAAGCTTTCTGTTGAACTTGTGTTCTTGTATTAAGGAAGTATCCTTAAATTGTTCCATTTTAAAAAACAATAAAAAAAAAAAAAAACCATCCACGCAAGAGAAATTAAAAAATATTATCCTTGCATGATGATTCTTAAAAAAAAAAAAAAAAAAAAACCATCCACGCAAGAGAATAAAAATATATCCTGCAGATGATTCATATGCTCTCCACAAATTACATTCACAGAAAGTACCAAAAGCTTTTCATATTGCAACACTGAGAGCACTGAGTGCTTTAGGGTCTATCTATTGATGTCCAGCAGGAGTCATGTCAAGCATTATTGCAAGCATAAAATTTTATATTTTAATTTTGAATACAGACGCATGCAGGTACATAGTAGTGTCAATGGCATATGATATCTCAGATGCAATGCTTTTAAGGAAATATCTAAGATAGCAAGAGTACTCTAAATAATAAACTATCTGGTAAATTTGCCTCTCATGATAATATTGGACTGATCATACTCTGTAGCAATGTTAATTTAAGTATTAGAATATAAACCAAAATTCAATCGTACACCCACAGCCTGCACAAAGCAAGGCAGCTCACTGTAGTGTCTAGCAATAATCTGTCATGCAAGAGGCCCTATAAATAATTGAAAATAAAAATAAAAAACCATATAGCACTACTGAATTACCTTTTGGAGAGCTACAGGGATTGCTGGGCCTTTGGCTTTAGCAAAACCGATAACACCGTGATAGTTTCCGCAAGCTAAGATAGCAGTGTACTTGACCACTTGTCCACCCTAAATCATAGATGTCCAGAAGAAATGCAAGATTTATGTATGGAATACTTCCAAATCGAAGAGACTCCAGATAAGGCAGTACAGTAATACCTTTGTAACTTTGCAAGTTCGATTCACATCTATCAATTTCACATCAAAACCCTGCCATTATTCAATAACAATCTGGGTTAATAAGGGATCATAAAACTAATCGACACAAACATGAAACAAATCTGAATTTATTATTTATATAGTGGTTTCAGTAAGTTGATTATAATTCATGAGAATGATCTCTATTTGAATCAAACTTTTACAAGGACCAACCACTACGATCAATTAGAAGATAAAACAAAAAAACTCAAAAACACAATGGTAGCTCTTGCTTGATCTTAAATATCCTAATTAACTCCTTAAAAAAGCCTAATGACCACTAATCAGTAAACAACAGTTTCTAAAATCTGATGATTCATCCTTAATTATATAGTCAAGTTACTTTTGTTTTACCTGAATAAAAAAAGGAAATATATTTCCTCACACAAAGAACAAATTTATTGAGCATTATCACCTGAGTGATGGATATTATCTCTTTTCACCACAGAAACTTGAGAAATGAAAAAAAAAAAAAAAGCTTTAGATACAAGAATTAAAAAAAAAAAAATTCAGAGACCATTGTAGACAGTATACACATTGTAGCACCATTAATTAACTTAAAAAGTCAGATAAAACTTAATCAGAACAGTAAAGTGCAATAGAAAACATTTGCCTGTCAACTAGGAGGCGTTAAGCAAAGCATAGAGCATTTCCTTTATATTTCTTGGTTAATTTGACTCCAACTGTGGTTTGAACTCCAGATCTCGGAATATGAATTACCCTCGAGCCAGATTGAACTAAGATAATTTTAACTAATTCTAAGAAGCTATTAGAACAATGTACCTAGCAAGAGTTTAATTACTTACTTTTCTATACATTGGTCTCCTTTTCTTTTCTGTCAAAGAATTTCTCTCCTCCGCAAGATCTCTGATCTCCTCCTCAAGAACCTTCCCCTTCTTTCCAAAAGTATGATCTAACTCGGCTAACTTCTCTTCAAGTTTCTTGTCAATAGCATTGAGCTTCTCTAATAATATGTCATCTCTTTCTTTCATGTCATCAAACTCCTCCTCATCATCAGTCTCGCGTTCAATCATTTGCTTTTCTTCTTCAAAATCAGCCTCTTCCGTACCATCAACATTGGGGCCATGCTGAATAACTCCATAATTGGCTGGATTATTGGGATCATAAGCTTCCTTCCATTCCACCAGTCTCATGGCCCTATTTAATTTCTGTTGAAGAATAAATTTATCCTTTCCTTCTGCTATTTTTAGACGATTCATTAGCTCACCGATGACTCTGTATTCAGGACGAAGCTTAAAATGTTTTTGCTCGAACTTGTCAATTCTACTCATCCATTTGAAAGCCTCATCAAGTGTCTCTGTATTGAAAAAAAAAATGAAAAAGAAAACACACTTACCCAATCAATCAGCTACTAACTACAAAAGGACTAACATTTTGGGTATGCATTTAATGAGAAAAGACACGGTTGAACATTTACATATCTACACACCAGAAGCCACAAAATTTTCGAGTAACTCCGTATGGCGTTTATGCTTCTTCTCAAAAAGCTCAAATCTTTTTGTATGTGCTTCCTCCTCCTCATCATCGCTATCTGAATCAGATGGTTCTTCATAAAGATTCAAATCCTCACCAACGGCCTTCAGTTTCTGTTCCTCTAGCTTCTTTATCAATGGTCCTACGCCCATGTAATCCTCTTCATCTTCTTTATCAATGTCATTGGTATCTAGTCCTGCACGCTTTCTTGCCTCTCTTTCGCGCTGTTTCTCGCGCTCGAGCTCGGCCAGCAGGTCATGGACGACACGGCTGGATTCGGAGGCGGAAGTGGAGAACTGAGTTTTGGAGGAATATGAGAATGGTGATGTTTGAGTTGCGGGAAAGAAGTGTGGGAAAGTTGTACTTTTCCGGGAAAGTTCGGGAATTGGGGGTACTCTAGGTTTTCTGATGGAGTGGGAGAGAAGAAGGCGGGACCAAGATTTGCGTATCATATTTAGGTGCTTGTTATCGGATCATTTCACAGAAAGAAGGAAAATCGACAGACAAAGAGAGAGTGCAAGAAAAATTTTGGAAGAGAACGCTATTAGGGTAGTGTAGGGTTTTTCTTCGTTCTAAACCCTTCAGGAAACTGAGGCCCAGTAGTTTAGGCGTGGGCATCCATTTAGTGGCCCTAGGGTTAATTTACGTCCGCCGTAACTCTTTTAAAGAATTTCCTTCTAGCGCCGGTGTAGCATTTGCGGATGAAGACCGACATGTCGTTCGATGACCGAGCAAAAAATGTAATAGCACCTTGCTCTTACGACCTGTTATATTAGTTAGATGTACGACGTCGGTTCCGAAAACAAGTTGCGTTTCAATTCGTTTCGCTTTAATTCCGACCTTCTTTTCTCTAGGTTGTGCTTGCAGAGCCATGAAAGCTCTCTGCCACAGCAAGGCGAAGCTCATCAAATCAAAATAAAGAGAGAGGAAGTATGATAAAGTATTTAAAAAATCAAACAAGATCCTTCTCTCCCTCAGTTTTCCTTTCAAAATCCCTTACTTTCTCATCAACCAAACACCATTCTCCTTCCAATTCAAAACCCCACCAAAACCCAGTACCTGTCAAATTCACTCCTAGTTTTCATTATATTCACACAAATGCAAGCCCACCTACTAAATCTGACCTCTATGCCTCATTTTTTTGCACTCTTATACATCTTTACTTGACCTGTGGCAGACTCTCCAAAGCTACTAAGACATTCCACCACATGAGAGAATATAATGTTATTCCCAGTTTTCCCTTGTGGAATCAACTTATTTACCATTTCAATGCCTTTGGGTTGGTCTCTCAGGTATGGGATATTTACACTGAGATGTTATGTTGTGGAATTTTGCCTAATGTATTTACTCACAATGTATTGGTACATGCTTGGTGCAAAATGGGTAATTTGGTTTTAGCCTTAGATTTGCTTAGGAATGTTGATATTGAGGTTGATACAGTTACATATAATACAGTTATATGGGGGCTTTGTCAGCAAGGCTTGGCCAATCAGGCATTTGGGTTTTTGTCAATCATGGTAAAGAAAGATACTTCCTTTGATTCTGTTACTTGTAATATATTGGTCAAAGGATTTTGTAGGATTGGGCTCGTGCAGTATGGAGAGTGGATTATGGATGCTTTGGTTAGTGGAGGGATTTGTAAAGATGTCATAGGCTTTAATACATTGATTGACGGGTATTGTAAAGCTGGAGACATGAATCTTGCACTCAACTTGCTGGAAAAAATGAGGAAAGAGGGTGTTTTGCCTGATATTGTTACCTATAATACTTTGATTCATGGGTTTTGCCAAAAAGGTTATTTTGACAAAGCAAAGATCCTACTTGATGAGATTCTGGGGTCTAGGCGGGAAGAAGATAGTGATCTTGTGTTTTCAAAGACTGCTGATAAAAACAAGGATGGCTTTGTGAATTTGGAACCAAACCTTATCACACACACCACCATCATTAGTTCATATTGTAAGCAGCATGGCCTTGAGGAGGCACGTGATTTATATGAAGAAATGATCAATAATGGGTTCTTGCCTGATGTAGTTACTTATAGTTCTATTGTAAAAGGCCTCTGCAAGCATGGGAAGTTATCTGAAGCAAAAGCACTTATGAGAGAGATGGAGAGGATGGGTGTGGATCCCAATCATATTGCTTATGGTACACTTGTTGATGCACTATTTAAAGCAGGGACTGTTTGGGAAGCTTTTGTCTATCAAAGTCAAATGGTAGTTCGTGGAATTGCCTTTGATTTGGTTATGTGCACCACATTGATGGATGGGCTTTTCAAGTCCAGGAAGCCCGATGAGGCAGAGCACATGTTCAGGGAACTTTCAAAACTTAATCTCATTCCAAATGGCATTACTTATACAGTATTGATTGATGGGCGTTGCAAATTAGGGGACATGGAAAGCGTGGAGTCTCTTTTGCTAGAAATGGAGGAGAAACATATTATTCCAAATGTCATCACTTATTCCTCCATTATAAATGGATATACTAAGAAAGGAATGCTCGATGAAGCTATTAACATTATGAGGAAGATGTTGGATCGAAATATTTTGCCAAACGCATATATTTATGCTACACTAATTGATGGCTATTGCAAAGCAGGAAAGCGAGAAATTGCTCAGGATCTCTACAATGAAATGAAATTGAGTGGATTGGAGGAGAACAATGCTCTCCTCGATGTTTTGCTAAACAACTTGAAAAGAGAAAGAAAGATGGATAAAGCTGAAGGATTACTTAAAGATACGATGTCTAGAGGCTTGTTGCTTGACCATGTTAACTACACATCTATGATGGATGTCTTCTTCAAGGCGGGAAAGGAGTCAGATGCTCTTAACATGGTCGAAGAAATGACAGAGAAAAATATACCATTTGATGTTGTTGTCTATAATGTGTTAATAAATGGTCTCTTGAAACATGGAAAATATGAACCAAAATCTGTTTATCTTGGAATGAGAGAGTTGGGTTTGGCTCCAGACCTTGCTACATATAACACCATGATTAATGCGTTCTGCCGGCAAGGGGAACTGGAAAGGGCCTTAGAGCTGTGGAATGAGATGAAGGGCCATAAGATAATGCCAAGTTCAATCACTTGCAACACCCTGGTAAGAGGTTTTTCTAAAGCCGGTGAGATTGAAAAAGCAATGAATGTTTTGAATGAAATGTTGGTTCGGGGAATTCACCCTAACGTGGTCATTCATCGGGATTTGCTTGACGCTTCTTCAAGAAGTGGAAAGGGTGATACGGTCTTCCAAATGCATGAGCGACTGGTTGCTATGGGACTTAAAGTTGATAAAAATATTTATAACAATCTGATTGGGGTCTTGTGCAGGCTTGGAATGACTCGGAAAGCCACTTCAGTTTTGAGAGATATGATCAGGAATGGACATATGGCAGATACTATCACTTACAATGCCCTTATAAATGGATATTGTAAAGGTACTCATGTCCAGAAGGCTTTGGCCATATATGATCAGATGTTAGATGAAGGGGTTTTGCCAAATATTACTACTTACAATTTCCTTCTACGTAGTCTCTTAGCAGCCGGTTTGATGTCAGAGGCAGATAAATTGTTCCATAAAATGAAGGAAAATGGCTTCAAACCTGATTCTTCAACATATAATATTTTGATCTCTGGCCATGGTAGGATTGGGAATAAAAAGGAATCTATAAAACTTTACTGTGAAATGGTTGCCCAAGGTTTTGTGCCCACAACCGGCACCTATAATGTGCTTATCAGTGATTTTGCCAAGGTAGGAAAGATGCATGAGGCTACAGAGCTTCTAAAGGAGATGCAAGAAGTGAGAGGTGTACCTCCAAATTCTTCCACTTATGACATACTAATTTGTGGATGGTGCAATTTATCTAAACAGCCAGATCTAGACAGGATATTGAAAAAGAATTACCGAACCGAGGCTAAAAAATTAATCATAGAGATGAATGAAAAAGGGTTTGTCCCGTGTGAAAGTACTATTGCTTGTGTCAGTTCTACTTTTGCTAGACCAGGAATGATGCTTGATGCTGCAAAGCTACTGAAGGAAACATATAAAAGAAAGGGTGTGTAGAAGAGGAAGAAAACATTAGGCGAGTATCTGTGCCAGTGAACACAGGTATTGCTGCAGTGAACCACTGTGTTTCTATTGCTTGTTCTCAAAAGCTTCAGGTATGGCAGCGTACACTATAGGCTTCTCTTATTATTAATTTTTTATCTGGATTGCTATTTTCACCTGATTTAGTTATTTCCTTTTTCTTTTTCTTGCCAACAATGGTATTGATGAGCAATATTCCCCTTTTACGCTTTTTTGTGTTTTTGAATTTTCTGATTAGAGGGAAGAATTAGGCTGTGAATTGTCTTATATATGCTTCTTGTTCTTTCTTTATAGTTTGACCTAGTAATGTAGTTTTTGAAATTAACTTTGCAGAACAACTTCACTCTCCCCTACTCTTAGTTCACGATATCTCCATCTGTCTGAATGCTGGGAAGTGAAAGTATAAAACTGATATACTACTGGTTTAAGCTGGGAAGGATACTGCAGGAGAACTTAATATCCTTGCGAAAATGGAGGCCCTTTATTATCTTACAATATTGTTACTGGAAAAACATGGCTTAGTTTTGAGATGCTACCATCACGAATGGACAGTAGTTGCATTCATCAGTTTGATGGTATTTTGGATGTTTAGAGCTTTTGGTTGGTCATTTTCCTGCAGCCTCCAGCCACCAGAGGCAATCCTATTGCTTAATCATTCTGAAATTGCATCCTTAATTTTGATGATGTTGACTGGGCAAGTTGATACCTGATAGTGCATTTGTTACATATGTACACGTATTTTTTGGTACATTAGAATGTTAAATGAGCTACACAATAAGGGGTAATTCTCCCTACCAATAGGATAGAGATCCCAAGGCTTTACTATTGGACTGTCTGCTTGGGGACATATGTACAGAGGTATGCCTCATCAAATGATATCTTTTATTATTATTATTATTATTATTATTATTATTATTATTATTATTATTTTCTAATATCAAAGCTTCCATATGAATGCCACACGTGAAATGTCATCTTTCAACTTCTCTAACAGTATTTGTTTCATGCTTTCTATAGCTAACATGTGAAAGTTAATCAATGGATGCCCTCATATTGTATTCTCTCCTTGTTCACCTCTGGGTCTAGAATATATATCATGCATTTGGTTGGACCATGCTTCAATCTTTTCAGCCAGACCAATAGGTAAGAAACAAAAAAAATTACTATTGTGGTTGATGTGTTTCTGTTGATTCTGGCAGATGTCATCATTTATCTGAAATGCAGGGAAGAGAGATGAAGCAGAAGCAGCTGTGTCTAGATATTAGGAGGAAAGTGGCAATACAATGAGGCAGCTAGCTCTGAGCCATAGGAAACTTGGAGCTGGTTGATTATATCTGCACAGGTAAGATTGTCCAATTAGTTGGGAAGTTTGAGAAGATAGTGGAAAATTTACACTTCACAGTGATTCAGCAAGTTCATTGAAGTTATCCTCCTAACTTCTCGAGGAAGACTATGAACTCCAATTTTGGTGTTATCAGTCACCACCAGAAGTTTATGCTTCGAGGTAAAATCAGGGAATATCTTCATTACATCGACGTTCGAGGTAAAATCAGGGAATATCTTCATTCTGACAGTGAACTTGCTGTAGGCAAGCACTCTGTATTATGCAAAAGAAGGTTCAGTATTCTGTATTCGTTATTCAGGAAGATAAGAGAGGAATAATGTGATTTCATTAAGATCACGCCAATACAATTAAGAAAGCAGAAAATTATATCTCATTTTTCAGTCAATTTATTTAATTATCCACTTTATTTTGGAATTGGATCTCTATTGCTGGAGATTGAAATTGTCGTTTTCTGAAGTCAATCTATTTAATTGGAATTATTTAAATATCATTGCTTTTCGAGATTTGGTGTGTCAAATTGCTTTAAAATTTTCTTTTCACTTGTTGGAGCCTTGAAGGCTATCTGGATATTACTCACCGTCTCTCTTAATTTTTCTGAATATCTTGACAGTCTTGAATTAATTAATTCTTGCAATTGACTCATCCCGCTCAACTCCCTATCAAAGAATTAAGTTAGGTAGTAAGCAATTTTAATTTTCATAAAAGTGAGAATACAGATTCAATCTCTGAAAAATACATTTTAATTGTACTTAATTTTGATGTGTTATTTTCAAAACGCATGGCTTTGGCAACAATAATGAAACCAAGTATCTAGTGTCTGGCCACGTGGAGGATTATATCTCCTAGTTATGAATATATTAAAAAAAAAGGGACTAAAAAAAAAATTAGAAGATATTATAATAATGGCTAAAAGGTTTACCCAATTATGGTCCTGTCAAAGTAGGGACGAATTGCACTTACTGTAGTATTGTTCTTACCCATTAATCTTTAACTTATTGATTAGAAAGCAGAGGAATTTTGCCATAAAAATATACTCGGTGAAATTTCAAGAAACACCGATATGACATACAATTAAAAAGTGGAAAAGGAAAAAGAAGAAGATAATACACCACAAACTAGACTTCATTGAAAGGAATCTGAGATTTTATTAAAAAGAAACCATAAATGTTTTACAGGTATTATTTTCCTGTATCTGTAACTAAATGTGCCTTTCATGAATGGGGTATAGGATAACAATCCAACCTCCAATTATTACAATATTAATCAGACAATCCCATCCTAAATTCCCATTAACATGTCAATAGCGTCATTGCCATACAACAAGCTCTCCAGTGGAAATTTCCAAGGTTGGGATACCATGATCACGACCACGACCATGACCATGCATTGGCATCTTAGCAGTGAAGATGAATATTCATGTCTTATCATTCATGCTTAAGAAGGATCAAAGGATCTGGTTGCTCTACTTCTATCTTGTTTAAGCTTAATGGTGAACTTCAAGTTGAGCCAAAAACCAACTCTTTTAAGGACGTTAGTGGCGAACTGTATCCATACACTACAGTGTCTCTCCAAAAAGCCATTACTGTTAAAAGGAAGAAATGTATCAGAAATCTCCCCTTGGCTAATCAGCTGAACAACATTATCATGGGTGATAATTAGTCGAATACTATTATCCAATTGTTCACTCAAGAGTAATAAAAGGGGAACGTGGGGTAGGGGGAATGATCCACACATGAGCCGAAGAGGGGTAGAAGGGCAAACCTAGCCATGCAATCAATCCAGTGGTTGCAGCAAGAAAGAATCTCCTGCTAATACTGTTGAAACTGAATTTGCAGAAAAGTCAGTTGCAAGTCTTTGTATTGAGAATACCGATAAAAAATGACTACTACAGATGAATGCTATAGCTTACCAGTACAAGCATAAAATATTCCCATACCCATAAAAGACTGCAGCCCAGGTTGAACCAGTAAACCTGTAATAACAGTTGAATAGTTGAATTATTAACACATTAAACATGTTAGAAAGACTTGACATGTACTTGGGAGAAACACATTAAGGTCGGACAGCCAAATTCTATCTAAGCCTTAGGATATCTTTGTATTTAATGTCGGACACTTTCCCACATATTATATCTTTAATACTCCCCTAAAGGCCACTGGGATAAAGCCCATGCGACCGAGGGCAAACATCAAACAAGCTACCAAGACGAAGCCATATCAGGGCCCAAGGGCCAGGGGTAAAGACTAAAGGCCCCATTGAAAATTTAAACAAACATATTCGTGCAAGGATCAGTCTGGTGATACCATGTTAGAAAGACTTGATATTGAAGTTGGAGCTCTCAATTTCATATAACCTTTACAATATCTCTACATTTAATCCATACAGGAACTTCCTCACATATTATATCTTTAATAGAATATAATTTTATAATTATTTCCTATTCTATTTAAAAAGAAAACACTGGATTAATTCAACATCAGTAACATCTGACACTGGGAAGAGTTCATAGTGACTACTTTTTCACAGACAACTCAACAAATATTCCTGCCCCAGAAAGAGAGGTACAGTAGGTGACCATGTTAATAGCGTCACTGAATCACACAAGAAAAAGCATGTACTAGCATGTTAAAAAAAAAAAAAGAATTATCTAAATTAATACGAATGACATTTTGCAGATGACACAGTTAACAATTGATATTCCAAAAAATAAGGTTCTTAAATATATCCTGATTAGGAGACAGTAACTTATGGCAGAAACCAAAAAAGAAAAAAGAGGGAAAAAAAAGAAGGGCTTAACATAAATCTTGAGACTTGTGGCAACTTTCATATAACATGGCTATAGCTTAAGAAGCAGGACAAATTTTAAGGAAGAAAGATTGTCGGAGGGTAGAGCATTACCACATAAAATCACGAATGAAGAGCGCTCGAGGGATCATAAGTCCATTTCCAATCATAGCAAGCAACATTGAAAAAGCTGATAGGCCTTTAATGTTATCAGGATTCAAGAAATTTGTCCACTGAATAGAAAGCAATAGTCCTGATCAGATATTATGTAAAACAAGCATCACTATGCCAAAAACTTAGACATGGAGATTTAGAGATTACCATTTGTGAGACTGGCATCCACATGAACATAAGGGTTGCCGTCCAACCAGATATTCCGCCGACAAATTTAACACCTTTCTCCGAAAGCTTGCCTGTTCGTGCCTGCATATGTTATTGGTTGTAAATCTAAAAGGATTTGATTCCAAATGCTTATTTTGTCATACAAAAAATGTTGAAGAGAAAGACAGGGAAGATATAAATATAAAAATATCAATACAAGTTCCCTGCATAGACAGTAAGCGCGATAATACTTTGAGTAAAGAGGTCTGAATGACACTCAAGATATCTAACGCGATAATACTTTGGTACAAACAGTTTATATGCAGTTTCTAATTTTACAAGTCTGCAATTGATATCTGATCAGATCAATACACCAAAAGCATGATGGAATCTTAGAAGTTACCATCAAAAAAAGAAAAACTTCATAAAATCTTACCATTACAACAGCAGCAATAGCTGTGGTACACGCTATTGCCCCTGGCAAAATACTGCTTGGTATATACGGGACAAACGTAGACCACATGACCTGTGAGACAATTCAGAAATATATCATTAGTTGTTAACAAAATTACTCAAAAACTAAAAAATAATATTATAATTCCCTGCCAGGATCAATTGAGAGATGGATTAAAGAGATGGATGTGCATGTGTGAAAGTGAGAGAAGAAGAACACCTGAGGGAGGGCGGAGAGTCCACCAACAGTTATAAAATCCTCCCAGAAGCGCCAGATGCCAGAATTAAGCTTTCCAATGTAATTTAAGAAATTCACGACCAGACCAGTTGCTACAACAGCTGAAAGGACCACAAAATAAGACAGAGGCATAGCTTCTGCCATTGCAAGCTGAGTAATTACTATGTAAATAGAAATTACTCCTAGCGTTTGCACCACAATCACTTCTGTTTCTTTCTTTTTCACAAAATAAGAGAGTAATGAAAGATTTCCGAGCAACCCAGTAAGCATCCCCTGGATTCACAACATTTCCTTTCTTTAAACCTTTCACTTCCTTAAAACGAAACATTTGAAAGACAAATAAAGAAAGAACCTCCAATTAAAGGGTTTACCAGCCATGGAACTGCTAAAAGGGCAGTTTTATTTCCAGCCATTAAATTTTGCGCATTAAGGATAATCTGAGGCATTTGCAGTAACAAAAATGGAATATTTGAAGCTCCAGAAAATTTCGCTGTCCATGAATCCCATTGCTCAAAGCTCTTACTGCTCTTTCCTTTGATCGATCCCTTTCAAAATCCCAAAGAAAAATCAAAACAAAATAACAACAAATTACCTTCAAATTAAAAAAAAAAAAAAAAAAAAAAAAACCTATTCCGACACTCAAGAACAATTGTGATTGGCCGTTTGCAGTTAGATGCGCCACGTATGCCAGAATTAAGGGCTTTCCAATGTTTGAATTTTTATAAGGGAAAAGATTCTATTAGACGAAATGGGCAGCATTTATTTATTTAAACCTGCGATTTTCCGACGAGACGGTCACCGTTTAGTCAAAGGATGAGAAGCCTGTAGTTTTCCGACATAGCATGATTGTTTTGGGAGTATAAGATAGCCGCTGGTGAAGATGGCCATTGCAAGCTTTTCACTGTCCGCCACGGTAAGGTTTCAATGAAGAAAAAAAAAGGATTTTGGAGAAGATGACGCATTTTATTTTTTGGTCCCTCATTATTTTTCAGTTAATTATATATATATATATATTTATTTAAACCTATGATTTTCCGACGAGACGGTCACCGTTTAGTCAAAGGACGAAAAGTCTGTAGTCTTCCGACACAGCGTGATTGTTTTGGGAGTATAGGATGGGCGCTGGTGACATTGGCCATTGTAAGCTTTTCACTTTCCGACACGGTAAGGTTTTAATGAAGAAAAAAAAAAGATTTTGGAAATGATAACGCATTTTACTTTTTGGTCCCTCATTAATTTTCAGTTAATTGGGCTTCAAAACCTTTTAATTTGTTTAACTAAGTCGTGAAATTTATTTTAATTGGGTATATAAAAAACATTGTAATTCAATCAAAATCAATTAAAATCTATAAGAAAAAGTCTCACCAATTTTATAAAACTCTATGTAAAGTTTTAGTGGAATCTGTGAAAATTTTAGAAAATCTTTTAATTCCGTCAAACTCAACAATTCTTTTAAAATCTTACACAATTCTAATCCAATACACCCTTAAATTTAATTTTTTTTATTAATTACTTTTGGTCATATATATAAAGGATAAAAATGAAAATAATAATTTATTATAAATCCACAAATGTAATATATAATAATTTTTTTGGGATAAAAGAGGGACTTTTCAAAAAAAACAGAAGTTTCACCCAAGCGTTTTGGTATTTGAAGAGGAGACATGCTAAGCGACGAGCCGTTAACTTCAAATTCGACGATTGAAACCATCGGTTGAGAATTAAGAATTAAGAGCCTTATCACTTTTCAGTACTAACCCAAAGAAGTGAGGAAGAAAAAGAAAGTGTGATACAGAAATATGCCAACCTTGAATCTCTACACCAACATACCCGTGGATGCAGTGACAACCTCTGATATTCTCAAAGATGCCACCAAAGCTGTTGCTAAAATCATTGGCAAGCCTGAATCCGTTGAGTCCTCACTCTTCCTTTTTCGCGTTTCTTTGTTTCTATGCCTGTTTGTTGGAATTCTTATAAATGACCATTTAGTGTTCGATGAAATTTCTCTGTCAACCATTGTTCTTATGCTTCTTTATTCTTCGCATTCTTTGTATTTCTTTCTGTTTTTTCTTTTTTTTTTTTTTTAAAATTCATATGAGAGTGCTTAGGCGATATTATGCTGTTTAGTTATCTGCAAGTTCAAGCCTTGTAACTTGTAAGTTCTTTAGCATGAACGTGTTTGGTTGGCTGTAGAATTGGGAATTGAATACATTCTTCTAATAGATTTCTATTTTTTGGTTTGCTTCACTTTTCTACAATTTCTTTGGATATGGATATTTCGACAGTTGAATAGCTTCAATTTATAATGAAATGATGTGTACTTCTAAGCTTTATTTTTAATATAACCGACAGAATTCTATTTGGTTACTTAAAATTAAATTTAGAATTGGATTCTTTGAACTTAGATATTCATTTCTATTTATAATCTAATTCCAAGTGAACCAAACTAGAGCACTGGTTGGTATGGACATCATCTATAACTATGGTACCATATATTTGGTATCATCTGACCAGCATATAGCATATAACTATCATAAATATGGTCATATTGTTACCAAATTGTTGTATTCGTTGTATTTATTTGATTTTTATTTTTTTTGGAATTTCATCTGGATGGAATATTCATTTATTTTGTATTTTCATAAATAATGGATTTGAATAGTAGTATTCAAATGCACAGTAAAAAATCATTGGACAACAATATAAAGTGCATTAAAATACAACAATGCAGTGTTTCGATATATATATATGATTGGTCTATATTGGGGACCAAATTGTTGTTCGTTGGATATACGGTAGTGTGACCTTTATTGTGTGCTTCTGGAATTGAATCTGGATGGTGAGATTCAGTGTTATCTCTCGAAAATTTTGGTAATAAGTGAGTGGATGATTTTTGTAATATGAAGTTTAGTATTTCAAATGCACAGTAAAAAAGTCATGGACAACGAATATAAAGTGCATTAAAATAAAATAAACAAGAGCACTCTGCAGGGGTGTTTTCGATATGTAGTAAGGTGAAGAGCAAAATATATAGATAATAAGTATTATTGTTAATAATATAGGGTATGAAAGAGAGAATACCTGGTATATATAATATATGATATATTTGAAAGTTCCAGTTTCCCGTCTAAATCATTTTTCTCTTTCCAATTCTTTCTCTTCCTGGTTATACCACTGCTAGAATTTTGATACATATATCGACAGTTGTATATTGATATATTTTTCCTTTCTTGTTCAGTATGTGATGATTTTACTGAATGGAGGTGTTCCTATTGCATTTGCCGGGACTGAAGAACCAGCTGCATATGGAGAATTAATCTCCATTGGAGGCCTCGGGCAAAGTGTTAATGGAAAACTGAGTTCAACTATTGCAGATATACTCCAAACAAAGCTCTCCATAGATAGCTCTCGCTTTTACATCAAATTTTATGATGTTCAGGTAAATTAATGGCCTTTCTGTTATGACAGGTTTGGGTTGTATTATGTTCTTTATTTTCTTACAGAAGTAAATACGTTGAATATGAAAGTCATAATATGGGTTGGCAATGTGGAGTTATGTGGCGTTGACCGTAATTGCTACAACAATGTGGTAAAGCATTTTGCTGACTAAAATTAGATGGAAAAGATGTTTTGATATGTAGGTGAACTGTTTAGCTTTCATGTAGTGCAAATAGGTGAAGCTGGACATGTACTCAACACGAACAAAAATCTAGGATAAGGATTTGCTGGATGAATAGGACCCTGATGTTTTTCATGAATCTTCTATGTTACAAATCTTGCAATTTATTGCAGAACTTTCAGAAGAAAAGTTAACCTTTGAATGCTGGTTTATATTTTATAATATTTTGTAACATAGCAGTGGATATATTATCTAAATCATTTTCCCATGAGGAAATTACTCCGCCAACGGATTTGCCAAAACAACTATAGCTGCTTGCAGCAATTTCAGTTTTCTGCTAAAAGATATATTCACGGTCCATTGGTCATGACTTAGCTTGTATGATCTGTAAAATGTGTTGGTACATTTGACAATGAGCACCTTAAATTTTATAATATCTTGCTATTTAGCTTTTACACTAGTGTGAGGTTTGTCGATTTATTGTCCACATGTGTACTCATTTATAAGATGAATGGTGTTCAACCAGATTTTGAATTTACGATACAGAGTCTATGATTATCTTCTGCTACATCATAGAGCAACATTTGGTTACTTTTTCTTTCACCTTCCATAGAGCAACTGATGGTTACAACTTACATTACTAACTGTAAATTATAGCTGAGTCAGTAAGCTGCAATTTGGAGTATCCATAAAATCCCAATATTGATTCTGATCTTGATTTTCTAAGGTCATCATTGTCAAACTTTGGCGAACTTTTTATGCGCCAATTAAGAACACAGTACAGTGTGACTTTCTGACTTTAGCTGTAGAATAGAATTAGATAATTTAACTTTATATCATGTCAAAAATACATCCGAACACTATCAAAATCTAGCAGTACTGACTTTTTCAAACGAAATCAAGGTTAGGTAACTTTGTTGATGCACAATGAAGTTTAGTGAGTACAATTAAATTGAGAATAAGTAGAGTGCCAACTTTTACTAACTTCTTGTTTTCAGGTTGGTATTTCACTATAAGCATTATGAAACCTTTTTCCTTCTTTTTTTTTTTTTTTTTTTTTTTTTTTTTTTTTGTCACGTTTAAGTATCTTCTTAATTACTGTGTGTATCTTTGACTTCTAGCTGGATAAAAAAATCTAATTTTGTTTATAATTTTACTTATAAATACATGTCACTAATGAGTACACACGAAACACTATCAAAATTAGCAGTACTGACTTGTTTCAAACGAAATCAAGTTTAGAGCGCACACTTCTGTGATGCAAACTGAAGTTGTGGATGCAGTGACCAATTAAACTCGGAAATAGATTAGTGAATTGACAATTATTTTACTAAAACTTCAGCCAGTTTAAGGTATTTCACATAAGCAATTTATATAAAAACTATATATCACTTCGTTTTTTGTATAATATATTTTTTATTTTTATTCTTGCGCCATATTTGAACATGAAAAGTTGAATTATCTGTGGTGAAAAAGAGAGCAGAAGTTATCTAGTTCCCACTCATATAAGTTATGTGTCGTGAAATCATGGCGGCCTCTCCGCTTGATATTTAACATTATCGTATTAAATTCCTTATCTTATTCTCTCGTGAGAGTTCTTTTATTTTATGGTGCTCGCGAGCGATCGTTCTTGTGAATTGGCCGCCTATTACATGGGCTCAACCTGTAGATTCCGACAGGCTTCGTCTGGTATTCCTTGGGTTAGCTGGTTTAGATGGAGAACCCTGTTATGTCTGTGTGATGCACAACGTGGTTCGGAGTCCAACGACAATAGGCCTTTCCGAAAGTTGTCGCTCAAACCAAGACCCAGTTGTAAGCCCGGTGAGAGGTCCCAATTGCTTTCCAGTTGCCCTCACAAGATTTTATAGCTCTGCTGTTTATACTCGACATTGTTTTTTCGCATAAGGTTTTAATCTATCTTTCAATTGTATGGTGTGGGATGTGTTGATTTGTATATGTCTTCACTCGTCTTCACTCAATGGATCCTCACGCACCTGCTTTTCTTACACGATAGTTTAGGCGTTGAGCACGGTCCTCCTGCGGTAGTGTCAATTTGGAGGGGTCTCATATTCTCACTTCGCAAACTAATTCAAACCTAGTTTATGTGGTACTCTGAGAGAATTTTTCTAGTAAAGTGTTAAAACAAATCCATAGAGCAGGAATTGAGAAATAGATAAAAGACTAGATAGGAATTGGACAGGGTTGTAGGGGTCGCAACTTGAGCTTATTAGGAAATTTATTTACAAGCAAACCGTTTTGGAACAGATGTATGAGAGTTCCACTCGATTTATGAGTGGCACTCCGAACTTCAAAAGTAATCAAATTCCCTTTGGGGTTCAAATTCAGTTTTTCTGAAGATATGATCAGCCTAGGAAGGAAGACGTTAATATTTCAATGCACGTAGTAGAATTAGTTGGCTAAGAACCGAGTGGAGTAAATATTTTGATAGGCAATTCCATATTGGATATAGAACGAGATATGTGATTTATTTCTTTAGATCAAAATGGAAAGAAAAATATTTCAATTATTGACGTATAGGAAGGGCAAACAGTATAAGACTACTTCTAATGAGTATCATGATTAATAAAATAGCGTGCGCGGTAATTTTTGACATTTTTCATCTGCTCATCGAGAAGGAGAGGAGTCTGATAGAGAGAAAAATAATCTTAGAAATGATATTTTATCCCTTTGTTTGTAGAAGGGGAAGGGAAATATTGAATAATATGTGTGAAAAAAAAAAAAAAAAAAAAAAAAAGAATGCAATGGTGAAAGATAAGATATCTATATCTTAATAAAAATCGCATCTTTTTCACATTACCTGGTGAAGAGGGTAAGGCACATCGGAATCTAAAGCAGAAACGGGAACGAGGCGGCGATGGAGCGAAATTAAAGAGTATTGAGAATAATAACAAGGCTTGTAGAGAGGCAAAGAGAGTTTTGTGGGAAGAACTGAATGGGAATGGAGAGGGTAATTAGGGCAAAAAGAAGAATGACGATGAGACGGTGCCTTAATGGCTAAAGGGACAACCAGAGACTTAGCCATTTCAGGAGTCAGTACAAAGCTTGATCAGGACCAGAAGAAGAAGCAGAAGAGAAAGAGTGGCAGTGTAATGGGAAGTGTAGATTGGGCCGGGAGAGAGTACGCGAATCTGGAGATGACGCGTGGACGATGAGCTCGTGAGATATTTAGTGAGTTGATACGATGAGACGTCATTAGTATGTGATGAATGTGATGTGAAGTGACAGCGATTTGACCAGTACACAAGATACGAGAAGCTCCGGTGAATCGGATCTTGAACCCCTTCAAAATGCAAGGTACCTATCTTCTTGCTTATGGAAATGCTGATCCTGCCATGTGCCACCTCCATGGCTTGCGTCTTTTTTTTTTTTTCGAAAATCTTTTTTAATATTGAAAATTAATGAGCCATACGCGAAGTTATTAAATCCTAAAATTCGGATTTAACTGGATTCCCACAGTAAATCATGGCCTAAACCTATACTTTTCGATTCTTATGGATGGGTTGACCCAGCTGCTGAACCGTATTCCTTGGGTAGCTGGTTAAGCCCTGTTTCTTTCATCGTTGGCCCAAGCTAAACGTAGCCCAAGCCCAAGCCCAAGCCCAGCCCAGCCCAACTATCTCGTTTCGTGTTTTGCTGTGTAAGTATGTATGTATTCCTTCCTCTCAAAATCCTCCGTTTCAGAACTACGCTCTAGATTCAAGGGTTTACCCGATTTCTTTTATGGTTTTTGTAGATTAGATTAGAGGAGAAAAGTAAAGAAGAGAGCGAGCTAGGAATTTAAAGCAAACAAGAAACACGATGGACGATTATCAGGAGATGGAGAAATTTGGCATGGATAACGACTTCGAGGACGGCCAATGGATAAACGGGGAGTTCTATTACCGGAGTCGTAAAGAGAAGCGCAAGCAAACCAAGGATGACAATATCTATGGGAGTTTCAATTACAGTTCAAATTCCGATTACGACGATGGAGACGGCTCATCCTCTCGAAAACGAAAAAAAGGCACTGATTCTGGAAGGAAAGCTGACCTCACTAAGCCTGTTAATTTCGTTTCGATAGGTACTGTAATGCCTAACCAAGAAATTGATAAGGATTCCAAAGAAGAGACTGTTGATGATATGTTTGCCGGTGATAATGACAGGCCTGGATTAGGTTCAGGGTCTGGGTCTGAACCGGGGTTGAGTGCTGGGTTAGGGTTTAATGGTAGTAATAATGTGGTTAAACAGACTGTGGATGTCGGGTATGGTGGTGGTGATGAGGCTGAGGATAATTTTTTGCCCACTGAATTTGGGAGAAGGATAAAGGAGGGAGCACAAAGAAGGGAGCGAGAGAGATTGGAAAAGAAAGAAAAGGGAGGAGGTCAAAGGAAGGAAGTGAGAAGTGGGGATGTTGGGGAGTTTGAAAAACATACAAAAGGAATTGGGTTCAAGTTGTTGGAGAAGATGGGGTATAAGGGAGGTGGATTAGGGAAGAATGAGCAAGGGATTGTAGCCCCAATTGAAGCAAAGATGAGGCCGAAAAATATGGGAATGGGTTTCAATGATTTTAAAGAAGCTAAGCTGCCTCAACCAGAGGAGATTAAGATTCTGAACCAGAGCCAAAACCAGAACCAGAGTCAGACTATGGGGAGAGCAAAGGAGAAACAATGGATGAGGGGGAAGAAAAAGAAACAAGAGTATATAACGGCAGAGGAGTTATTGGCAAAGAAGGAAGAACAGGGTTTTGAGGTTGTACAGAAGGTGCTTGATATGCGAGGGCCGCAAGTGCGGGTGCTGACAAATTTGGAGAATCTAAATGCAGAAGAGAAGGCAAGGGAAAATGATATTCCAATGCCAGAACTTCAGCATAATGTTAGGCTAATTGTGGACTTAGCTGAGCTTGACATTCAGAAGATCGATAGGGATTTGAGAAATGAGAGAGAGACAGCCATTAGCTTGCAGAAGGAGAAGGAGAAGCTGGAAATGGAGGCTGCTGATCAGAAGAAACAATTGGACAACGTGGAGGAAATCATGGTTGTTTTAAGCCATATTGAGGAACAAAAGTCCTCAGGAACCCTGACATTAGATTTCTTGTCAAAGTGTTTTGCTGACTTGCGAAGGAAATTTGCAGATGAATACAAGCTTTGCAACTTATCTTGCATTGCATGTTCCTTAGCTTTGCCTTTGTTTATTAGAGTATTTCAGGGATGGGATCCTCTCAAAAATCCATTGCATGGATTGGAATTGGTGGCATCGTGGAAGAATGTGCTTCAAGGTGAGGAAAGTTATGATATTTGGGATGTAGCCACACCTTATACACAGTTAGTATCAGAAGTGATTTTGCCTGCTGTAAGAATATCTGGTATTAATACTTGGGAACCTAGGGATCCTGAACCAATGCTTAGATTTTTGGAGTCATGGGAAAAGTTGTTGCCTGGATCTGTTATCCAGAGCATATTGGATAACGTAGTCATGCCAAAATTGTCTAGTGGTGTGGATTTGTGGGACCCTCGTCGTGAAACTGTCCCTATTCACGTTTGGGTGCATCCATGGCTTCCACAGTTGGGACAGAAATTGGAGTATTTGTATGAGAAGATACGGATGAAGTTGAGCATGGTTCTTGGTGCTTGGCACCCAAGCGACGCATCTGCTTATGCAATCTTGTCACCTTGGAAAACTGTGTTTGATTCGGTTAGTTGGGAAAATCTTATGCGGAAATTCATAGTTCCTAAGTTGGAGGTTGCAATGCAAGAGTTCCAAGTAAACCCAGCTGAGCAGAAGCTTGATCAATTCTACTGGGTCATGTCATGGGCATCTGTGCTTCCAGTTCATCTCATGGTTGATTTGATGGAGAGATTTTTCTTTGTCAAATGGCTGCAAGTTCTATATCATTGGCTGTGTTCAAATCCAAACTTACAGGAGGTTCACAAGTGGTATATAGGTTGGAAGGAACTCCTCCCACCAGAGCTTCAGGCACATGAAAACATTCGATACCAATTTACTCTTGGTCTAAACATGATTGATCGGGCTATTGAAGGAATGGAAGTAATCCAGCCTGGCTTGAGGGAGAATCTTAGTTATCTTAGGGCACACGAGCAAAAGCAGTTTGAGGCTCAAAGAGCTGCAGCACTTGCTCAACAGCAAGCCGCAGTGGGTATGGGAAGCACAGTCCAAGCAGATAGCATGGGTGCCGGTCCTGAGATGACTTTGAAAGAAGTTGTTGAGGCCCATGCACAACATCATGGTTTGCTATTTAAGCCTAAACCTGGCAGGACATACAATGGTCACCAGATTTATGGCTATGGTAACATAAGCATATATGTGGACTCTGTGCATCAAAGGTTGTATGCCCAGAAAGAGGAAGATTGGTTCCTGACAAACCTCGACAGGTTGCTTGAGATGCATAACAATTCTCTTACTAAGAGACGGTGAATTTAAGAGCCTCTTAGGATTTGCCAGAATGTGGAGCCACTACAGGTTGTGAAAGAAGTCTTGAGTCAGGTTATATGATGCAGTGCATCATCCATATAAAAGACCTGAAGCTGAGAGGTTAGCTTTTCTATATTCTTTCAGCTTGCCTATGATGGACTTGTAAGAAAGGACAATTTGGATGTTTTTTTTTTCTTTTGTTGGCATTATTTACAATGCATTAATTCCGACTTATTTGCACTTTTATTGTCATATTATCTATTCTTATAAATATATTTTGCTATGATATTACTTATGATTGTATGTCCTACCCTATGTCTTCATCTATCTGGTGAGGAGAAAAGCTGTTTCCTCTCATTATGCTCAGGTAGAAATAGGGTAAATTTTTAGTTGGAAATTTCACACACTCGAGAGTTCTTGTTAATTACATTTATTATTAGTGTTATGTTTTAAACCTTTCAAAATTCTCATTTTAATTTATGAATAGATAAAACTTTGAAAATATGGGTTAAGACTTAATACTTGGTGCTGCAGCGCTGCCCCCGGGGGAAAATGGAACACTTCACAAGATGGACTTCTATAGTCTCTTTCTATGAGAAGATTTCTATCCTCAATTATATGGACAAAGTAACTTGCAAGGGTCTCAAAATGAGGTTTATTAATCATGGGAGATGCTGGTACTTGAAGTCTGCAGCTCAGATTGTGGACCATTTGCAAATATCTATGTACATTTATTATAGGTTATAGGCTATGGAGCAGGTATGCTGTGTAATACACTGTGGATCATGTGAATATTAAATTCCTATCATGGACTAGGGGTACCTGGAGAACTATTGGCTTAGTGCAGTAATGGAATAATATTGTCCAGTTCAGAGCTCAATTGGCATTAGATGATTCTGTTTATTAGTTTGTAATTTTTCTTAACCCCTGTATTAGACATTCACTCGTGTTGTCAATGATATTGGCATGTTATCTGTTCCAGTTAGAGAGAATCTCCAGGTCATAGGACTTAAAACAGAGGACACTTGTCAGTTCTACTTTAAGCCATGAACTTCAAAGAGAATGTGTGTCAGGCATAGACCTTTCATGACTAATGGAACAACAGGAAATGTGCATGAGAAATGCTCTTGATATTCTCTTGAATTTTTTCTCTATAAATAGAATCTACCATTGCAAGCAGCTGTTCAAACTTATGTTCAGTTAGTTACATCTCTTGAAAGTAAGAATTGGAGGAACTCAAATAACTTGTATCAAAATACATATTATTTGGTTTCCTCCAATGTCTTACCTTCAATGGTGTATGAATCATATAACTTTGCAAGAAAACGGTAGCATTGATCTTGAATATGAGAGTTGGAGGAAGCTAAATCATTTGCTGTAATTCATCATGAACTCCAATCACATGGTTTAGTTTCCTCCAATATCTCACCTTCAATGGCTTGTGAATCATTTATATATAGGAAACTCAATAACTTGTATCAAAATACATATTATTTGGTTTCCTCCAATGTCTTACGCTTCATGGTGTCAATGAATCATATAAAACTTTGGCAAGAAAACGGTAAACAAGCATTGATCTTGAATATGGAGAAGTGGACAGGAAGCTAAATCATTTGCGTTTATTCATTGGCATGCCACCTCCAATCACATGGTTTAAGTTTCTTCCAATATATCCAAATATCTCACTTCAAATGGCTTGTGAATCATCCTTATATACTAATTAGTATAGTTATATAATATATATATATATATATAGATTATATATATATATATATATTATACTATATACATATATGTATCCTATATATTAGATATATTATATATATATACATATATGTATCCCCTGCTTGAATATTATTATAGATCTTGAAAGTAGAGTTGGAGGAATCCATTATATCTTCCCTTATTTGAATGTTGTCGTAGATGGAGGAAGTTTGTGACAGTTACTGTTAGGAGAATTTTAGGCCTTTCTACCTAAATTTAACTGTGTTCTCTTTCTCAAAAGAATTTAACTAATTCATTCTTGATCTTTAGTTATAAAAGATCTGATTTCAGAGTCATGCATTCCTGATTTTGAGATATTTAATTTTTAAAGGTTCAAATAAGAACAGATTTCAAATTACTCAAAAATATACCATTTCAAATACATGAATCATAGTTTCAAATCAAATTCATCAATCCAAACGCCACAAAAAGCTATTCCAAAAAAAAAAAAAAAAAAAAAAAAAACGGGCCAAATTAAGGGCTATTTCCAAATAAAAATAAAAAAAAAAGCATTTCAACATAAGACAGAAGAACAACATCACATCAGAAACAGAGTCTAATGTCCTCTTCTTTTCTGAGATGATTCCTTGATTTCAATTTTGAGTGGGAATAGCAAAAATGCTAAAGAAATTAATCCTCGGGGGACATAATATGAATAAACATTGTAAAAACTGTCCAATATAATGATATGAATAGACAATTCAATATTATAATTATAATAAATAATAATATAAAGGCAAACCCAAGTTTATAATTGCCATCATGGCATAATACATAATAGAATAGCCAAATGCTTTTGATTTCAGATACCCACAGGAATTCGTACCGTCAATGTATATACATAACATAAAAAATTTTTGGCTGCAGCTAGCTCCTTAAATAATCCATGCGGAAAGTGTGTTTAACTCTACTGGCATGAAAGTTTTTAGGTAGTCACCACGGCCCCTTCTAAATGAGGGTTCCTAAATAGTATTGATATCCCGTTCAAAAAAAAAAAAAAAAAAAAAAAAAAGGCATTTCACATAAGAACAGAAGACACAATCACACAAAACAGAGTCTAATGTCCTCTTTCTTTTCTGAGATGATTCTTGATTTCAATTTGATGGGATGCAAAAATGCTGAAATTATTCTCGACCTATATGACTAAAATTGTAAAACTGTCAATATATGATATGATAGACAATAATAATAATAATAATAATAATAATAATAAAAGGCAAACCAGTTTATAATTGCCATCATCATAATACATAATAGAATAAAATGCTTTTGATTTCAGATCCCACAGGATTCGTACCTCAAAACTTATCATACATACATAAAAAATTTTTGGCTGCAGCTAGCTCTTAATAATCAGTGTGTTTAACTCTACAGAAAGTTTTTAGGGTCACAGGCCCTTAAATGATTTCCTATAGTTATCTCCGTCCCGAAAAAAGAAATGGAAGATGCGGCTTTTCCTTTCTGTATATATATACAGTCATATTTTCTGAAGTTTCAAACGAAACACACATCAATTCAATGTTTCACTAACATGGCCTCCAGCTTCTTCTTCCTTGCAGCATGTTTTAGTTTCTCTAGTGCAACAAGCCCGACTTGCCGAACTCTTTCTCTGGACAAACCTATCCTGAAGAGATTACACAATGCCATTGTTAAATTTACATTGTACTTTCTTCCTTTTTACAGGTTGGGGATGAACTATATATGCAATTTCTCATGCAAAATAGGAATAAAAAATTACTGAATATTTATGACATGCCCATAACATGACCACAACTGCGATTTAAAATCTTGTTTCTAAGTAAGGAGCTAACTGTTAGTCGATGGTCATATGCATAAAAACTAAAATGTTCTTCCAGTATGTATATATGAAGAATGTGCAACAGTTTGTGTATCGGAAGAGTTAATGTACCCAACTTTCTGAGACATAAGCAATACTTCAATTCTACTCACCGCTTACTAATGTCTTCCCATGTAAGGGTTTCATTATCCAAACCATAGTAAAGTCTTATAATTTCCCTTTCTCGTTGTTGCAGAGTCAAGTCGATAAGCTTGTTTACTTCATCCTGCAAATACATTAATGAAGAGATTAATATAATCTTTCTATAATTATAACTATAATAAATATTAATAGGAGCTTTATACTCACCTTGAGTGCCCATTCGTCAACTCCATGCCATGGGTTGTTCTCGGGGCAATTATCTGCAATGTACTTTAAGAGGGAGAAAAAAAAAAGCAGTCAGTCCTGAACAAAATGCATATATATAACTTAAAAGGTGAAGAATGATATTCTCATGTAGGTTTGCAGAACACAAGTAGAGCTTCACTTACACTGTGGTGGGTTTCTCCTGGAAGACCATTCAGAGAAGGGAATGCTTCCCTATCAAGTGAAAAGACCTTGCTAATTGCCTGCACATAATGCCATTCTGAGTTAAGCACAAAGAGAAAATAATAGCATAATAGGCTAGAAAGTGTATATTTCATATTTCATACCTCTGTGGCATTCCTAACTTTCTTCTGGGACATATTCAGTGACTCTGCAATCCTCTGAAAAAAGAAGCACAAAATAAAAGACAGGTCGGTATTTTGTAACACAAACAGGACTATGATGGCATAAAGCTAACTTTCAAATTAAGCAACTTTATTAATGTTTTGTATATTGAGACTAGTGGAATGAAGCACCCCCACTGATCCACACAAGAAACCTTGAAGTGATTTAAAAATAATTTGACTTACATCTATTGAAGGAGTTACCCCTTTCTCTTCCAGTCTGATTTTTGCATTCCTAATTAAACCTAACCTTTCATGTAAATGATTAGGAAGTCTTAAGGTTCTCGAATTCTCAACTAAGGCTCTTGAGACACCCTGCATTAAGAAAACAATATTAGCTTTTTACAATCACTATTCATACCAATAAAGCCTGAACAAAATATATTATAAGAAAAAAGAAAGAGAGAAAAATCTTAAGTAGTAATATAAGTTCAGGTCAGAGACATTTTGGATTTGTTTCTCAGTTTACAAAAGCAATGGCAATAAAATAGATCTAGTACATGTTGCCTTATAACATCCTTTCACATGCCACTGGAAAACTGAAGGGACAGAAAGAGAACAATTGAGTAGAAAAAGAAGAGACTTAAAAGTCCGAATAAAACATTGGTTCTGTTAGCAGTAAGTCAATTAGTTCTGCACCAATTTTAGAAGGATAAAGCTTTGAGTACGAGTTAGTGAGGTACTGTAATCCCAATGGTTTCTCCAATTCTCTGTTAGAGAGTTGTGTATGCAAAAGCAGTTTGTTATTACCGCAAATATTAACTTCTTCACAAATTACAATCTAAAAGCAAATATCAGCCTTACCTGACGTATCCACCAATAAACATAAGTTGAAATTTTAAACCCCTTTGAAGAATCAAACTTCTCAATACCGCGCAACAATCCAATCAAACCTCCCTGCATAAGAGTTATTACAAGCTTCAAATGTAAGAAGCTACTGACAAATCTGTTTATGGTACATTTTCCAATGCTGACAGTATTTCATACAAGAAATTAAGAAGGAGAATGTCACCTGAACAAGGTCAGCCATTTCAGCACCCATGTTATCATATCTTTGAGCGATAGACATGACTAGCCGAACGTTGCTCATTGCCAGTTTCTCTCTTGCCAAAGAACAAGCTATCAATTTGGATCGTAAATCGGCAAGAGAAATCCTCAGGGAAGTTGCAAGTTGTTCGTCAGAGGGATCACATCCCAATCTATCCTTCAGCCTGAAAATTCGCGATGTAAATAGAAAATATAACTCTAAGCGTAATGGATTTAATTTCTTTCTAAAAGAAGCACTTTTGGTTTCTGATGTCTAGCTACATACAACAAATATCTTTAGTATGGTACACTACTCATCACAGAAACCTAATTGAAAATTTTCCTAGGTTATAAGATCATGCTTCACCTTGATTTATGCTCCTCCAAGGAAAGACCAGCTTTTATTATCCTCGACAGGCTCACAACTTCTGCATGAGTGAGTAACTCTTCACTTACTATACCCTTAACATAACCCTTCAAACGATTCAGCAGCAGCTCTGGACTAACAGCTGATTTTAGTTGCTTAAAGCCACTAGCTTGTACTATTGATTTACTTTGGATCAGATTCTTTCTCCTGGTATTTATTCTGCGCTGCCGAGCAGACAGGCCAGAGCAAGTGATAGGTATCTGCTTTTGACTTTTTGTACTTGGTGAATCACTTGAGGCTGTCCTCTCAAATGAAAGATTCCATTGTTTCTCAAGCATAGACTTCTGCAACAAAAGAAGTGCCTCCACTGAGTAGTCGAGATCAGAACTTGCCTCTTCTATATCAACAAATGTCTCGAACCCTGTTGCTGCAGTTGACGGAGAAGATGCAGTATCCACATGTTCTTTAAGAGCTTTTATAGACTGTGCATTTCGATTGGATGATTGGAAACTGGAGCCATAATTTGATGACTTCTTGGCAACTATCACATTCTTTGTCGAAGAACTTTGGTAGTGGGTTAACCCATGATCATTCACATTGAAAAGCTTTTCTGTGAGGTCAGAATAATAAAATGTTGAACTCAAGAGCCTCTTTCCTGCATGAAGTCCAATAACTGCAGCAGTAGCCATCGTATGACTTCTTTTCAGATATATTCAATAAGCATTCAGAGGTTTTAGCCAATTTATATGTTTACAGCTTTAACTGAGTGTACAAAACAAATGTTCTGCACTAAATCTTCCAAAGATCACCGCCTTCTGGTATATATACATAAAAAAGACGTTAGAAAAATTATAAATATCTTTTTAGAAAAATAAACTCAAAGTGCATTATTTTCTAATTATTTTAAATGAAAGAAGGGCAAAAAAATAAAAGTACTTAGAGAAGATATGCCATGACGATGTTTTGGCCATAAGAAATGCAATATAGATGTCACTCAACATGTAGTTCCAAAAAAAAAAAAAAAAATCTAAAATAAACTCAAAGTGCAGTTAATTTTCTAATATTTAAATCGAAGAAGGGCAAAAAAATAAAAAGTAACTTAGAGAAAGATAATGCCCATGACGATGTTTTGGCCATAACGAAATGCAATATAGATGTCACTCAAGCATGTTAGTTTACCAAAAAAAAAAAAAAAAAAATTCTCTGAAACCTCGCTTTGGGTTCCTTTTCCAAATTGGGAAATGAACATAGGAAACCTAACCACAGATACACAAAAAAGAAAAATGAACAAAAATGGAAATCTCTCACCAGTAACAGGATAAAAAAAAAAAAAAAAAAATCTCTTGAACCTTTTTTTCCAATTGGAAATGACAAGGAAACCTAACCACAGATACACAAAAAGAAAAATGAACAAAAATGGAAATCTCACCAGTAACAGGATAAAACTAACACAGATTCATCTCAAATACTTACACCAGAGCTGTGATGATTAAAATATTTCTGAAATAATTATGAGAAGATTGAACTAGTTATCTCAAGATTGAAAACTATATACTCCAATCAAGTTAAAATTTTACAAGGATGTTAAACCATCAAGTTAAGGTCCGCAAGAGAAGCATATATTTTAGCGTTCTTTACTGATATTTCAAAGCTTCTTACTATCTAATTCCAATTTTAGCAAAACCCAATTAGCCTTTCTGTTAGATAAGATTAACTTATCACAAAATGGTGCTTCTTAGTGAGCGATGATTATCTATGTTAAAACATATTGGAAAGTTTCTGAGTAATACAAATTCCCTGTCTGAAACTGTTTAAAGCATTTGAATTCATCAAACAGAAGGTGAAGATCCCAAGAAACTGGCCAAACATAACAAAAACAAGAAAAGAGATGACAAAAAAAATACTAGTAGAAAAGGGAGAAACATTGTCAGAAGAGAAGCAAACAATTGGACATGAATTCTTGTCGGAAAAAAAAGAATTAAAACTGTGAAAGAAGTAATGTCAAGAGCCAAGAATGCCATACCTGAAAAACGAAATTAGTAGAGCAAATTAGAAGAAGAAGAAGAGGTGGAGATTCCAAAGAACGCAGTAAGCAGTTTAAGGAGAAGCAAAGAAAGAATGCATATAACAACACAAACTTTCTTGTTAGAGTTCTTGTTTGTTAGAATGATCTTTTATTTTATTTAATTATTCTAAAATTTTCTTTATCCTTCTGTTCGATTTTCTGATAGAATTAATAAATAAAACATTATTATATGTTTTTTGGAAAAAAGAAGAAGAGAAATAGAAGGTTATAAGTCCAAAAAGGGTAGAGATATGGGAAGGAGAGATGCTATTGGCTAGAAGAGATATTGGGGCCAATCTTGAGTGGTCAAGAGATTGCCATTTTGCCACTTCTATATTTCATTCTTCACCCTCTCATCTTTGTTTGTTTTCTTCCTTTGATGGGCATTTTTTTATATTTGAAAAATATTCTTGAAGAGCTCATAAATAGTATTATTGTTAAAAAAAAAAAAAGGGGAAATTGACACGTTGATAGCCACACAGCAGTAAGACACATGACATGACATAATTGTATGAAAAATCGATGAGCAGCTGGGGCCCCACTAACACATCACCAGTTTAACAAACTCTGTGCTTCACACACCCTTCCTCTTTCTTTACCTACCTATGGCTATTGAATATGGATGGATCTCTCTTTGTAATGATAATTTTGTTTTTCATATATTTTTATGTTGAAATTTTATAATTAGTGATCTAAAACACTGAGTTATTATTTCATAATTAACTCAAATATAAATGAGTTATAAATCAATATTAACCCTTTCTTTTCACAATACTAATCCTGAAGAAAGATGTTACTTAAACCAAAAAAAGTCTGTATTAAAGCTAAATTATTCTATTCATCAACTTGGAAATTAAAATGATCTAAACAAGAGCAAGCAACTTGATTTCAGTTAATTTAATAACTTAAGGCACTGGTATTTGACTTCTGAATTTCATAAGTTAGGTGAACAGCAAGCAACCATACCAAATGAGCCCACAGGTTAGATGATACTCCTGTAATTTCATATTATAAAATGATATGCCAAAAGACTATAAAAAAAGAAAAATGGTAAATTTGTTCAACCTCATCATCTGAAAAATATGCGAAACCAAACAAAGAAAACTCCGTTGAAAATGGACTCCAAAGAATATAAATGTCATAGCTAACTACATAATCAGAAGCCAATAACGCATTTAAAGAAGCTACGAAAAAGCAATTCTAGTATATCCAAAAAGGGACAAACATAAAAAGAAAAAGATCATATTAACAAATTGCTAAAACACAAATAATGAAAATTATCAAAACTACCCACATGTAAAGCAAAACTGATGCTGTGACTGCCTTGTTGAGACGCCACCAATTTGTTAGTGCAATGTATAGAATCTGGCAATCATAAAGGCACCGACCTGTCTTCTTTTTCTTTCAGATTTTTTGCTAGGCAAGAAACCATTTCCTAAGGTGTACATACATTCTGTTGTTTCTAGTAGAGACTGAAAACAAAGGAATCACCTTGCGATTTGCAATCAGAGGATTAAATTAAAAAACCATTGAAGTTTAACGCATGAATGGCTCAGAAATTTCGAAAGAAAGTAAACAAAATAGACAATCAAACACCTTCCCACCAAAGTAATTCGGTTATACAACATATCTCATGTAGATGAGGTTCAACATATACACATTTTCGGTATAAGTAAAATAGAATCTGTAACCTACTGAAAACTCCCGCTGTCACCTTTGACTTTGACTAAAATTCTTCACGGCAACTGCAAATCAAACTTCAATAACTGGGTTAGTTTCCGTCAAACAAACAAAATGAATCTTTATGTTAGTATGATATATAAGTGAAAATCTATAAGAAAGCATAAGACCAAAGAATTGTTATTTAAGAAAAAGCGAGGAGAAAAAATAGAAAGGGAGACATTTGCTGAGTAAAAATATTAGAAGATAAATTGAAATCACAACCATGAATTATATTTATGCAAGCACAATGAATGAACGTGTCTTGGTGAGGATTTTCTTAGCATCAGCCCACTAGGCTTGTGAACTATTGATTACAACTTTCTTCCCAACACTCAAAACATAACCCATCATATCAAAAACAAAATAAGCTGATTCCAAAACTAAGCGATCCTTCCGTAGTCTTTTCTCCCTCGGGATGTGGGTGGCACGCTTGTGACAGGATAATTTGCCCGACGCCCTACAGTAGAATGTAATGAGTTAAAAATAAATCAACTTATCCTATTGCACATGGAAACAGTATTATTGCTCTTACAAAGTTATATTTTAAGGGAGAGAAGTGGAGGAAGTGGCTTGTCAAACTAAAAGTAAGGAGGAGTACCCCATGGCATGCCATTATTAAGTGAACTATTTCCTGGAGAAAGAGGGCCCCCAGAATTAAAGCTGGATTGAGGGGGCTGGACTTTGATATGATTCCAGTCGCTTCCCCGAACAGCAGGTCTCCCATGATTGAAGCGCGGAAGGGATTGCTGTCCTAAACGGCTTGGCGAATTTTGTGAGATATGAGGCATGAAATGAGTAGGCTTTGACATTGAACGTCCATATCCAGCATGAACGTCATGAGATGGAGGACTGCCCATCTCTGTACGGGCAAACGCTTGAATAGGTCCATTTTGTCTGACATGCATCACATACAACCACAATGGATCAAGACATTAAGAAAATGGTAAAATAAAAAAGCACCAGCCAATGTCTCCTATAAAAAAAATCCACAACCACAAAGGATTTGCAAGGGTAAAGGGTCTGAAAGCACTGCCTTTGACATTGTTGTGATTAAGCGACTGATACGTCCCAACAAATTTGACATCACATATGGAAGCCTCTACAATCAAAAGCTTCCATATGTTGTCACGACATCTTCAAGTTCATTTAAAATATTTGTATCACAAAATACACAGTGCATAACCATTCACAGTTTATTTGGTTAAAATGTGAGCCTGCACCAATTACATATATATAAAAAAAAAAAAAAAAAAAAAAAAAAAAAAAAAAAATGGTTAAAATTGAGGCCTGCACCAATTACCATAATAATAAAAAAAAAAAAAAAAACAAAAAAAAAAAAAAAAAAGAATTAATCTTAATTAAAGTCATTCAATAAAATGAACATGGCTATGAGCAACTAATAGTAAACTATACATATTTACTCACTGGGAATTATTTGAAGATACCTTTGAATCACTGAATTGTAGTTTTGATTTTGATGCGCGGTTGGTCTTCCTAAACCAAACTGATGGATTAACGGGACCAAGGATTAAAAAAAAAAAAAAAAAAAAAAAAAAAAAAAAAAAAAAGATTAATCCTGTAATTAAAGTTCAATCAATAAAATGAACATGGCTATGAGCAACTAATAGTAACTATACATATTTACTCACGGGAATATGAAGGATACCTTTGAATCACTGAATTGGAGTTTTGATTTGATGCGCGGTTGGGTCTTCCTAAACCAACTGATGGATTAACGGGACCAAGATGCATGCCTTTGCTGAACTCAGTGCTTATAGAACTGACATCTGAACCATCCTCTTGTAGGAGAAGTTCATCACTGGGACATGGAAAAAAGATGTTATACCAACAAGTCAAATAAGCACAGGACTGTTAATCTATAAGCAGAACAATTAGGAACGCAAATTAATGAATTAAATCTAACAGAAATTATATAGAATAAAAAATAATCAACTGTGAATTTATTTACTTTTCACACGGCATAGTAATAATCCCAGTTACGCAATGTGGATTCTCCCTATAGTGAAGCCATATAAAGAGGCAATATTAACAAAATGCCACACTCCATTTCAAAACTAAATCTTCTCTCAGTAACATAACACTAAATGCATCTTATTATTATTCCATCATTATTGATCTTCACCCAGGGTAACGGAGTTGACAGTTATTACAATAACATGGAAATTGATCTCTTTAATTATAATTTAGATATGGTATTGGATAAGATAGAGGATTTTTATTGGTAACAAATATAAGTCAATGCCAACCGTAACACATTTAACAAATGGAAAAAAGTTAAACCATAACACAACTCTTAGTGACATCTTCCCGTCCATCCACCATAACTTGGCCAGGTGGTAACTCACCATAGAGGAGGCAAAGGGCTCATCAAACCACATCATTTTACAAAATTAATAAAACACACACACACACACATATGGATTATCTTTTACTCTTCCATTCGTTCTGAGAACAAGCAAACTTTCCTAACCAAACTATAGGACCTAATCATTCAAGTATGTAGTATGGTTTTCTACCAATTAGACCCATTAAACCACTCAATACACTTGAGGGAAAATAGGAATTCAATAAGATATAAATGCAAAGAAGCAAGAATGTTAGTGGTCTAGATTCAATCTAGGGTTTGTTAGGGAAAAAATATAGAGTAAATTCCTAATTTTTTACAGTCTTGTTTAAGCTTGTATTCAAATAGATAAGTTGTGATTTCAAAATCAGGGGTAATATTGTAATTCAGCTTACCTAGAAACTGTCCCTATTTCTTTAGGAGTCTTTAATTTTATTTTAAGTCTTAACTTTGAGTCCATGTTGAGTTGGGATAATGTTATTCTTTTAGTTTATTTAGTAGTTTTATAGTCCTTTTCTTAAAGACTTAAGAATTGTCTTAAAATTCTTTTTGTACAGGATTAGTATTAGTTGAAGTCTACCTATAACTAGGACAATAATGCTTTCATTTCAGCTTTGTTATAAACAAAATGAATAGTGATTATGCTTCTTCTAGTCATGTGATGCAATTCAACCCATGGGACCTTACATATGTGATTCCTAGGAAAGTTTAGGCGTGAAGACTAAATTCTTCAATGTTACTATTCAATGCATTGCTATTCACATTTAATAAACCAAACTCAACCAAAAATTAACTGTTCTAATCAGCCCCAAGCTGTCCCGCGTCAATTATGTAGAGTAATTGAAGAAAAAAAAAAAATCCAACCTTGCCTCTTGTTTTTCACCCTTTATTGACTGGCCTATCTCATATTAATTAATTAACTTCAAGAAAGCAATTTTCAATATCTTAACGAGACCATTCTTTATATAAAGAAAAATAAAATTATACAAGAAGTGCGTCAGCAATTGCTTCTAAGCTAATAAACTCAAATGGCCTAAGTTTAAATACTGAAAACTGAGAGCTATTTGCATGCATAGTTTTTGTTTGCAATTGCAACTATATTTAAATCTCCAGATGCACAGACTATAAATCTGAAGTTTTGCTGTGGTTGAAGTTATATTGCAATATGAATAACTCCATTTGCTTACCTGTAATTGGGATCCCAATCCCCTGGATCTGGCAATGACAGGCTTGTCTCAGGTTTATCATGAGATGGTCCCACACTTTGAGAGAATTGCATTTGCATATTCGAGGGCTTGAAGGAGCCTGGCATATTCTGAATAGCAGAGTGACCAGCAGTAATTCCACTACTCCCATGTTGCTGCATCCTGCTTGCAATGCTAGAATTTGACTGCCGATGGGAGGGTGAACTTCCAAGTACTGAAGGATTTCCCTCAGCTTGTGTAGAACTGGTGCCATCACTAAATTGCCCTTGCCAATGTGAAGATGGCATACTCTCTTGAGAATGAGAGGTTCCAGAATACCCCCAACTTTTTCTTCTATTGAACTGGGTAACTGCAGCCACTTTTCCTAAAGGTGATCCATGACAATTGTTCCTTGCTGGTGAAGTTGGACCATAATGTCCTGGAGAACCAGCAGAAATTTGACTGTAGGAAGTTGGTGGAGTGAATTGTGAGGGACTAGTGCCAAGGGGGAGTGGAGCAAAATTTCCTGTTGATGGACTCATACCAATTCCATTTGGATGTGAATACTGAACAAACCTCCGTCTTGCATCTGGACTACTTCCAAGCATTGACAGGCCAGCCTGTGCATGCATATTCATCCCAGAGGGACCAACTGGGGAATAATATGCAAACATATTACTGCCATCTCCATAACTCCCATAACTGCTTCCAAGGCCAATACCATCATTGTAGCTACCATGGCTTCCTATACTGCCATAGCTATTACCATGTGGATATGGAACCATTTGAATGTGTGGGCTGTTGTGAAGGGAAGCTCTAGTTCTTCCTGGAATCTGCATCACAAGTAAAAGTGCTGTAATTTCTTTTATCATTTTCCTCATCTTGTATCTGCATGCTTGCAGAATTTAAATGCACTGAGGTAGATGGTGTCACAATGATTACAAATTTGCAGGATTTCCATTCCTACTTTTAGTTCTTTCCCTCCTTTTTTTTGGGGGTGGGGGGTGGACAGGGGGTGTTGATGTTTTAATGGACAACAATGTCATTAATTATTAAAATCATGGAGTACTTAAAGGGGCAGGAAACTCACATTAGGAGAGAGACCAGCAGCAAACCAATGCCCACCACCTGGATGATGGTCCACCTTGAAATTTTGTGCAACGGGCTAAGAAAATGGAAAGAAGAAAAAGAAATCAGCATCATTTCAAAAGAATAACTATAGCATGCCACATGATATGGAGCTCCAACTGCAAGTAAACCAAAAATAACTAAATGCCGTAACAAAATGGAATTAGAGAGAGCCTAATCCAATAGAATACGAGAAGGACGAAAGAAAAGAAACAGAAAATAAAACCACCAAGTCTCAAGGCTGAAATAATTTTTTCTTCCTCTGCCTTGATTTATAATAATTACACAGATATAAAAAAGAGAAAAGAGGGAAGAGTTGTAGCCAGCAACTGCCTATCTAAAAGAAATATAAACAAAAACTTCAAGTGAGAAGACATGGAAACTGCAAGCCAGTACCATAAAAACTGGTGCCGGCTACTTGCAATCCTCAAAGAATACAACAATGAAGTCAAGCATCAAAAGCTACTTCTTGCAACTAAGTTCCTTTAGGCTTCATGATTATTTGAAAGAGAAAATGCAACCACACAAAATAACATATTAAAGAGACGTAGAGTACCAAAACAAAATGAAATAGAAGTGCTAATCAGTTATTAGGAATTAAAACAGGAGAATAATAATCCTCCAATGAAGATCTTATAATTATCCAAGCAACTTCCTTTACGCACACCATTCCCAAGCATTGGGAGTAATTAGTTTATGAATATGCAAATTTTGCCCGGTAACCTATTAAAGCTTCAAGCACCAATTTAAGAAGTGCCCAGGCTGATCTTAATTACCATGCGAGGGGTCTCTGGAGGAGGCTTGTAAGGACAGGTGAAAGGCTCCCCTGTTACAAAAGGGTGTTTTGAGGCCTGCAGGTAAATGCACAACAACTACATTAATCAAAAGTTGCAAATTTATATTGCATGGCAGCAGAAATTCTAAGACACGGTGAAATTGGTGAAAACTGAAGCACATTCAATTACCTGAAAAGGGGACCACCTTTTTGCAGGATCAAACTCAACAAGCCCTCTCAAGAAATCAATCAAAGCTAGTCGTATCTGACTTTCTGTTACATGTTCAGCATTTTACAAGCATCAGAAAATATAGCAATATATTAATGAAACTGTTAGATAAAACCAGATGCTACAGATATAGGAATAACCTTTTTTTCTATCTTCCTGTGGCAAATTCTTTCTGTAAGGATAGTTTCTAACAATTGCCTCAAGGTTCATATGATGGAAATACTCCTTCCCGATAGATGGTTTTTTCAACTCCCTCTGGGTGGAAACCAGCGACCATCAGAAAGCAGACAGTAATGTGTTCTAATAACAAAACAGAAAAGTGGACAACACCCTTTGTCTATAAGCTCTAAAGAGGAAAACTATATTTAGCTTTTGCAGTTTCATCTATTTAATAATTTTTCTCACTTCCAAAGCTAGAATATTGACACTTACAGATTCATATTCTTCCACTGTTAAGACTTGGTAAGCACTTTTTCCACCAAAGGAAACTTCACAATTCTCTACATTGTGGACACTTCCAATGCACTTAAAGAACTTACTTGTATTTTTTGCTTCCTTTAGTAGATAATCAGGGGGTTGTCCACTGCAACAACACAACCACGCATAAAAAGGTTGCTCAAAATAATTACTTAAGAATAACAATTTGGCAGCCTAACATGTTTCAATAATTAAATTATTTAAAGCATTGATATAAAAGGAAAGGATGCATGAAAATTAAGTGGTGATATATACTAGAAACTGATTGGCCTCATCAAGAAACAATTGATCACTTTTATAATTCATATAATTGAATAAAGAAAATAAAAGGAGTGCAGAAGGAGGAGGCACTAAAAATAAAAACCAAAAGGAGAAACAAAAATATAATTCATCTCATGGGTTCTAACTTCTTACCCAATTCACCTCTACCTTTTCAACTTCTAATATAGTATCAAAGCAAATTCAGCTTGATTCAATTATTCTCAATTCACCGGTATTGCCACTGGGTTTCAATTCGAGCTCTTGTCTGGATGTCCAGTTCCAGCAAGGCCCATTCAATTTTAAAGGCAAAAAACCCAGTTTAATTTCAAGGGAAGGATTTCAAGTGTAAGTGTCAACCGAATGTCCAGCCCAGTTGCACTTGAAGGGAGTGTTAAGAATCTCACATCGACTAAATATCAAATCCACAAAAGGCATATAAGGGTAACAAGCTAGCTAACTAATTGATTAGTATCTTTTAGCATTGGTTCGCCCATGTGAAAGTAAGCCTACATCACATATTTTCATCTCATGACATCTAACCTCTTACCCAATTCACCTCAGCCCAATTGCAGTTGAGGGGGAGGTTAAGAATCTCACATCGACTAAATATCAAATCCACAAAGAGCATATAAGAGTAGCAAGCTAGCTAGCTAATTGGTTAATACTAACCTTTTAGCATTAGTCGGGCTTAAGCTCAAATAAGCCCACATCAGACATCTTTATCTCATGGATTCTAATCTCTCACCTAATTCACTTCTACCCTTTCAACTTCTAATATAAACAAAATTCATTATTGAATTGCTCAGTGTAAAGAGAAGCTCAACAAAATGCCAATATATTTAGCCTTTAGTTTCTGGCGAGAGAGAGAGAGAGAGAGAGAGAGAGACTAACCCAAGTATTTCAATCATTCTTCTCAAAAGATCAAATTCTGAAGCTCCAGGGAAGAGCGGCAATCCTAGAAACAATTCCGCAACTATGCACCCAAAGGACCACATGTCAATTGCTGTAGTATATCTGGAATAGGTTAAGGTCCAAGCTAAAGCCCATGAAACCAAGACAAAGCAGAAATATACATAGATCATCATTAAGATCAAATGACGAATCAGAAGCAATCATGGGTAGTTAAAGCATAATTTTTAATACAATGGCAGTTCCACAGTTAATGTTGAAAAAAGAATCTCTTTGAATAACAAGATTCTTGTTACCAACAGAGCAAACAAACAGGCCATAGGAAAGAAAGCATGATGCTCGTTCTGTTTGTTGAGAAATTTTCTCCTAGTCATTTACACCTCTTCTGCATCGAAAGAAAATTTTACAATTGCTACTAAATATAGTAAGTGCATGGTCATGGCAGTGGATGATCTAGAGGACAAAAATATGCATAGTAATACCCTTGAGTAATGACAGTTAATTTGTAAGATTTGTGGTAGTTGCAGAAATAGATACCAGCAGGTGCGACCAACTGCGGCGGTCATTTCAAGCTACATGATAGAATAGTCAGTGGATTGGGGGGGAAGGCTTTTCATTGCACAAGTTTTGGAAACAGAAACACTAACTCCTTCCAAATGAGTACTAATATGTACACATCCACCCAATCACCGCAGGGAAAAAAGCAAGTGGTAGAAAGAATAAAGCAATTTTATTGGTTCAAAAGGATACTGATAGCCAAGAAGGACTTCTGGAGACCTGTAGTAACGACTCTGCAGAATAACATATACATGCAGTCACTAGACCTTTCACATAATGATAACAATAAGGGGGAAAAAAGCCTAGAAGTAAACATAGATGTGAACCTGGATGTAGGAGTAAACGGTACGATCCTCCATGCATGCTGATCCAAAGTCAATTATTTTAATTTCCGCTGGCTTCACACTGTTTTTCCACAGTACAAAAATTTGAATTGAACAGAAACAAAGACCTATTATAGAGTTTTTGCCCAAGACTCATCAAGAAAAGTAATTCACCTTGTGCACAGAAGAATGTTTTCTGGCTTTAAATCACAATGGATTATCCCAGCATCATTTAACAGAGCCAATCCACGTAAAATCTTTTCAGAAACACATTGAAACATTAAATAAGAAATAACTCCAAACATAATGTAGCATACAAGCAATTTTAATGGCCAAGCAAATATTGCGATACCTGCTTAGAGAACAATTGTACAATGCTCAGTGATAACCCCCTGAATTGATTTATCTTGATAAGCTCATACCTAAATAATTTTACAATGTCAAGCACATGCTGAGAAAAGGAATAAAAGCAGAAGCGACATATTATAATATACGAAGGTAAAAATGTCATTTTAAAATACACAACTTCTATCCAAGCTACTAAGAAAATAAAAATAGGTAGTCATGATGACTTACAGATTAGTGTCAAGTAGTTCAAAGCAGATGCACAAATGCCGCTGAAATACAAAATAATCATAAATACGAACAATGTGATGCTTATCTTCAGGGTCATACTTCTTGTTTAACTGTAAAGAACAAACGCAGAAATTTCAGTACTAATATCTTAGTGACTGGAAGAAGTACAGTTGATGAACCCATTTTTTATTACCGTTGTCAAAATAGATACTTCGACCAGAGCTTGCTGATAGTAAGCTGGTTGATTTTTAATTATCTTTACAGCAACAAAACTGTTGGTTTCTGAAACCCAGCATTTAGCAACCTGTCCAAAAGTCCCATGGCCAAGAACATCTTTGACAATGTATCTGCCAATGTGTTGTAACCAGGAAGACATCAAAATGCTTGAACTTGAATAATATACCTAACACCCTGAATTTTGGGGTCATTGCAAGTTAAGCTTATACAAATCATTGCCATATCAACTCTAGTTTTTAGCATGGACTTCAAAATTCACAATTGCCAAATTTTCTTTTGAAATTTCTTGCAATCTTTTCTTTGATTGACATAGTTGGAGGCATTTATGTGACTTTCCAGTAAGCTTTAAATTACACATGATTTATTAGAAACAACTGTATAAGAATTTAGAGAAATGTTTGAGATAATTGGATCTTTAGTTCACAAAAAATTACTTTTATTTGTAAAAACTATGCTTGTACACTTTTCCTTATTGACAAGAGTTTTCTCAGACTCTCCAATTTTCAAGATTTCACATAAATAATTAAGTAATAGTGAATATAAGTTTCTAAAATACTTTTATCATAAGTTTAGAATTGATAATGGTAACAATTTAAATCATGGCTTCAATTTATGATGAGCCCCCAAAGTTCAAGGTAGTAGATGTACTTATTACTGAATTTTACCAACTACGTAGTGACTTCTACAATCTTTTCTTATATCAAATTGAAGCACACCCTCATTGAACTTCAAAAGAAGATTAGAAAATAAAGCAAATTATCTATATACATATCCAAAGGATTTATCATCATTCTTTGGTTTCTAGAAACAATCATAGACAAGACGGTATATCGGGTTTCATGTATCGTCAAAGCTTATATGGGACCTAATGTTTATTATGGAGGATTATTTGACAGCTTGTTCACAGATCTCCATTGCTTTATGTTATCTCACTTTTCTCTTCTTCCACTTCTTGTATTATTATTCTACTTCTTATTTTTCGTTAACCACTATCCATCATTTTGCTGATACAGATTGACTTAAGCACAATGCCATCAACCATCTCCCCTAAATTTCCATAAATTTAAAAAAAAAAAAAAAAAAAAAAAAAAAAAAAAAAAAAAAAAAAAAAAAAAAAAAAAAAAAAAGAAGAAAGAAAAGTCTAAACCCATCTACTCTTATTCTAGCACATTTCCTTTGAAGAATGCCCACATCGTTTTGCCGACTACAAGGTTTATATATTATTTATATGACACCAAAGATTATATATAAGACGACTATTTAAAAAAAAAAAAAAAAAAAAAAAAAAAAAAAAAAAAAAAAAGTAAAATTAAACCCATCTACCTCTTATTCTAGCACATTTCCCTTGAAAGATGGCCCACATCGTTTTTGACTACCAAGGTTATATATATTTATATGACACCAAGTATAATAAAAGACGACATTCATAAAAGGTGAAACATGTCCAGGAAATAACAACTGAAAAATCACGAGCAAACCTTCTCTGTGTCTCTAGATTGACCAGGGAAAAGTTTACAGTCAGAATAAGGTCAGAATGCACATTGTCATAGCCATCATTCAGGACTCCGATTGATGGGCTGGTCAAATATCTTTTTGGATTTAATTCTTCAGAATATGTGAACTGTGGATTGCATATTTGATAAGTCTCAACTATATCTTTGGTTAGCCTTGCTACCAACTGCACAAATTAAAAGCTGCCAGTCAGCACAAATGTCTTAAATAATGTGGACTAAAGAGTGCTCCAAGAACTTATAGGCAAACAGAGTCAATAGAGATGACAGTGATGATGGTAGACAAGTCCAAACATAAAATGGCAGTTTAATGGACTGTTAAACAAAAATGAAAGGCAGTAACCTACAAGGCAAGACACAAACATTAACACTGGGTGGCCAAAGGGAGGTCGATCGATGCGTAGCATCACTACATGCAACCTACTTTGACTACCCCGTTGTGTTTGTCCACACAGCCAATGTAGATTTCTTCAGAACCAATAATTATAGCAATTCAGATGCCCTTAGGTACCTAGTTTATACTATGATATAAGCAACCTGCAAAAGTACTGAATAAATCGAACTTGTGCATGCTTTTTCATCTATGCAATCACAGATTATGAGCTGGGTAAATTTAGGCATCATATAAAGTCTCAAAAATACATGTATGTTGCCAACAGGTTTCACTATAATATCCTCTTATTATGTATTAATCAGAATAACAGCTTTATAATCATCATATTAAGTTGCACTCAATTAAAAATAAAGATCAATGTGACTTAGCAGAATTTATCAAATCCAGTTCAGATCCCCATCCAATCCATCTGCATGTTCAATCAATCACAAAAAACCTCTACATTTTCATTGTAATTCACCCCAAAATTTAGGAAGAAAGAAATCATAGAAACCTAGAAAATCCTGCAATTCTTGATAAGGGGAAATCACACAAGGCCAACAAGTGAAGGAATAGATTGAACATTCCCATTTTTTCAGCTTTGAATAATGTCTTTGTGTCAAGATAAGCAAATGTAGTAACAGTGGAAATTGAAACAACCATTTATCAAGTGTTCTAAGCAAAATAAACCAACGGGAAGAGAAAAACTTGCACAACATGCTAATAAATATATGTTATTCACCTATTTCATACAAGCGATCTCATTTTCCCCCTAAATTAATCTAACATACACAAGTGTGTTAGGGGTTTGATTAGACCCAAAGAAAAATAACTAGCAACATACAAGGACTTAACCACCAAAAAAAAACAAAACAGTCTCTCATGACATGCAGGGGCGGAAAGTTGACGAACAAACCAGGGTTTAACAGGATGCAATTGACCTTGTCTCATAATCTCCCCGATTAAGGACGATTATGTTTAGTTGTTTTCAACATGAGGGCATCATTAATGAATACTCCCACTACTTGCTCTGAAACCATAACTATGAAAATTGAAAACATTTAAAAAAAATGGTTTAGAAAGCCTTTCAAAGACCCTTACATGATAGGGACCCCACACCAAACAAAAAAAAAAAAAAAACTTCCCTAAGCCCAACAACATCAATAGAAACTAAGATTCAATATAGCCCTACAAAAGTCAAAATCCCTAAAACTTCTTTAATTCCTATTTAAGAAATGACATCAAGGTCCTTTTGTAATTTATTGGCTATTTAATTCTTTCTAGTCCTTTTTCCACGAGAATTTTTTTTGAAAGAGAATGAAAGTATGAGTCTATGGAGAAGGACAAGGTTTTCATCAGAAAACAGGCAGCATAAGAATTCCTGCAAAAGATGCTCTTTGGCTCCAATAAATATCAGTGAGAAGAATCCATTCAAAGGCTTCAAAAGCATAGCACTGCCATGGAATCAAAACAAGTATCCTATCCATAACATTGTCATAATGATCTTTAAAATATTTTGCATTCCAATTCATTCTACCCCAATGCACCAAATAATGCGAAACGAGCACATTCAAGTCACTATATTTCCCTCTATTTCCTTGCTCTTCAATCCTTATGATTCCTACAAGCAAAAAACTTCTATTCATCTTTTTCTTTCCCCCTTGCTTTAGCATCTAAGACTTTATCATCTTATACTAATAATCCTATTATCAACACGTTGTTACCATCCTTAATATTTGAATCACCCAATTTGAACTTCCTCTTCAAACACATTAAACAAATGCCCCAATCTAGTCTCAACCTCCTGACTATTGAAATCCTATAATGATCCAAATGTAAAAGAATGGATATGGATATTATTATATTTTTTTAGTTCATTAATTTACGCAATACATCCGTCAAGTTTACTGAAATTTAAGGTTTGCAAGAGAATTTTCTATAATATAATTTCCATTTTATTAATGGATTTAATTGTCTCATTCATGATAACTTTTTTCACTCACATTACTAAATGTCAAATTCAAATTAAGTGGGTTTGCTCATAAGTATCCATATGTAGTCTTTAGTCCTTTAGAAGTCTAACCTTTATATGTAAAGTATATGACCAAGCCAAATTAAAAATTTATACATCTACATGTATATTGAACCTGACACTTGTCATATGCAGTTTTCCACCATTGTTCAAAATGTCTGATCTTTCTCTATTTTTAAAAAAGGTTAAGCTACATGAACCTTGAATTTTAAGGATTATTCTTGTCAAATGACCTAATTCCATAAAATTAGGGAAACAACCCCAATAGAATGTGTTGACAGCAAACAGGTTGGCGGAATATGCCTGATCCTGAAGCCCACTGCCAGCCATATGAACCAATCAACCTTTTGCACAGCACCTTGAGAAAATTCCGCCCAATTCAGTTTTCTAGGTTCCTTTGGACATATGCACAGACATACTTTTCAGCAAGGTTTTCACATAATTCTACTTTTCAATGTTTGCAATTCAGATTTTCTAAGTTGCAAAATTCTCTTTTTATTTTTATACTATATCTCTGTGATTATGAACGGATTTTCTGCTCTCCTTTGTCAAGAAATATATAAGATTAATAAGCATGAACAATAGAAATCTGTATATCATTAGCTTCTCTTTCTTTTTCTTCCTCTTCTTTTTTTTGTTCTTTTGTGCTTTTTCCACTTAAACAACCTAGTAATTTAGGATGTATAATAATAGTGTGTATTATGAAACAACAAAAATTTAGAACCTACATATTCGATATTTCAATTAAGTCCTATTTTCAGATTATGACAACTCTCTGGACACTTTCCCTCTTATTCAAAATTGCATCGAAAAATGTTTGCATTTTACACTAAGTCATCTTTGGAGCTAATAACCATGCTTTATTCTTTCAATGGTGAATCCTTCTACAGTTGCATATAGGCTTTATTCTTATTTATTTTCCCCTTAATGCATTAATATGTATTATACATTGTGCAGAATGATATTTAAACTGTTGCCACTGTGTAGGCAGCAGTCCTATATACAATGAGATTCATTTTCTTAATCTATTGGTGAAAATAAGTGCTACTTCTACTAATTCAACTAAGAATGTCCCAACCTTATTGCTAAGCATCCATTCACATTCTAAATCCTGAAGTTCTCACTTCATCTATAAAACACAAAATGCTCATATCTTAATACGCAAAACTGAAACCTACCTCACAAACCATCATCTCAAAAAAATGCAATCCAATGAAGTAGATAAAAACAAACCAAAATAAAATATACCCAGAAAAAGCACTCACAGGTCTTCTTACAACAACACGCAAGGCTTCTGCCTTGTTTGCAGATTGAATCCCGGGCGTGTACAGCTCAAATGCTAGCTGCCTCGGCTGCCACGCTTCCACTTCTTTTGCTTCATTACCGCCCAATCCATCCATTGACCCAATATTGAAAGATAAGAAAAAAAAAAAAGGGCAAAAACCCCCAAATCACACACTTATTCTGAACAGCTCCATTCCATTGCTATAAATCAAATAGCAGACAAAATCCAATTGATCAGCAATTGAACAGTCTGGTTCGATTACCCAATTGGGGTTGATCATCAAAGAACTACAACAATCCACCTACAGATTCTAATCCCATATCTCTTCATTCACTTATATGAAGTAAAAACCACAAAATCGCATTAATTGATCCATGAAAATAAACAAGATTCAGGGTTTTGATGGAATACACAGAGGCCTACTATAATAGACAAAAACCAAGATTGAAAACAAAAAAGAAAGAAAGAAATGAGATCAAAATTAGTAGAAGATTTAGGAGAAGATAATACAAGAAGCAAAATTTTCTATAATTTATTAATTTTGAATATAAAGACAAAGTAATTTATAATAAACAACAAAACAGACTAACGGATGAATAGAGACAGGATTGGAGATGATATAAAAAGAGACAGAGAGAAGGGTTTAGAGAGAGATAGAAAGACAGAGAGTCTTAGAGAGAAAAGAAGGGAAAGAGAGAGAAAACAAGCCGCAGGCACTGTTTTTTTTTTTTTCTTTTCTTTTCTTTTTTCTTTTTTATTATTTTTTATATTAATATTTTATTTATTATCAATTCAGTGGGCTTTTTCTTACGTGTTCCCCTCTACAATCTTGCCATGTAAGATTTGAGATTAGTTTGCGTGTAACTCTTAAGAGGTAATTCATCATATATTATATACGTGTATGTTCAAAACTTTAAAAAATAAATAAATAAATAAATATTTACATTTCCATGGAAGATGAAAGGGCTAAGCTAAACTGATTTTGGAGACCTGGTGATGAAACGGCATCGTTTCGTTGTAGGGTCAAAACTCAGCAAGTCTAAAAGTTTTAGGTTTAAACTGAATTCAAATCAAAATTTTTCAAACTTTTTAAGTTGAACTCAAAAAGTTTACAAATCCACTTATTTACACTCTAGTTTTATGATTTAATGGACTTTTGAAATTGGCTGACGTGGCATTATGACTTGATAGATAGTGGGATTCAACAACAGCCACATCATCCTTACAATGAAAATATGACTGAGGATTTATAAATAAAACAACTAGACAGCTTTTGAAAAAAAAAAAAATCGAAATTAAAGTTGTTTTAGTCATTAGGTGATGATATTACAATCTACGGGAATCAAACATTTGAGTTTTACGGCATCACATCTTACTAGTAGACTGGAGGATCATTTACTTAAATTGCTATTTTTTCAAATTAAATATTCTTTTTTTATTTTTTTTTAACGCCTCATTTACTCAATGACTTAATTAATACACTCGTTTCAATAAAAAAATGATCCATTTGATTTTAAGTAAATTTTACATATAATTAAATTTACGAGACATACTGAATATTATTTATTATTCTTATTTTAAAATGAAATCGGAAGCATATACTATTAACACTATAATTTCACTAATTGTCTTTGTCTTTACAAAGCTCTTCAGGACGCTTATCATGAATTTCATTGCAATTTATTTTATAAATTTAGATAATCCTATAAAACTTTGAGGAGTAAAACTTAATAAAATTGCATCAAATATTTAATTAAATCAAAATTGAGTTTTTGGATTAATTTTTAGGTGAAGGGTTTTGATTTAATATCAATTTGACCCGAACATGAAAAACTTGATAAAAAAAGATTCAACTAACCCAGGTTAGTTAGTCTTTTGAATACATCCCATCTAAGATATGAAATGTAAAATGAAAAATCTGGAAATTAACATTAGTTCGAAGAATTTTACAAATGATAACTATATTCTCAGTTTTCTATTTATCATTGCACGGTAAGACATAGCCTAGGTAAATACATATATAGTCCGATAATATATTCAGATTGAAATCCTCTTTTCGACGCTGAAAAAAAAAAAATCTATTTATCATTTACCTAGGCCCAATGGGCAGCATCTACTCCACTAGGCTGGAGCTACATTGTACCGGAATCCATATTTATAATCACACGGCCCAATTAAAATTGTAAATTTCCAAAAGGCCCACTTCGTTTTTATCATTAATTAGATAAAAAAAAAAGCGAAATACATAAATTAACTTCATATTTTTTTTTTAAATTTAATATTTTGAATTTTTACTGTAATCTATTAAACATTCAAATTTATAAAATCAAACTTATTAAATATTTTATTTGATCGATTAAAAATTTAAATTTGTAAAATTAAATTAATTAAACATTTACTGGATAGTCAAAAAATATACAAATCATTATTCTAAAAGTAATATTAAACACATTTCAAATCAATATTTTATATAAAAAATCAAAAATTTTAAAATTGTTATTTTTAGTATACAGAGGTAAAATTATGATCAAAGTGAAGTTCAAGGCTTACAAAATTAACTGAAATTCAGCTTGACACAAAATTTTCTTTTAAGAAGATTCAGGGGTCAACGGATGTATTTAGTAAAGATAAAATACATAATACAGCATAAATTAATTTTAAAAATTAATTTTATTAATTTAAATGTATATTTTATCTTTATAAAAATTGAATTCGCTAGCCATTTCCACTGACAAACTGTGCTAATGCTTATCCTTTATAATATTGGGGAAAGTGAAAATTTTAAGAAGGGCCAGTTGCTTATGCTGCTTGTATGCACTTACCGTACCGCCATTGCCGGTAACTTTCCACCAACGTGGAAAAATTCCATGTTGTACTCTTCAAAAACATTTTCCAGCCTATAATCAGACAAACCCATAATCAGCCATGGCACCGCCGCCACTAGTTTTCAAGGTGAATAGGCGTGAACCGGAGCTAATCGCTCCGGCCAAACCCACTCCTCGCGAATTCAAATCTTTGTCGGACATCGATGACCAAGATGGCCTACGAACCCAATTGCCGCTTATACATATTTACCGGTATCATCCTTCGATGGAAAGGAAGGATCCTGTTCAGGTCCTTAAACAAGCAATTGCAGAAACGCTAGTGTTTTACTATCCATTTGCTGGTAGAATCAGGGAAAGGCCTAATCGGAAGCTCGTCGTGGAATGCACCGGCGAGGGTATTCTGTTTGTTGAGGCTGATGCCGATGTTGCTCTGGATCAGTTTGGGGATGCGATTCGGCCTCCGTTTCCTTGCTTTGGAGAGCTTCTCTTTGATGTCCCTGGATCTAGTGGAATAGCGAACTGCCCTTTGTTGCTTATTCAGGTATTTTATTCTCGTACTTAAAACAACCTAATCCTAATTTGCGAGAATTAAATATTTTGATTTTAATTAATTATATTAATAAGAACTGAGTTTTGATCTTTTTAACATATTCAGTCATTATCTATATAATAATTTTAAATTTGTTCTGTTCTTGTTGGTTTTAAAGTTGAGGAGGTCAGGTTACTTGAATTGTAGTATCCTAGCAGATATTGTAAAGAACAAATGAGGGGATTGACAGTCAAATTAGGAACTTTGCTTTGTGAAAAAAAAAAAAAAAGAACTAGTAATAATAATAACAATTAGAATTTAGATTTCAAAAATACCAAAATTAGCATCAAATTCAATTTTAAATGGGCAGAAAATTCAGTTCATGTACGGTTTAGTGATTCATCAATTATATGTACTTTGTTTAATGCTTTCTTTGTGTGGTCGATCTTCCATTTCTATGGAGTTGGGCAAGGCTTGTTTTGCAACTGGAATGCTTTAGTCTTGGGATAGGCAAGTTTTGGGTGACAAAGCCAGTCTATAAAGACTTTAGGGGAGAACAGTAATGGGCTTGTAATGTAATCTCTATGTTCCCACTGCTCAAAAACATCTAAAGATCTGCTTGAATGTAAATTGATAAGAGAACTTGGTATTCTGAAGAATGCAGCTTCTTTTCTTTGAAGAAAGAAATAGTAATGATATCTCTGTGATAGAAACTAGAGATTGCTAAGAATTTTTACATTTTTTATTAAACATTAAACTTGAAGAGTTGTATTCTTGACTGAAATGGTAATGCACGATCTACTCGCAATGACAGGTGACACGCCTCAAGTGTGGAGGAATCATCTTGGCCATTCGATTGAACCACACCATCAGCGATGCTACAGGTTATTTTCAGTTCATATCAACTGTAGCAGAGATGGCATGTGGAGCCCGCTCCCCCTCCATCCCACCCACATGGGACAGACACCTCCTAAATGCACGGGAACCACCGCGTATAACCTGCATACACCATGAGTACGATGATTTAGTTGATGTTGAGGACCACAAAAATCCTCCAGGTGACAAGGATCATCGTTCATTCTTTTTTGGCCCTGCAGAGATCTCTTGCCTTCGTAGATTTGCACCCTATCGCTCCTCTAGTTTTGATATATTGACTGCATGTTTATGGCGTTGCCGCACTATTGCGCTGCAACCAAAACCTGACGAAGAAATGCGAATAATATGTATTGTCAACGCTCGTAACAAATTTAACCCTCCAATACCTAAGGGTTACTATGGCAATTGCATTGCATACTCAGTGGCAATAGCAAGAGCAGGAGACCTCTGTGGAAATCCAATAGGTTATGCATTAGAATTGGTAAGGAAGGCTAAGACAAATGTTACTGAAGAGTATATGCGATCAGTGGCAGATTTGATGGTGGTCAAGGGTAGGCCAAAGTTTACGATGGTAAGGTCTTTTTTAGTATCAGGTGCAGCAAAAATGCGGTTTGATGAGGTGGATTTTGGATGGGGTAGAGCAGTGTACGGTGGGCCTGCTATGGGTCATGTGGCTAGCTTTCATATAGCAGGTAGAAATAAGAAAGGTGAAGATGGGGTAATTGTTACACTTTGTTTGCCAAGGCTAGCCATGCAAAGATTTGTGAAGGAGTTAGATAGCTTGTTAAAGGGCCAGCCGATCGGTGGTCGTCGCTCTAGATCTGCCTTGTAAAGGATTAGGATTTGGCAGAGCTCCCCCGGGGGGGGGGGGGGGGGGGGTGGGGTGTTTGTATAAACTAAAATTTGAATAGCAGTTTATAAATCCAATTTGGTTTGAACTTTGCCCATGAATTTTGTATTTTAATTTTGTAGCCCCTTGAATTTTTGTATGTAAAATATTGATTTGATGTATAATTAACATAATTTTTCGGATAAAATTTTACATTTTTCAATTATTTAATGGGTTTATAATTGGTTTCAATTTATAAGTTGAAGTGTTTAATAAAATTATTTTGTAATTTTAAGTATTTAATACGTTTAATTTTACAAGTTAAAGTACCTAAAATAATAAAATTTAGGGATAAAATTATTTAGCCAAATGGAGAAATAATAAAAGGTATTCAAATTAATTAGATCATAAATGTAATTTGGTTCAATTTCTGCTATTTTGATCCTAAAGATTATAAATCAACCGTTAAATGTAGTTTCTAAATTTTTTCAAAATAAATCAAACTATCAATTTTCTAAAATCACAATTTTAATTGTTTGATTGAATTTTAAATTTGAACAATACACACACACTACACAACACACACACACCCACACATATATTATATATATACTATATATATATATTATATATATATTATATATAAAAGTAAAAGTCAATGGTTCTTTGGTCATGAGTCATGCTTTTAATAAATAATAAGATAAGATTCCTATTGGTTTTTTGTAGGTATGTATTGTATCTCGTAGTCAGTCAGTTCCTACCGGTCATCAGTCTTCAGCCATCGATTTCCCACTCATTACCTTTTCTTTTCCTTTTTGGTCATGATTTTATAATTAAATTAAGATATTTTAAACAAATTAAATTGACATGCAATCAAATCAATAAGCCGATTACTGATCAGGTGTGAACGAAGTTTGGTTAAATTTTGTGCAACCGTTAGAACTGATAACTCGTGCATGAGTTTCAAATAAAAAAAAAAAAAAAAAAAAAAAAAAAAAACAGAAGAATGACCGAAATTGTTCAAAAAAAAAAAAAAAAAAAAAAAAAAAAAAGAAGAATGACACGAAATTGTCATGGTCGCTATAAATAAGGTTGTTGAAGTTCAAAGTCGAAACACACAAAATGGTACTATATATATATATATATTTTTTACATAGAAATGGTTGTCGATGTTGATGGTCAAATGTCTTGTTTCCATCCTGTTTACACCCGGAGACGAAGCAAAAGCGAAAGAATATTTTTTGTATTATCAAAGGATTTATCTATATATAATTTTAAAGCGCGTTTGCCATGTTCAAATAAATTCTTTTAATAAGAGTAAGTTTAAATTTTAAATTTTTGATCTCATAAAATAAAGTTGTATAAATAAGCAGTTTAGTTTTGAATTGTGAAATCAAAAACTGAATTTCTCTTTTTTTTTTTCTTAAATCGAACCGTACTGAAATAAGTTAATTTGGTTAATTCCGATCAATTTTAAGTATAAATCATACATATCACATAATTGAATTAAAAATTGAAATCGAAATTATCTAAAAATGTCAAACCCAAACTATATTGAATAACTAAAAAACTAAATTAAATTCGTTTCGATCGGTATTTCAGTTTTAATAAACAAAATTTCAAGAAAATTTCCAAGAATGCAATTAGTTTCATATTTAACTATTTTTTTAAAAAATTTATCATTAGACTATACATTGATATGTATATGTAACTACTTGTTAATTAAACGGTTATATTATATTAATACATAATTTAGAAACTTAAATTTTAATCCCTAAATTAAAGTTTCATTGAAAAACATTAATAATTAATTTTCCACCTTTCCCATTTTAATTTTATACTTTTATATTGGCCGACAAAATTATGAATGTGTATTCCCACCCATTAGTGGTAAGTCAATGTGAATATAGCAATCAACCTGGCTGCTGCTTCGAAACTACTTTACTCTTTCTATATTTATACTAAAAATAAAAAAAAGTTTATTAGGATTTAAAAAAAAAAAAAACCATTAATTTGCATTTTTTGAAAGTGAAAGCAAATAAAATCAAAATGCAATTGAATTCCAAATAGAGAAAAGTTGCTGATAGTGGTTGCCGTAGCCACAAGCTAGCTACTTAAGCCATGTATTTAAAAATAATATTCAAGCAATAGGGAAATTAATTATTGAATTAAACCACGTACGTATCACGTGGATATTACTATATTTACATTAATTAAATTCTAAATATATATTCTATTTATAAGAATGTATAATATTTTATATATTAAAATATGAGCTGGTGGTAAGTGTATGTAGAAATTGATAATAGATTAGGATTCGAGTCTTCATCCATGCACATAAAAATATTAATTTTTAATATAGGATTAAACTAAAATTAAATACTTAATAAGGTTGAATTCCCCATCCCAATCTCCTTCTTAGTAATTTAATGTTGATTAGTTGAATAATCATATTATTATCCAAACTTCTATTAAATGTTTTTAAATTGAAAACGAGAAATACAAATATACTTTTTTTTTTTTTTGAAAAGGAAATACAAAATATACATTTAACATTATTATACTGTGAAACGCATTGTTGAGACCACAACTCGTTATTAGCTGAAAACGAAAAAATACGTTTTTGATAAAGAAATGATTTGGAATTTAATTAATTATCTAGAGACAGAAACATAATCCAATCTTTTTTTTTTTCATTTTTATTCTTTTTTTAACTATATTTCATTTATACGCTTAAAGTAAACCAAATATTGTTTCTGTGTAATTCATTTATTATTATTTTTTGCATAATAATAAAGGTCTTTAAAGATTAATCAATTATTTAAATAATATTATTAAAAAATAATATAAAAGATTATTACTAATATATGAAATTGCAAGTTGAAAAATTAACCGAAATTTAATTAAAAAAATAAGATAAGATGAGTGATTAATTTACAAATTTGCATTATTCCTTCCTCTTTTCTTTCAAAAAAATAAAAAATAAAAAAATAAAGATGACTTTTCCTTCAAATAATGAATTAACAGTTTAATAAAGAGTTAAAATTACTATAACAGCTGTTGACTACTAAAATAATTAATTTTAGCAGATTTTTTTAGAAAAAGCGAAACTTTTCTGTTTTCATTCTCCACTACGAAAATACTACGAATTTTTCTTGAATTGACTCATCGAACTGATATAATAGAAGACGCTGTCATACTTAATTTGTTCAAAACATATTCAAAGTCTTCTGCTAAATTTTAAAAAACAAAACTAGAAAAATGACTGCAACTTCCTGTCCTAAACCAAGAAATTCAAGAAAAGTAGTACTATTGACCAACTGACCTTACCCATCTCCATTATAAATAGATGTTCTTGTTAATAATACTTCCTCATTCCAAACAACCATAAGTCCCTTCTTTCTTGAAAGTGAACAGCTTGTTCTCAGCTATTTCAACAATAACTAATAGCCAATGGCACCACCACCCTCTTCTCTAGTGTTCAAGGTTAACCGGCGAGAACCTGAACTATTAGTTCCTTCAAAGCCTACGCCTCATGAGTTCAAACTCTTGTCTGACATCGATGACCAAGACGGTCTCCGGTTTCACATTCCCGTGATACAATTTTACCGGTATGATCCTTCAATGAAAGGGAAAGACCCCGTTAAGGTTATCAGAGAAGCAATTGGTAAAACGCTAGTTTTTTACTATCCATTTGCTGGTAGGCTTAGAGAAGGGCCTGAGCGTAAGCTTATGGTGGAATGCACTGGTGAAGGTGTTCTGTTTATTGAAGCTGATGCTGATGTTAGTCTTGAAGATTTTGGGGATGCTCTTCAACCTCCATTTCCTTGCTTGGAAGATCTTCTTTTCGATGTCCCTGGCTCTACTTCTGTTCTAAACTCAGCCTTGTTGCTTATTCAGGTACTTATTCCTATAACCTTTCTCCTCGTAGTTGTATTTTCCCGTCACACAGAGTTTTTTTTTTAATATATTTTATTTTTATTACATCCTCAGTGATTGGCCTCTTGTCCTTTATTAAGGAAACTGACCCTCCCCAATTAAAAGGGTTGATTTCGTATTCTGTCCCGGAAAATAATTCTAATTCCCCTCGATCCTTCCACTGAATAGACCTACATGTACATAAACCACTCATTTTCACTGTAATAAATATATTTTGTTTAGTATCCGAAAAAGAGGAATTCCAGCGTAACTGTTCACAGGTCATACGAGCAGTCGTATCCCATATAATAAATAACCTTATCTATGTTTAATTTAATATTATTATTTCCTTTCATATGGCAGTACCTAATGCTATATAATGCTGGAGTCAAAAATATAAAATTTTAAAATATCATTCGGTGGACATCCCATGTGATGACCACCCAGCAAAGTCAAGTCATTGTTATTTGCCACTGCCCCACTAAAAAACAAATAAGGGTTGTTAGCTGCCACTAAGTAATTTGCCATCACATGCATTTCTCGTTATTCTATACCTTTGGAGTGCTAATTAATTTTAACAGAACTCATAAATATTGTTATACTAACTACTGATTTTACTATTCTTCTAATATAAATCTTGTTTAAATTATTGATAGGTGACACGACTCAGTTGCGGCGGTTTCATTTTCGCTCTTCGTTTGAATCATACGATGAGCGACGCTCCTGGTTTAGTTCAGTTCATGTCTGCTGTCGGAGAAATAGCACGTGGAGCACAAGCTCCCTCTGTTCTTCCTGTCTGGGAAAGACATCTTCTTAATGCGAGAAATCCACCGCGTGTGACGTGCACACATCGTGAGTACGATGAAGTAGCTGATACTAAAGGAACAATAGTTCCTCTCGATGATATGGCTCATCAATCCTTCTTCTTTGGACCATCTGAAATCTCCGCTCTTAGAAGCCTAGTCCCACCTCATCTTTCTAATTGCTCTACTTTTGAATTATTAACGGCATGTCTCTGGAAATGTCGTACAATTGCATTACAGCCAGAACCTGAGGAAGAAATGCGCATGATTTGTATTGTCAATGGACGGGCTAGATTTAATCCTCCATTGCCCACAGGGTATTACGGTAACGGATTTGTCTTTCCGGTGGCCGTGGCAACTGCCGGAGAACTCGCTCAAAAACCACTGGGTTTTGCATTAGAGTTGATAAGAGAGGTTAAGCGTAGTGTGAATGAAGAGTACATGAGGTCAGTGGCGGATTTAATGGTGGTTAAGGGTAGACCTCATTTTACAGTAGTAAGGAGTTATCTAGTGTCAGATGTGACTCATGCAGGATTTGGGGAGGTTGATTTTGGGTGGGGGAAGGCTGCGTATGGCGGACCAGCCAAAGGAGGGGTAGGAGCCATTCCTGGAGTGGCTAGCTTCTATATACCATCCAAAAATGAAAAAGGAGAAAACGGGATCGTTTTGCCTATTGTTTTGCCTGCTCAGGCAATGGAGATATTTATAAAGGAGCTTAAGGGTATGTTACAGAACCAAGCAATCAGCAGTGCCACTAAATCCACATTTATAATCTCTGCCTTGTAGATGGAAAGGAAAGTGAAGGCGTTGCTATTTAAAAACTAAAAGCTGTGTGTTGGGTGACGTAATATAACAATTCAAGTAAAATGAATTTATGTGTAATAGCATAAGATGTATAATATAAAGTTAGATGGTTTTGAAATTTTCTATTTTTTCTTTAATACAGTAATTACTTAATTAATTGAGTTTTCACACTCTTAATTTTCTTCATTCTTTTCAATAATAATTTATTTGATATAAAAGAATTTCGGACAATTTACCCTAAGTGGGCTACACAATAAGAGTAGCTCTTTAATTGACTCATCAAATTGGTGAAAATAATTGTAGTTGAGAGGACTCAAATTCGACTAACCAGACCAGTACTTAATTGACAATTAATTATAAATTTTTATTCATCATAAAATATTTATAATGTATTTATGGGATTGAAATTATGTTGTATATATGTGATTTAATGTAATAATTTTTTTTTATTGAGACAATTAAATCAATCTAAACTCATCAAATGTTTGACTCAAAAATCTTTTCCCTCTTTATAATATCTACTTATCTAGTTACATAAATCAAACAATTTAGATAATATATTGTGAGATTTGTGACTTCTAATTTCTAGCATAATAAATCTTAGTTTCTGTACTAAATTTATTTACGTAATTTAAACAATTTATATATAAGATCAGTTAAGTGGTAATTGATCTTCTATAATATGTTGTCTCCCAATTATGTCCCTCTGTATATATTCTTAAAATTTTTTTTATTATTATTTATTTTGAAATGGTACTTTTTTATTGCTATAAAGACTAGCTAACAGCCTCTTTTCATATGTCAAGCCATTATATTTTTTAGTCCAGAGGCGAACCACTTAAAACAACAGTAACTAATGGCACCACCACCTTCTTCTCTAGTATTCAAGGTTTACCGGCGTGAACCTGAACTTTTAGTTCCTTCAAACCCTACGCCTCATGAGTTCAAACTCTTATCTGACATCGACGACCAAGACAGTCTCCGATTTCACATGCCGTTGGTACAATTTTACCGGTATGATCCTTCAATGAAAGGGAAAGATCCCGTTAAGGTAATCAGAGAAGCAATTGGTAAAACGCTAGTTTTTTACTATCCATTTGCTGGTAGGCTTAGAGAAGGGCCTGAGCGTAAGCTTATGGTGGAATGCACCGGTGAAGGTGTGTTGTTTATTGAAGCTGATGCTGATGTTAGTCTTGAGGATTTTGGGGATCCTCTTCAACCTCCGTTTCCTTGCTTGGAAGAGCTTCTTTTTGATGTCCCTGGCTCTAGTTCTATTCTGAACTCACCCCTGTTGCTTATTCAGGTACTTTTCATTCCGTATAATCTCTAGATATGTATTAAATACATAGACAGTACCTAATACATGCTAGATAATGGTTGAAGCTAAAAATGTATGATAAAACATGATATGATGCTTCTCTGCAAATGGGCAATTATAGTTTTGCATGCCACTAAAAAAGAGATAATGGTTGTTGGCCACGCAAGCTAATCTGCTGCCACAAATAATGGTTAGTGTTTATCTGCTTATTGCACATACTTGAGGTATCTTTGATTGAGTGTCAATAAATTATAATTTAGCTAAGGATCTCACATTTAATTTTTTAAAATAAAAATCATAATATGTTACTTTTAACTATAATTTAATAATCAATTTAATTTTTTTTTAATATTGTTGAAGCAATATATATGGGATAAGAATTATCAATGCATGATGTATGGACTAGTTATACACCAGGTCGATCAAAAAATAATTTTTTATAAAAATTGTTTTATTCTTTCCCAATGAACAGTCAAATATCCTCGTTTGAAAAAAAAAAAAAAAAAAAAAGAATTTGGGGATCCTACATTCAACCTCCGTTTTCGCTTGCTTGGAAGGCTTTCTTTTTGATGTCCCTGGCTCTTAGTTTATATTTGAAACTCACCCCTGTGCTATATTCATGGTACATTTTTCATTTCCGTATAATCTCTAGATATGTATTAAATTTAACATAATGACACAGATACACTAATACAATGCCTAGATAATGGTTGAAGCTAAAATAATGTATGATAAACATGAATAATGATGCTTCCTGCAAGAAGTGGAGCAATTATAGTTATTGCATTATGCCACTAAAAAAGAAGATCAATGGTGTTGGCCACGCAAGGCTAAATCTGCTTTGCCACAAATAATGGTTCAGTGTTTAATCTGCTTATTGCACCATACTTGAGGTATCTTTGATTGAGTGTCAATAAATTATACATAGCTAAGGAGCTCACATTTAATTTTTTAAAATAAAAATTTCAAAATATGTTACTTTAACTATATAATTTAATAATCCAATTTAATTTTTTTTTTAATATTGTTGAAACAATATATATGGGATAAGGAATTATCAATGCATGAATGTATGGAACTAGTTATACACCAGGTCCGATCAAAAAATTTAATTTTTTATAAAAATTGTTTTATTCTTTCCCAATGAACAGTCAAATATCCTCGTTTTTGAAAAAAAAAAAAAAAAAAAAAAAAAAAAAAAAAAAAAAAGTTTTTGATTGGTTTGGTACATAGGATAAGCTCATACACTGGTGTAAATAAATCCTTTCCACATATTTAAGTAGAAATCGGCTTACCTCCATCTATGGCTCATGCATGCAAAAATGGATAAAAAATTTTATTGGAACGAGAGTATATCTAACCATTCACTAAAAAAATGTGAAAATAATTTTTACAAAATCTCTTTTTTAATTAGCTTGATCTATAACTGGGTTTATAGACTGAGTTTATACCAATCTAATCCTTTTGAGCATGCAGGAGATACAGATTCCAACATAAATCCATAACCAGATTGCCTTAAAGTAACTCTCATCATGTTTCTTGTTTAAATTATTGACAGGTGACACGACTCAATTGCGGTGGTTTCATTTTCGCTCTTCGTTTGAATCATACCATGAGCGATGGTTTTGGTCTAATTCAATTTATGTCAGCCATGGGAGAAATAGCACGTGGGGCACCATCTCCTTCAATTCTGCCTGTTTGGGAAAGACATGTTCTTAATGCAAGGACTCCATCGCGTGTCACGTGCATGCATCGGGAGTACGATCAAGTCGCTGACACTAAAGGAACAAGAATTCCGCTTGATGATATGATACATCAATCCTTCTTCTTCGGACCATCTGAAATATCCGCTCTTCGAGGATTAGTCCCACCCCATCTTTCTAATTGCTCTTCTTTTGAATTGTTAACAGCATGTCTCTGGAAGTGCCGTACAATTGCATTACAACCAGACCCTACTGAAGAAATGCGCATGATTTGTGTTGTCAATGGACGTAGTAGATTTAATCCTCCATTACCAACTGGGTATTACGGTAACGTAATTGCTTATCCGGCCGCCGTGGCAACCGCCGGAGAACTCTCCCAAAAACCACTCAGTTTTGCATTAGAGTTGATACGCGAGGCTAAGCGTAGCGTGACTGAAGAGTATATAAGGTCAGTGGCAGATTTAATGGTGATTAAGGATAGGCCACATTTTACGGTGGTGAGGAGTTGCCTAGTGTCGGATGTGACAGGTCCAGGGTTTGGAGAGGTTGATTTGGGGTGGGGGAAGGCTGTATATGCTGGGCCTACCAAAGGTGGGGTAGGAGTTGTTAGCTTTTATCTACCATTTAAAAATGAAAAAGGAGAAAATGGGATTATTCTGCCAATTGTGCTGCCTGCTCAAGCAATGGAGAGATTTATAATGGAGCTTAAGGGTATTTTAGAGAACCTATCCATTGGTGGCGGTACCACTAAATCTGCCTTGTAGATGTGAAAGGAAGGCGAAGGTGTTGCTATTTAAAACTAAAAATTCTAAAATTATGTTGGATGATTTATACCACTAAATCTGCCTTGTAGATGTGAAAGGAAAGTGCGAAGGTTGTTGTGGCGGTACCACTAAATCTGCCTTGTAGATGTGAAAGGAAGGCGAAGGTGTTGCTATTTAAAACTAAAAATTCTAAAATTATGTTGGATGATTTATAGAATAATAAAATAAATATATAGTGTAATGCAGAAATTTATGAATTTATGTGCAATATCTCTGTCAACAAAATCTCAAGATATATATAATAATAAATCTTGAATAATAATAACTTAGATCTATATAAAAAATATATATAGATTTGATTAACGAGTGTTGAAATGAATGGTTCGTCACCCTTTTCCTTTAAGTGAGGTCGAATATTTAATCTTCATGATGGGGCAAATACTCATCGTAAGTGGAGATATCTATGGGTAAAAAAAAATAAAAAAAAAATAAAAATTTGAACTTTGTTTGAGAGGGAGAGAGAGAGGGCTTATTAAACTAAACTTAATTAAACTCCATGAAGAACAAAAAGATAGCTAACAAGTTAAATTAAGGGATGATGACAAAGTATTTACTTGAAATTAAGGAGAGTATTTTTTTTTTTATCAGCAATCATCCCTTTTATTAGACTAATAATAAAAAGAAAAGAAACTTACTAAAACTGAGTGAAACTAAACCCCAGTCAGCAGACTTCTTCGATACACTAAAAAAATCTAATGCTTAGAATTGATAAGAAAAATCTATATATAGAGAAAACTAAGAAAACTTCTCTTAAGGTAAAAGATGAAAACTAAAAGAGAGTAAAAATCAACATAAACCCAAACATTATGTTGATTAAAACATGCCAAAAACGGGAATTCAGCGTCAATACCTTTCTTAGCCAATGTATCTGCAAAATGATTTCCACTTCTTCCAACGTGAACAAATTGTATTACATTAATTTGCAAAATAATTTATGCGAACTTATTGAACTTTTCCCACTATTTCTATTGGTTCTTATTTTTTTGAATTATCCAACATAAAGCATTTTTAGAGTCAGATTCCATAATTAATGGAAATGTTTTAAAATCTGAATTCCAAAACATCTCAAACTGTTGTGAAGATAGTAAATAGTTCAGTCTCATTAGAGTCTAGTATCCCCAACTAATTGATAGAAAATACAAACTAACTTGACCAATATTGTTTCTTAAAACACCCCATAGCTGCTTCCCCCGGCTTGCCTAGAGAAGCCATCAACATTAAATTTGTAACAACCTTCGGGACCCCAGACCCAACCTATAACGCTTCTTCTAATCCCCACCTGCATCCCGAGGAGAGTAATAACCATATTCAAATTTGAAATTAATAGCCATATTCATAGCTTCTTCTAGATACCTAGAGTTACTGTTTAAGGTTGGATTTGGCCAAGTAGTTAATCAAATTTGAAATTAATAACCATATTCATAGTTCTCGCAGTATTTTCCTTAATTTAGTATATAATTTATAAGAATTGGTGAAATTCGGGCTGAAACCATTACCAGTAATAGCTAAGTGGTGTCAGTGTCAAGGTAAAATAAATCTAAATTGATATATTATAATGAAATCATCGATTGATATTATGAATATTTTATCTTATTTTTAGCAAAATTTTATTTTATTACATTTTGAATATTCAATATTTCGAATAATTAAATCATTAGCTAACTTAGGTATATCAACTATTTATTATCTTAATTCAGAATTTGAATTTTAGAGAAGGTAATAACTATTTTCTAAAATAAAATATAAAAATAAATAGATAACAAAAATATAATATTTATCTTAAAATAAGCTAGTATTATTTTTCTTAAAAATTCATTCTTGTGACTAATATTCTAATGCGTCGTTCTTTTTGCGAGTATCATCGAGTTGAGCATCAATTTGGTCTTCAATAATCTCCTATAAAATTATTTAAAAAAAAATAAAGTAGCACAACAGTTATACATAAAACAATTATTAGGCCAATAAGAACATATTCTTTTTAGCAAAATAAAAAATTATTATTATTATTCATATAGTTATCAAATCAATATATTAAATTATTTTTATTTTTTCAATGATCTATAAATTTAGTAGAGTGTATATACTAATTAAAGAATTTATATTTAAATGGAAAACTAATAACCAATCAAAATAAAATTACCTTTATTTTTTCAACCAATAGAATTAAAATCTTTTAAAATATTTTTATCAATCTATAAATTTAATTAGAGCATTTTAAAAATTCAATGTTCCTCCATTTGTATTTTTATATATATATTAGTGTTTTTTGTTATGTTTTTTTTTTTTATCAGCAAATGAAATATTTTATTAATTTTATAACATACACAGGATAAATTTAACATTCAAAGACAACTAGACTTAAGCCATGAGGCTTACCCAAAAAAACTCCAAACCTATCCTATGAATGTTAAGTGAAAAGGCTTACCCAAAAAACTCCAAACCTATCCTATGAATGTTAAGTGAAAAGGCTTACCCAAAAAACTCCAAACCTATCCTATGAATGTATGAAGTTAAGTGAAAAATTTCTCCAAAAGTTCTTAATGAAATAAGAAATTATTTTTTAAAATTATTATAACTTCATTTTTTCTATCAGTTTTCTATCAGAAATATTCCCTTTTCAAAAGAAAAAAAAAAAAAATCATCGTATAAAAACGTGTTACACGTTATCTTGTGAGTTTATTGTGCGGTGGAAAATTGTCATGTGACTATCTTCTTCTCCTCCTATAAATAAATGCACATCGCCATGCCAAGGTCACCTATCTATAGAGCTGTGTCTTTCTACTTGATTACTAACTTGGTGTTCGTTTTCTGCCTAATTAATGGCACCATCTGCGCCCATTTTCAAGGTTCAGAGGTGTGAACCGGAACTAATCACACCTCCAAAGCCTACCCCTCATGAGTTCAAGCCATTATCGGACATTGATATTGATATCAAGAAGGTCTTCGAATCCAGATCCAATTCATAAAATTTATCGTTCATGACCCCTCATGGAAGGGAAGACCCTGTTCAGGTTATTAGAAATGCTATTGCTAAGGCTCTTGTTTTTTTAACTATCCATTCGCTGGCAGGCTTAGAGAAGGGCCTAACCGTAAGCTCCATTATGGAGTGCAATGGTGAAGGTGTTTTGTTTATTGAAGCTGATGCTAATGTTAGTCTTGATCAGTCCGGCGATGCTCTTCAGCCTCCATTTCCTTTCTTGGATGAGCTCCTTTTTGATGTGCCTGGCTCTAGTGGGATACTTCATTGCCCTGTCATACTGATTCAGGTAAGTTCTTAACAAGTTTCGGTTCAGTAGCACTGAAAACTGAAATTGTTTCCAAAACCCTTAGCAGGTAAATTTTAATTAAAACCTAATTGAGCCTTATTCCTAAATGAAATAATACAAAGAAATTTTTGTTTGTTTTGGCAGATCACACGGTTTAAATGTGGTGGTTTCACATTTGCTATCCGTCTCAATCATACCTGAGTGATGGTCCTGGTCTAGCTCAGTTCTTGTCAGCCATAGCCGAGATGGCGCGTGGAAGACAATCCCCTTCTATTTTCCCAGTATGGGAAAGACATGTACTTGATGCAAGAAACCCACCCCATGTGACCTGCATACACCGTGAATATGACCACATAGAAAATGGCCAAGGAATTCCATTTCCACTTGATGACATAGTTCATAGATCCGTTTTTGTTAGCCCTTCTGCTTTATCTACTCTTCGTAGTAGATATATTCCTCCTCATCTTCCTCGTTGCACTGGTGCTGAAATATTAACTGCATGTTTATGGAAATGTCGCACTATTGCGCTTCAGCCAGACGCCGGACAAGAAATGCGAATCATATTAGTTAACAACGCGCGCAAGTTTAATCCTCCTCTATTACCAGAAGGGTATTACGGTAACGGATTTGTCCTGTCAACGGCAGTCGCGACTGCCGGAGAAATTTCCAAGAATCCAATAGGTTATGCCGGAGAAATTTTCGCAAGAATCCAAAATAGGTTATGGACTAGAACGTGATAAGAAAGGGCATAAAAATGGAATTCGATGAGAGTATTAAATCGGTGGCAGATCTCTACTCGTAGATAAGGTGTAGGCCTCATTTTGCTGCAGAAGGTACTTACTTGTGCGGATCTGAAGCATGTATAAGATAATGTTATAGTGTAACAGAATCATTATTATTTATAGTAACTTTTATATGCCTATTCATATCCCGTAAACTGTGGGGTCATCCCCGTAATTGTGGATCCAACAGCTATAGGCCTGAATGGTATATATAATACTGTCATCTTCCTCTATGTGAAGAAATAGAGAATACCTATCTCAATATCACTTCTATATGGTATCAGAGCCGTAAACCTAACGGTCCTCTTCTATTTTTTTTTTTTCTTTCCTCTTTTGTCATTGACCTGCAATTGATTTTTATCTCTTTCGATGGCTATCCATTGATGATACCCACCATTGACACTAAGCACCTCAAACTGTTAGTACACTAGCACCCCAACTGTTATTCCGCCCTCACCTACCTCTAATATCCACCTAAATGATACCAATCAGTTAATCTCCATTAACGCTGCTGCACAAGCTCCACTCAAATTGACTGCCATGAACTACATGTCATGGTACACACGATGGTATTCACTTCTTATTGGATATGACTTTCTTAAAATTGTTGCAAAGCCACTTACAGCAGATCTGAGTGCCAATTCCTACAGGATCCGACAGGATCAGCTTATTTGGAGTGCCCTTATCGCGTCACTCTCTCCCGAAATCGTTTCATTTGTTGTTGGCGAGAATACGTCTCATGAGGTATGGCAGACTCTACATAACATGTACTCGAAACCTTCTCAAGGACGCATCATGAGTTTGAGGGAATCTTTACTCACCATCAAGAAAGGCACGATGTCTGTGACCAGTTATTTGCAAAAGGTAAAATCCATCACTTCTACCCTTGCTATAGCTGGTGTCAACATTCTTATGCCAGAAACAGTCCTGTATGTATTACATGGCTTACCAC